ACTCGTTAAGCGTCTGCCTTCAGCTCAAGTCATGATTCCAGGTCCTGGGATCGAGCCCCGCATCGAGCCCCGCATCGGGCTCCCTGCTCTGCGGGAAGCCTGCTTCTCCCTCTCCCACTCCCCCTGCTTGTATTCCCTCTCTCGCTGTGTCTCTCTCTGTCAAATAAAAAAAAAAAAAAAAAAAAAGAAAAGTCTCTTATGGTTTGTCTCCCTCTCTGATTTCATCTTGTTCTATTTTTCCCTCCCTTCCTCTATGATCCTCTGTTTTGTTTCTTAAATTTAACAGCCATTGCTGAGCCTCTCCGTGCCGGGAGCTGGGCTGACCGTGGGAATCAGGGCTGAGTCTGCCGCAGGCTGGGCGCCCAGGCACCTCTAGCAGCTCCAAGGAGGCCCGTGAGCTGGCAGCTGGGGCTGGGAGGATGGTCACGTGCAGCCTCACCTTCTTCCGGGTGGGGTGTGAAGCCTCTCCTGGCTTCAGTTCCTCATTTTTAAAAGGAGATAACACAGCCTGCCCCCCCCCCAAGATTCCTGCAAAGATTAGATAATCCAAAATAGCAGAACGACGAGGCCATAGCGACACATAATTAAGTGACACATCCATTAAGGAAAGTTGTTATCATATATCATACCGTAACTTATTTCCATAGTGATAATGTGAGGGCCAATGGAAGCAGAAGGATTGTGGGAGCACAGAGACCCCACCTCCCACTGACATGGGATCAACGGGCGGGGTGGGGGGTTGGAGAAAGGAGCTGGGAATTGGGATGCCCCATGTTCTAGATGCACCAGCTATGTAGCACACCTCATATTGGCCTTCATAGCATTTTATTAAGAATTGTTTAATTAAAGATTTGTAATTTGTGCCACCACAAACCTTGCATGTTTTGCCTTTATGCTGATTTCACACACATCTTCACTTCAGAATGCTGTTGTATGGCTTAGGGACAACCGTTAGTTTTTTCCCTGATCACAGAGCAACCCATTCATTCATTCAACACGTGTTTATTGCCTCTGCTTGGTGCAGACACTGTTCTTAGCACTCGGATAGATGGACACAGCTGTCAAGCGGCATATCTCTGGGTACTGCAATTCAGAAAAAAGTCACGAGAAGGCAGTAGAATGACCTCAAATCCCACTACCCAGAGATGACCGCTCTTCACAACTTGGGATCAAGCAGGAATTTTCTTTCACTTAACAGTCCAAGGCATCCACACATTTCCAAGGCATCATCCGTGGAGAGCGGGTCTTCTACATTTGGGGCTGTTGTTTTGCTGCAGGCCTGTGGACGGTCGCCCTTCAGCACACCTGCCCACCAGCCCTGGGCCTGCCAGGAAGGGGTCTCAGCGGCTTTCGAGCTTGGGTTGCCCGTAGTAGGTGTCATATGTTCATGGCGGTGGCTGCCGGAGAGGGTGTGGAGCCCAGGGGGACCAGACGCCACAGCTGTGGACCCGTTAGCTAGAGAGCTGCTCTGTCCACCCTCCCTGAGCTCACCTGTTTCCAGCTACTGCCAGACCAGTTCTCGGCTCAGCCCTTCGAGCAGGAGACAGGCCTGCTGGTGAATCTGTGTGGGCAGCCACCCATCCAGAAGAGTCTGATGGGTCCATATATATTGACACGAGAAATTTCCTTTCCTTAGTAAATGCATTTTCTTTCCTTGGTTAAATGAAGAAATCAAGTTTCGTCAGATCCCATTTTTGCTTAACGCTATAGAGGTTATAAATATGCATAGTTATGGAAGGAGAAAGGGCTTTTATTTATTACTATATACATTTGTACATAATTTGAGTTTTTTGCAATGAGCATATGTTACATTTCAAATGTTATATACATGCGAGAGAGAGATTGACAGAGTGAGGGATAGACAGAGAGAATCTGAGCCTATCTTTAGGCACCTTTTTGAGTACTTCCTTAGCTTGTATTTTTCAGAAGTAGAATTCCTAGAAGTGGAATTGCTGTATTTGGAAGGTTCTTTGTGTATATGTTGCAAAATTAATTCACAGAATGTTTATACCAGTTAACACTCTTACTACCAGTAAATGGATACTAACTTGTCTTAACCTTCAATAATACTGGGTAGTATTTTCAATAATTCCCAATTTAATAGATAAGATAGCATTTTATCTTAATTTCTCTTCTAATCTTGATCTTATTTTTTTCTCTTCCTGTAGTTTGTTGGAGTGATTGAATTTTCTTTCTTCCATAGATATTTTTTAATATACAGGTTTACACTGTATTTATATTCTTCCAGCAATTACCTGTGAATTTTTAACATACTTACTTAGAACTGCATTTTTCTTATAATGCCCAGCAAGAGAAAACAGTTTTCTCCATCATCCTGCTAAGCAAGAGAATGTGATGGTGCTGTTCTCCCCTCTGTGTCCACACTTGTTCCCACCCCTCCCCTCCCCGCTATGGGATATCACCTGGTATTTTACCTCCAATTTGGCATTTCACATATTATGTGTCACAATAACTACTCACTGAGATATTTATTTAGAGAAAGCATGAGCAGGGGGTGGGGGGGGGGTTAGGCAGCAGAGGGAGAGGGAGACAATCCCCAGCAGACTGTGCTGAGTTCAGAGCTGGACGTGGGGCTCGATCCCACAACCCTGAGATCATGGTCTGAGCCAAAATCAAGAGTTGGATGCTTAACCGACTGAGCCACCCAGGTGCCCTGATATTTAACAATATATTTTACTCATTTCTCTGTTAGGTGTTGCTTCTTCCTAGAATCCTTTCTTATTTCTTGAGAATTTCTTCCACTTTTTTTTCCCAGACGGTCTTTTGCAACCTTGTGTTTCTAAGAATGTTATCTATATGTAAAGATATATCTATAGATAGATCTAGATAGATATATCTTTATAAATGTCATATATATTTATATATGTATGTATTTATTTAAATGTATATTTTCTTAAAATCCTGTGCTGGGGGTTAACAGTAAATTCTGCCAATTTTTTTTGCCTGCTGTTCCTCTTTGTGCCCCTCTGTTTCCTCCTAGATTTATGCTTCTTATAAAGGATTTCCTGTAGTAATGAGCTCAGAGAGGTTCCGACTTAACTTTGTCTCCTTAAGAGCAAGTTGCCCCTTCTAAAGTTTTTGGCTCCCTTTTGTGGTGTAATCTTCCCTCAAATGTTTGATGGCTCTTGATTGTGTGCTCATCTTTGTGACTGAGTGGCCACTGGGGTGCCTGCTTTCTGGAAGATGGCTAGTCCTAAGGCTGCTGTCAGGGCAGTGGGTTGGGGGAGGGGAGGCACCACTAGGTGGAGTACCTCCGGGGCTGGTCATCTGGGAGGTGAAGCTCCTGGTCCCTGTGATCCAGAGCACTGCCTCTCTTTCTCTCTGTGACCCATATACGCTAATCCTGGGGACAACCTCTATTGCCCCTGGCTGTCAGCAGAGAGGGGAGGACAGCTGGGTCTCTGTGAGACCCCAGTTCATCATTCGGTGGGCTGTTGGCAACCCTGTCCTGCTTCCCCTCTTACATTATGGGTGTAGAGCCCTTTGTGTGGCCCCACAGTGTGTAGCCTTGTTGGCTTATGCTTTTTCTCTTTGCTGTTATTGATTTGACAGAGAGAGAGCGTGCACGTGCACAAGCAGGGGGAGGGACAGAGGGAGAGGGAGAAGTAGACTCCCTGCAGAGCAGGGAGCCTGACATGGGGCTCGATCCCAGGACCCTGGGATCATGACCTGAGCTGAAGGCAGACGTTTAACTGACTGAACCACCCAGGCGCCCTTCTTTGCTGTAATCCTAATTGCTCTCCATCATTCAGGGTCTTCTAGTAGTTTCTGTCCCTGATAGATCTCCTTCTTGCTTTCAAATATCTCTGTTTTCTTTCTTTCTTTTTTTTTTAAAAAAAAATAACATCTTTGTCATTTTGAGGGTTTCGTGTGGGATGGGCAGACTGATGTACATGCTCTGTGTGCTTCCTGAGAGCAGAAGTGTGATCTTTATGGTTCTATCACATTTCTGGGTTCCCTCACCTTCCCCACCACTTCTAGGATCTTTCAGACCCGTGGCTACACATACCTGGGGAATATCGGGGTTTTAAAGAACTGCAGGGGAAGGTGCCCTGCTCACGGGTTTCCCCGAGGAGTGCTCTCCCCTGAGACCTCTGAGGGAAGGGCAGGAGTTGGGGGGGAGGAAGCCTGGAGTCGAGATGGAGGGAGACAGAGTCTGCGCAGATCTGCGAGTGGCCGTGAGGGTGCAGAGGGCATGGAGTGGAGTCCGAGCAGTAAGAACAAAATATGGGGGATCCCAGAAAGGAGAGGATCCCTGTCAAGAGAAGTCATAGAACTGCCATGTTGTGTTTTAGACCCGAGGCCCCAGCATCCCACTCCTGCAGCCTGGGGAGAGGACACAGTCCACCGCTGGTGGTCCAGATGCCCGCGGTGTTCCTGTGAAGTTAGTGAAGCTCCAACCTCCCTGCACAGGGAGGCCCTTCCAAGGCTTGGCGGCGAGGGGTGGGCACCTTAGTTAAGTGTTCACATGGCGGTATGTTTTCTGGAAAATACGAAAAGTAAGAGGATTTCATAGTTTTATTTGAAAAGGATGTCCAAATTAGATAAGCGTTGGGCCTCACAGAGCCTGAGTCTGTCCCCAGCTGTGTCATCAAGAAAGGAAGGAGCTAGGGGACCTGGCTGGCTCAGTGGAGCATACGACTCTTCGTCTTGGGGTCGTGAGTTTAAGTCCCATGCTGGGTGTAGAGATTACTTAAAAAATAAGTTAATTAATTTGAAAAAAAGAATGAAAGGAGTTAGATCTGGTTAGCAGGACAGTTGGATAATCAGGCTGGAGAAAGAAATATGGATGAAGATGAATCCACATAGGGAAGACACATTGCAGGTAGGCAGTGCTGGCCCTGAGGAAGCAAAGTTAAAAAAGATCAGATGATCTGAGTGGGGTACAAGCCAAGCTCCTGCTGGCGATGCTCAAGGCTGATGGGTCAGTGATTATAGCAGTGACTGATGGTGTGAATGTGGTTTTGGCTGTTTTTCAGAACCAGGCGGCTGAATGGCACCTGTGTCAGCTCGGTGGACCTGGAGCTCTTCCTCCATTACTCCCTCATCCCATCAGTAAGTAAAGGCAGGGGAAAGCATGGAGTGGAGGGGAGGGGAATTGGGTCACTCCCATATATAGACTCCCGAAGAGGCCTGAAAAGGTCAGCAGAGACATCAGCTGAATTTCCTCGACTTTCTCTCTTGCATTATGCGCCAAAAAAGCAGGCAGAAGAAGGCTTTTAAGGGCCAGTGAGTCAAGGACACTGGTTTTTAGGGGAGTTAAAAAAGGCTCTTCTAAGGAAGCAATGACAGCCAAGGTCTGTTGGGAGATGTGGTAAAGAGCCTCTCAAGCGGGGGGGGGGGGGAAACACGTGCAAAGGCCCTGTGGAGGAGGGGAATGGAGAGCATGAGGACCTGAGAGGGCTGGTATGACTGGAGTGGGGAGCTGAGGTGGAGGTGTCTGGGCCTGGGTCAGGTGGAGCCCTGTGGGGCTCTGTGTGAAGGAGTGGTGTCCGCATTCTAAGTGCAGTGGGAAGTAACTGGAGTGTTTCCAGTGTGAAGCTGGTGTGATCAGATTTCTGTTTTGAAATGAACTTTCTGGTCACATTGAGGGGATCAGGTTGGAGGTGGGCCGGAGAGGAGATGGTTGCAGATTTTAGCTCATCCTGGATGGTGGTGGTCAGCTCAAGATGTTTGGGAGGTAAGGCGATAGGACTGGGTAATGTGTAGGATAGAGAAGTTAGGGAGAGGAAGAGTTGAGGATGACGTGGTTTTCGTAGCTTGCACAGCCAGAAGAATGGTGGTATCTGCCATTCACTAGTTAAGGAGAATCAGAAGAGATCAGGGTTTGGGGTGGTTGAAGGAACAGGGCAGGAAGGCAAATCATGAATTCCATTTAAGACATACTGAATTTAAGAAGCTTTCAATACGTCAAAAAGAAATGCCAACTCTGTAGTTCAGTGAACAGTTACGGAGCTCATGGATAAGGTCCGGGCTGAAGAGTCAAGTGTGTGAGTCTTCTGGGCATTGGTGGCCATTGTCAGCATGAATGTGGGTGAGAGGATCCAGTAATAAGAGGAGGGGTCCTTGGACTGAACTAGGAGGAGCTCCCGACTTTAGTGGTTGAGGAAAGAATAATCCAGCAGAGGAGGCTGAGAGGTAATGGAGAACACCCAGAAAAGCACAGCTGATGGAAGCCTAGGGAAGAGGGTGTTTCTAAGAGGAGGAAGTGGTCAACACTGTGGAACACAGCGGAGAGATCAAGCCAGATTTGGGCCTCAAGTTTCCACTGGATTTGGTAATTTGGTAATTTGCGATTTTGGCCAGAGCTCTTTCCATGGATAGGGGTGAAGCCAGGTTAGGGGGTTGAAGAGCAAGTGAGAGGTGAGGAAATGAAGACTGCGAGAGTAGACAGTTGTCAAAAGGTTTCTAGTAAAAGGGGAGAGACAAAGGGCATCAAGGATTGAGAATATGATTGAATCCACAGTGGTGGGGGTGGGGGGTGGGGGTGGGGAGCGAGTAAAAAAGGATTTGCAACCTGACAGGTATTATCCCCTTTTTACAGATGAGGAAATGGAGATTCAGGGAAGTTTGGTCTCTCTTCCAGTCAGTCTGTGGGGGAGATGAGATTTGAACCTGTTCAGGGCAACACAGAGGAAAGCTCAGTACAAAACTGAGCTTTCTGGAAGCTCAAGGGTGCATGCAGCCAGCTCTCGGACTCGGGGTGGGGGGTGGTGGTCACAGACACTCTGCGCTCTCTGCTCACCCTCACCTTCTCTTCCAGGGAAGGCTCCAGGGCCGCACTGAGGATGAATGTTCCCGCTGACACTCTCATCTTCTCTTCCCATAGCTTTTCATCATTTTGGTCTTGTCCTTTCTCCAAAGGCGAGAGCACCGTAAACAGAGAGACGACACTTCTCACCTCCTGGGGAACCGCTTTGAAATCATCATGTGAGTGGAGCTAGGGCTGATCGCTACAGCTTGGGGAAGCCTGTGTTTGGGATCAATACCTGTTGTAAGGCCAGGACAACTCCCCGTTAGCTCTCCGGCCTTGCCTCCTCACCACCCCCCTTCCCCTCCCTGCCCCACCCCAGCCTGGCTCCGGAGTTCAGAATTGGCCTCCAAGCCAGGGCGGCCTCAGCACCCAGGGCTGCCCAGGTGTGATGAAAACATCTCAAGGAGACTCCGCTCACTATGCGAAAGGCCTTCCCACACCCAGCACTATGGCCTCCGGAAGCAGGAGGAAGAGAGCTCTCAGTCGGCCACAGGCAGCCGCAGGCATCCATGCTGGGAGGCGCCAGGAGTCACGCACCAGGAGAGCCCTTGCTCGCTCTGCCATCCTGAGTGTCTGCACCCCTTATCACATTTTTCCTTAAGCTCTAATCGTTCGTATCTCTGCCGCATCACCCTTTAATAGTTCATAATAATAATGATAATGAAGCAGGTAACAGTTACTGCACAGTGACCGTGACCCAGGCATTGAACCTTTTGCTTTGCCTAGCATTACTTGGACAAACCCTCTTGCCGACCTAGCAGGCTGGAGGTTCTTATCCTCATGTAATGGATGAGTAAACTCAGGCTCAGAGAGGTTAAGTGACTTGCCCAAGTCCACACAGCTAACAAGTGACAAGAGCTTTCACTGAGGTCTGGTTGATATTTGCTCTGATTCCCCCCGACATCGTAGCCTAAGCAGGCTCAAGCATGTAAACATGCTAAGGTCTCCACCTTGGATTCTGGAGAAGGGAGAGGAAGCCCGGGTGTTGAGACCAAGGCTAGCGGTGACCTAGGGATTCAGGGTGACAAAGGGAGCCCCTGTACCAGCTCTGAGGAGCAGACTCATTCTGGATAGCCCCCACTGGAGGGATCAGCCCTTCCCAAACTGCCAGGCCTGAGCCACCCTGGTCGGGACGCAGAGGCAGACTCTGCCCAGGGCATCTGACATGCGGGGCCTGGTGCGGGACTTCTTAAGAAGTAGGAGCTCTGTATGGGTCATGTGGAACTGCTTTGAATTCGATTGGTAATGGCATACCTTGCTTACTCCCTGGCCACTTTCCCATCAAAACCCCCACTTTTCTGAGGAGTTCTGGCCCACCGTCTTCACGCATCAGAAGCCCCTCACATGTGCGTGGCACACCACAGTTTGTCAAGCAGTTCTTCATTTGCCGCCCACGGTGTCTCTGACATGAGCAGAGTGGGGGCTGCCATCTGTCTGAAAGATGTGGAAACAGTCTCACATATTTTAGGTACCAGAGGTGGGACAGACTGAATTCGGTTCACGCCCACAAAATACGTGTTGGTGAACGTGCAGTGAGCACCTACTCTTTTCAAGATCCTGTGTTAGGTACTCACTCCTTGGAGCGTATCGTTTCCTAGACAAACAATAATGCAGAGAGGTGTACTGCAACATGGACATGCCCTTAGGGCTGAGGGGACCCAGACAAGGCAGCAACTGGGTGGGCCTGCTGGGAGTGGTCGGGGTGATGGTGGTGGGGGCTTCCCAGAAGAGGTGCTCCTTGAGCTGAGACTTGAAGGGGAGTCTGAGAAAGACTAAGGGGGCAGGAGGTGAGATCCAGATCCTGGCCCCAGGTCCCTGCCTCCATGCATTGCTCCCATTGCCCCCCGGAGTTTTCATCAAAGGTCGCTTCAGATGCCACTTCAACAAGAAAGTCTCTCTTTTTTCCAGATGCGGTTTTTTACTTTGATCTAGACAGAGCCATTTTGGTTAGAAGAAACAGATATCCTGTAAAGCTCGTTTTTGTAAAAGGAAAAGAAAGGATTTTTATAAAGTTACAGAGATTTCCCAGGAACTGGCAAGGCCGGCCTCATGGCCACTGGGTCTCTTGAGATGGGCATTGTTGGGTGACTTATTCCAGCCTCCCTGCGTAACAGGAGCCCCTCAGCACCATTTTACTACTGTCCTCGCTGCTGTCTGACATTATCATCTGATTTAGAATCTTTGCTTCCCTAAAACCTCTACTTACCTCTAGCACCAACTCTGATCCCAACTTGGCATGACTTTCCAGAATAGAATTTTAATAGAATTTTAACAGCTGACTGGCTCGTGTCCTCAGGGTCAGAAAGCCAAAATCCAAGACCAGGCATCTGATTGGCCCATCCAGAGTCAGGTGGTCACCCCCTGGTCCAATCAGCTGTGGCCGGGAAGGTATGCTGGCGTGGAACCAGCATGGCCAATGCTACCCAGACCCTCCCAGGGATGTTGGGGCTCTCCTAGTCGCTGGGCACAGGGCAGGCTCCCCCAAGCCTGTCGAGTACATACTCCTTGTTGCGGTCTCCTGAGTCATACTGCCTGTGTCTCTCATAGATGAAACTCATCCTATTTTGTTTGTTGTCATGGTTATTAGTGTCCTTGCTTGTGTCCCTCCCCTCACTCCCCTCCCCCAAGCCTTGGAGCTCCTCAGGGGCAAAGATTTTGGTCTTCCTCACTTCAGTACCCTGAATCCATGCTTACCCCCAGAATTAGCCCTGAGGGCCTCAGAAAATGTCAGTTGAAGCGAATAATTCACCACCCCATAATCCCTCCTCAGGGTAGGATTGACACTTTGGAGGTGAACTGTGGGAATGAGCCACGGTCTGGCCTCATGAGCTGTTTCTCTCGTTCACAGACCTCTGGACTTGGTGGGCACCTTTAGTAACCGATGGTCCTATGGACTCGCCTTTGGGGCCACAGCCAATAAGGTCATGTTCTTGTTCTCGGAAGGCTACCAGCCCTTGCAGATCCCACAGTGGGCCCAAGGTAAGGACTGCCTCATACCCACTGGGAATTTTGCGATGGCAAGTCTTGCTCTCAGAGATCGCGTGGCAGGGGTTCCCTGGGATCAGGGGATAAAAAAAATAAACGTTATGAGTAGTCCGCGTTCTTCCCCGCCTGTAACTTGCCCAAGAAAAATGCCTCCCCTGCCAGGTCAGAGCTTGTTTGTGGGGCTTTCTCTCAGGGAGATTCAGAGCTCCTATAGACATAGAACAAAGGCTCAAAAAGTAGGTTCACCATCACCTACCCCAGAAATTTCAGTCCTGAGTCCTAGCCATCTCTGCCTTCTTGATATCGGCAAGCCCTGGGATTCCTCCTCACAGAGCAATGCTTACTTCTTTGGCCATTGGTCTGAGGCCTCTTCGTTCCCCATGTCTCACGTTCTCCCTGAAGGATCAACTCTAATTTACATATTCAGCCATTCCAATACAATGACTCCAAACCTCTCTGTCCAGCCCAGTTCTCTCTCAGGGCCTCCAGGCCTGTAAGAGCAAATGCGGACCGGCATCTCATTAGTCTTTAGGGAAATGCAAATTAAAACTGACATGATATACCACCACACATCTCTTTGAGGTGTACAGTCTGATAAGTTTTGGCAAACGCTAACATCCATGAAATCATGACCACAATCAAGACAATGAACTCCATAAGTTTCCTTGTCGCCTTTTGTAATCTCTCCTTCCCACCTTATTCCATCACTGCCCTCATCACTGATCTTTTTCCAGAATTTTATATAAATGGAATTATACAGAATGTACTTTTTATTTTTGGTGTAGCTTCTTTCACACAGCATAGTTATTTTGAGATTCATACACATTTAACATGTGCCAGAAATTCATTCTTTCTTATTGCCAGGTGGTGTTCCATTATATGGAGAAAACAGTTTGTGTGCCCATTCACCTTTTTTTTTTTTTTTTTACAAGGTTTATTTATTCACAAGAGAGAGTGAGCATGCCCCTGGGGCGGTGGCAGGGGTGGGGATGGGAGAAGGAGAGGGAGGGAGAGTCTCAAGCTGGCTCTGCGCTAAGTGTGGAACCCAACTTGGGGCTCAATTCCATGACCCTGAGACCATGACCTGAACCAAAACCAAAAGTCAGCCTTGTAACCAGCCATACCACCCAGGTGCCCGCCCATTCACCTCTTGATGGACATTTGATTTATTTGCATCTTTAGCTATTGAAAATCAAGCTGCTTTGAACATTTGTGTATAAATCTTTTTGTGTACCTCTGCTTCCATTTTTCCTAGGTAAATACCTGTGAGTGGAATGGCTGGATCATACACTTCATGTAGTAGATCATACTTTTTAAAGAAATTGTCAAACTGTTTTCCAAAGTGATTGTTCAGTTTTAGATTACCACCATCAGTATGTGAGACTTCCAGTTTCTCTATATCCTTGGCAGCACATGGTCAGTCTTTTTATTTTTTATTTATACTGTTCTTGTCAGTCTCTTTTTATTTATTTTTTCCCCTTCTTTCTTAGTTTTTATTTTATTTTATTTTTTTATTTATTATGTTCAATTAGCCAACATATAGTACATCATTAGTTTTTGATGTAGTGTTCAATGATTCATTAGCTGTGTATAACACCCAGTGCTCATCACAACAGCACCTCCTTAATACCCATCACCGGGTTACCCCATCCCCCCACCCCACTCCCTTCTGTAACCCTCAGTTTGTTTCCTGGGGTCAATCTCTTTTTAAAATAATTTTGGGGGCACCTAGGTGGCTCAGTCAGCTAAGTGCCTGATTCTTGATTTTAGCTCAGGTCATGATCCCAGGGTACTGGGATCGAGAGTCGCATTGGGCTCCCTGCTCAGCAGGGAGCCTGCTTCTCCCTATGCCTGCCACTCCACGTTTGTGCTCTCCCTCGTTATCTCTGTCTCTCTTTCTCTTTGACAAATATAAAAAATTAAATCTTAAAAAAAAAAAGATTCTCTCTCTGCCCCTCCCCACCATACCACCGCACTCTCTCTCTCAAATAAATAAATAAATCTTAAAAAAAAAAGATTCTCTCTCTCCCTCCTCTGCCCCTCTCTCCCACCCCCACTCATGCATGCACTGTCTCTCTCAAAAAAATTTTTAATTTAATTGCATTAGTTTCAGGGATGCCTGAGTGGCTCAGTTGGTTAAGCGTCTGCCTTCGGCTCAGGTCATGATCCCAGAGTCCTGGGATCGAGTCCCACATCGGGCTCCTTGCTCAGCAAGGAGCCTGCTTCTCCCTCTGCCTGCCTCTGTCTTTCTCTCTCTGATAAATAAATAAAATCTTAAAAAAATATATTTTAATTGCATTAGTTTCAGGTGTACAACATAATGATTCACTCTCTGTATGTTATGCTCTGCTCACCGCAAATGTAGCTACCATCTGTCACCATACAACGCTATTATAAAGATTTTATTTATTTATTTATTTGAGAGAGAGAGAATGAGAGACAGAGAGCATGAGAAGGAGGAAGGTCAGAGGGAGAAGCAGACTCCCTGCCGAGCAGGGAGCCCGATGCGGGACTCGATCCCGGGACTCCAGGATCATGACCTGAGCCGAAGGCAGTCGCTTAACCAACTGAGCCACCCAGGCGCCCCCTTTTTTTTTTTTTTAAGATTTTATTTATTTATTTATTTGAGAGAGAGAGAGAATGAGAGACAGAGAGCATGAGAAGGAGGAAGGTCAGAGGGATACAACGCTATTATAATATCATTGACTGTATTCCCTCATCTGACTTTATTCTTGTGACTTATTCATTTCATAACCGGCAACCTCTAAGTCCCCTTCACCCATTTTGCACCCCCTCTCTGGGAATCATCAGTTTGTTCTCCGTAAATATAGATCTGATTCTGCTTTTTATTTGTTTGTTTATGAAATAACAAGTGTTGGTGAGGATGTAGAGAAAAAAGAACCTTCACGCACTGTTGGTGGGAATGTAAATTGGTACAGCTACTGTGGAAAACAGTATGGAGAGTCCTAGAAAATTAAAAATAGAATTACTATATGATCCAGTAATTCCACTACTGGGTATTTACCCAAAGAAAATGACAGCACTAAGTTGAAAAGATATAAGCACCCTGTGTTTATTGCAGCATTATTTACAATAGCCAAGATATGGAAGCAATCTAAGTGCCCATCGATAAATGGATAAAGAAGATGTGGTACACACACACACACACACACACAGAGGAATATTACTCAGCCATAAAAAGGATGAGATCTTGCCATTTGCAACAACATGGATGGATCTAGGGGGCATAATGCTAAGTGAAACAAGTCAGACTGAGAAAGACAAATACCATATGATTTTACTCATATGTAGAATCTAAAAAATGAATAGGTGCACCTGGGTGGCTCAGTCGTTGGGCGTCTGCCTTCAGCTCAGGTCATGATCCCAGGGTCCTGGGATGGAGCCCCGCATCGGGCTCCCTGCTCCGCAGGAGGCCTGCTTCTCCCTCTCCCGCTCCCCCTGCTTGTGTTCCCTCTCTCACTGTGTCTCTCTCTGTCAAATAAATAAATAAAATCTTTAAAAAAATAAAAATAAAAAACAAATGAATAAACAAAGTCTTTTTCATTTTAGCCATTCTAAGAAGTGTGTAATGCTGTCTTAATGTGGTTTTAATTTGCATTTTCATAATGACTGATGATGTTGAGCATATTTTCATGTGCTCATTTGCTATCCCTATAGCTTCTTTAGTGAAGGGTCCAAATCGCTTTCCTTATTTATAAAAGTTAGGGTTTTTGTTTTCTTCATATTGAGTTTTGATAGTTCTATATCTAGTTCTGTATATAAGTCCTTTATCAGATGTCTGAATTACATTTGCTCCTAGTCTGTGGCTTTTGTTTTCAATCTACCAACAATGTCTTCTGAAAAGCTGTCTTAAAATTTTGATGAAATCTAATTTTTCATTTTCTTTTATGGATCATGCTTATGGTGTCAGAAAAGGAATCTTTACCTAATCTAAGGTCATTTAGATTTTCTCCTGTGTTTTTTCTGGAAGCTTTATAGTCATGATATTTTGCATTTAGGTCTATGATACATTTTGAGTAGTAGTGTGAGGTATGGATTGAAGTTCCTTTTTTTTTTTTTTTTTTTTTTGCCCTTTGGTTATCCATTTTTTCCAATACTATGTATTTCAAAAACCTGTCCTTTGCCCACAGAATTGCCTTTGGACCTTTGTCAGCAACAATTGGCTGCATGTGTATGGGTCTGTTTCTGGACTCTGCTCTGTTCCGTTGATCTGCAGCATATGAGGGCTCCAATCTCTCCACATCCTCCCCAACAGTATTTTCTGTTTTTAAAACAATGGCAGCCATCTCGGCACATGTGAAATAGTATCTAATTGCTGCCTGGATTTGCAGGTCCCTGAAGACCAATGCTGTGGGGCACCTGGCAGGGTCAGAACATCATTTCCTGCTTCGTGGCTCAAGATTCCTCTCTTCTGTTTTCACAAAGTGATTATGGAGGTGTATCCCCCCCAACACCCTCAGCCTTTCCCAGTCAGCCTCTTCCCCCCACTGGCATCTGGACCCACTGTTTCCCAACTCCTGACGTTCCTCTCCCTCTCACTTTGGAGTCTGACGGGTCTGCAGGCCGCCTCTGTGGGGGGCTGTGTCGTGGGAGGGGCCTGAGGTAGTCAGCAGAGCGAGGTCACGGCTGCCGGCCTTTCCTCAGCCGTGAATCGCGGCCTTCAGCACCTTGCCCACTTTCAGCTGGGATTTCAGCTTCAGTGTCTTGTGTGCGCTGGCAGGTTGAGGTTCTTCTGTTCTCAGGCCTTCAGACATCCCGCTGCCTTCCTCTGCTTCCTCTTACTCAGATGTCGAAACCAAATGGTCTCGAGACCTAGATTTCTGGTAGATGTTGTCTGCGGGTTTGGTTTTGCCATCTTAGTTACTCTGTCTGCTTCTATGACAGGTAGATTGCAAAATTATGCTCTTGTGGCTTCTGTCCTCACAGAAATTCTTCCTTGTATATAGGGTCCTGTCCTGCCAGCAGCCCACCATTCACATGCATGTAAATACTGACCAACCCCAGCCGACCACCTGCCATCTGAGTGAGGAATGCCCTTCCTTCCCTTCTCCTCTCCATCTTACAAACCCCTGCTTGTATTTCCTGGCCTTGTTAAATGTCACCACCTCCAGGAAGCCTTCCCTGATCCAGACTCTAGGTGAAGTCAGGGGCTTCCACTTCTTGTCCCCACAGCAGATCGACTGTGCCTCTGTTAACACACCACTCACCTTCCTCCCTGTCTTCTCTATTGGACTGCAAGCATCTCAAAGCAAGAAGCTTGTTCATTCCTCCTGTAGCCTTAGTGTCTGGCTCTGGAGCCAGCTCAAAGCAGATACTTTGTGAAGGTCGTGTTGCACGATTAGATTTTCCTGGATCCTGTTAGATTCTCTAAGAGCTAGTCAGTGGCAGAATGACTATGATCATTGCCTTGTGTAGAAAGGACAGGATGGTTACGAGAGGTTTTGCGCACACACATCACCACGCTTTGTGTTGCCGTGGTGCATTCGCAGTGCTATACTCTTGGTGGTTGCTGTTTGTTCAGGTATGTGGCCTGCCTGCACCTCATAGTGTGAGCTGCCCAAAGGCAGGGGCCACGTCGTCTTCATCCCAATACTTAGCCAGTGCCTGGCATGGAAGAGGTCCCAGGAAGGGTCCGTTGCAGGAGTGAAAGGCATTCCCGCATTCCTCCTTGCTGAGCTGGGGCTTGTCCTCTCATCTCCTTGGGTCCTGAGGCCTGCGACTGGAAGTTGGTGTAAAGCCCCATAGCTTCCTTGGGATGCCCGGAGCCTGTGGAAGAGGATTCATGGCATCTCTGACCCTGTCTCTCCCAGCCTTTGTACTGCTGATCGGAGGCATAGAAGTCGGCCTGTCCCACTTCCCCTTCTTTGCCTGCCTCTCGTCGGAGTTCCGGCTGCTCAGCTCCATCCTCGGCTTCAGCTACTCTCTGATCTGGTAAGACGGATGCTGCCTGCCTGCCTTCCTGTGACTCCTTCGGCCGTGGCTGACCTCTGGACAAAGGGCTGGGGGTGACCTGCGAGCTCCCCATGGAGGGCTTCTTTGCCCAGACCTGAGGCTCACGATGGGCAGGTGGGGTGACTGGTCCCAGGTCCCACTGTGGCCTCTCTGTGGGACTGCACTTTAGGCTGCAGAAGGTCAGGCCAGCGTGCTTTCTGCTTCACAGCCACTTGTGATTAGAATATTCCCTGAAGTCAGCGATGTAGCAAACTTCATTTCTGTAAACTGCCCAGGGTCCCAGTTGGGGAATGCAGGAGTCCCATTTGGATGCTTCTCTTCTGTGCTGGCATGTCTCCCCCAGGAGCCCAGGGGAAAGTCCATGCACCTCAGCTTGACATTCAGGGCCACTGCGGTGTGGCCTCCCCTGTCTCTCTATGCCCCCCAGTCTCCAGCACACACCCTCCGGTCACACTAGACTCCTGCGTTCCTTCATCCACCCACTTACTCGGCAAACATGCTATTATCTCCTCGCTCTGAGCCAGGGAACACGCTAGAGAACAAGACAGCCCCTATGGGTCATGCCTTCTGGCCTCTTTATCTATATCTTGCTGTTCCCCCTGTGGATTATCTTCCCTGACTCGATCCAGTGGTAGATACAGGCACATCCTTCATGGATTGCCAACCCCATAGATGGAGAACTTCCTAACCCTCCTGTTGATTTCTTTGCCCTCAGCACTGGCACGGGACCAGCCTCAGGAGTCCTTGCTGCCTGAATAATCCCACGAGCATTCTGCTTTCATGCCTCTGTCCCCCTCACTGAGCCGGCTTCCCCCCTGCAGCACTTTCTGTGATGCAGGGGTCCTGAGGCCCGCGTGCAGGCCACTGCGGGGGCTCACAAGCAGCTGATGCACTAGTGACTACAATTCCTAAGTCTGTAGATGGCTCGCTTTATAAAATGAAAAGAGAGTGTATCTGGGGTTAGACGTGGAGTAATAGTACCATCTTGTTGGCCTCTGACAAACCTTCGCCCCGGGGAGGAGATGGTGGGGGGACTCACTCAGCGGCCTGCACTCCCTGGGAGATGAATCGGGCTGGAAGGTGACCAGGACAGTGTCGGGGGCTAAAGCCTCGAGGCTCATTCCTCAGGGCACCGTTTCCAGACGAGGCCGGGAGGGGCAGAAGGAGCGTGGACCCCAGAGTTGGGAGACCTGGGCCTCAGTCCTGGTTCCAGGTGTGACTCTGGACAGATTCCTTTCCCTCTGCAGGCTTCAGTTTGTGCCCCTGGCAGGGAGAAGGAGCTCCCTCATGGACTTGTGCTCTGCTGTGTGGATCCCGGGTTTGTGTCCTATCCGAGGGCATGTGAGATGAATTTGGTGCATGTACTTTAGCATAAGCAGGGTGCCTGATCTGGGAGGGAGGTACACAGAGGCCTGGGCACCAGCCCTCCCGAGGTGGAAGGAAAGGGGAGGTAGCTCCAGGCTGATGGGATCTGGGCTTCTTTACAGGGACCATGCTGGGAGTGGTCACAGTACCCCAAACCCTGTTTTTGTCTTGCAGGTTTGCTGTCACTGTCCTTTACATCACAGAGTGTCCCCATGGGCAGGTGAGTCCCCGCTGATCTATGTGTAGAGTATTCAGTCCTGTCACCGTGACCAGTTTGCTGTGTGACATTGGACAAACCCCTGCCACTTTTATGGGCCTCCGTTCCCTCATGTGAACAGGAGAGTTGGTGGAGCCATTCATGATGCTTCCATTTGTACAGCACCTTATGTTCATCAAGGTGCTCATTCACAGACATACGTTCTCTCAGTTGATGTTCACAGCAGTCCCTCAAGGTGGGGAACCTCTCAGCAGACCTATTTCACAGGTGAGGAAACGGAGGCCAAGTGTATTAAGTAACTCTTCAGAAGTAGCAGATTCAAGAGTTGAGACCAGGTCTGGCTGACTCCAAAGCTCATTTCTTTCCATTCCTTCATGTAGCCTTACTTTCTCTGTCTATAAAATGGGAGACTAGGACTGGATGAACCCTCCAGCTTTGCCATGCATTGTCCTTCTTGGAATTGGGGGGAACTGGTTCATCTTTTGGCCTTGTATGCGACAAAAAGGAGCAAGATGAAAGAGCATGTCACACAGCATCTAGAAGAGTTACTAGGCAGGTGGGGGGAGCACCGTGGGCCTCTGGGGTTAGGAGCCGATGGGAGCCTTCCAAAGTCTCTCCTGGGCTTCACTCACTGTGGAGACTACAGGGTGTGATGAAGAGAGTCTGGAGGAGCTGGATTGGAAAATGAGTTTGGGGGCTGGGCTTTCCCTCTGCATCTCTGTGCTGGGATTAAGAACGTTCTAGCATACCTCTGCCCAGAAAGATGCCCTCCACTCTGCTCATGGTGCCAGAGAGTCTAGATCACAGGCATTTTCTTTGGTACCTTGGAGAGCTTCCGGTCTTCCTGAGGTTCTTCTGAAATTTGAAATATTCGTGGTTAATTAAGGGAGAGGGCAGGGTCTTACTCTATGCTCAGAATCACTAACGTTAAGAACTGCTATGTGCTAGGTGTTGTTCGAGGCTCAGCCCCCCAGATCAACTGTTGCATAGTTCAGGGTGCTTCACGGCACTTTGAAGGCTGTGTGTTAGTGCTGTCCCCAGCTCACTGACAAGAAAGTGAGGCTCAGGGGCTAATGGGACTTACAAGTTAAAAACCAAGGGACTGAAATTCAGACTAAGGTAATTATAAAGATTTCATCTCATGTTCTCAAATGTGTTCATGGAAACATTATGTATAAAAATGAGACATTGGAAAAGTCTAAAATGTCAAATATTAGGAGAAACTTTAAATAAAATTGGTTCATCTAAACAATGCACTATTATGCAGCATTAAAAGTGACATATGCAAATAATTTGTAAGCATGTGGGGAGCTGACTGTGATGTATACAGGCCTATGTATTTGGTATAATATCAATTTATAATAGATATAGATGTAAGGATAGATACAGAGGAAAGACACTGGAATATTGGCAGTGGTGATGTCTGATGTCTAAGTGGTGAGCAGACATGCTCCCCTCCCTGTTTCCTCTCCTTACCCCTCTTTCTCTCTCCCTCTCTGTTGTGTGTATTTTCCAAAAGTAGCAATATTTAATCCCTGATCAGATGAAGCCATGAAAGCCCTTTGTATAAAATAAAATGGGGGTGTTAGGACTCACACCCAGGGCTGCTGGACTGTGGGCCACGGCTGGTCCCATGGTATGGGACTGGGGGAGCTGAGATGGACCCCTGGCCGCCCAGCTCTGGGCGTGGGCTGGGGCAGGCAGATCTGCATCCACAGCTTCACCGGTGGCCCGGCCCTGGCCCAGCGACAGCCCGCACCCCATGCTCTGCTTCGGTTGCAGTTTCTGGGGAGGTACGAGACGGTCCTGTTCTACTGGCCCTCCCTGCTGTGCCTGGCCTTCCTGCTGGGCCGCTTCCTGCATATGTTTGTCAAGTCTCTGAGGGTCCACCTGGGCTGGGAGCTGCAGATGGTGAGTCCCGAGTGGGAGCCCCGTGCGTGTGCCTGCGGGGCTGGTCTGCGCAGCTGCCCTGGGAGGGAGGCACTACGTTTACTGCTCCCATTCTGCGTGAGGAAACATGGCCCCGGGGAGGTGGGTTGTATCGCCTAAGATCAAGTCGCTGGTCTGGAGCAGAGCGGGAACTGCAACCAGAGAGCTCGGTTGTTGAAGCTCTCTCTTAACCTCTGCTCCATCCAGAAGAGTGGCTTCCCCCAAATTCCTGGCCTCTGTGACAGAGCCTGTCACAAGGATTTGCGAGCCCCAGCATACACCTGTCTCTTTCCTCACAGGAAGAAAAGCCTTTCCTGGAAGTTCACCAGGCACAGCATGTCAAACGTCTCCTGAGGAAGCCCCCCTTGCAGTAAGCCCCGGGGTGCCTCATTTGCCCCTCTGTGTTTGCGCCCATGTGGACGAGCCCTGAGACGACTGGAAAGGCGCAGAGTAGTCAGGACTCTTGTTGGCTAATGACAGAAACGCAAATCAAACTAGATTAAAGAGAACAAGGAAATGTGTGGCCTTTCTTAACAAGAAAGCCTAGAGGTGGTCAACTCAGAAGCAGATGGATCCAGGGGCTTCACTGATATCAGAACCAGGGCGAGTTCCCTCATTTTCTCTTAGCTCTGCTTTGATGTGTGTTAGCCTTGTAATGAGGTGGGCTTCCTTCCCATGGTGGCCCCCGGAATCTCTAAGCTTATACCCTCCTGGTTTAAGCTCACAGGAAAAAGAAGTTTTCTTTTCTAATAATTCAAACCAAACTCCCATTGTGATTCATTGGATCACATTGGACCACGTGTCTTCCCAAAACTAATTACTCTGGCTAGGCGATTAGAGTAAATGGATTATTAAGCCTGTCACATATTCGTCGTTGGAACTAGGAAGTGGTTCAGCCTCACTTAACCGCTAGGACTGATGGGAGGGAGCAGGTTCCCAGAGAAAGACTGCTGTGCTGTTACCAATACAAGAAGACATAGCTCATGGCCAAGCAAAAGCACTGGTCTTCAGTGACCTATTCCTGCTACTGCCACCATGTACCAAGGGGATATGCCCCAGAGAAAGGACGTGGCTAGTCCAAGGTCATTCAGTGGCAAAGCTCATACTTTGGTTAGAACTACATTTGCCTACGTGTAGCTGAAAAGGCAAAATAACAGTGGGACACACAAGAGGGAGATTTCTTTCTTTCTCATGTAGAAGAATTCTGGAGGCAGGCAGTTTATACTGACCCTGGATTGCCCACCATGGAAGTTTGCTGATCATCTGTCTTTCTGCTGCCATTCTTGGTGATTGTCCACATCCAAGATAGATGCTGGGTGGGCTCCAGGTTGGACCAGCCACCGTGTCGGCATTTTAGACAGCGGGCAGGAGAAAAGAAGGGCAGTGGGGTCCCTCCCAGCTGTGTCAATTCTACCTCAGCACCTTCCCCCAAAGTGCCATCCCACACTGTGGTCACATCTGATTGGCCTGTGCTTACTCTTTCACTCTTAGCTGTAAGAAAGTCAGGAACGATAGCCCTTTAGTTTGCTGAATTGCTGTATTGAGTAAAACTGAGTCTCTGTTCTTAAGAATGAGGGGAAAATGAAAACTGGAATCTACCAGTATTCTTTCTCTTCACTACATTCTAAGAATAAGCAGAGACAATGAGGTTATTTTCAGAAGAATCAGACATTTGTTTACCAATCACAGCCTCTCTTTTCTTGTTATTTATTCATTCACAGGGAGACTAAAAAGTCCTGGTTCCAAACCAGAATCTATGAGTGGGACCCCTGCTTTCAGTTCCCAAGCAGAATGATTGGAACCACCGTGTTGGCTTTCATATGCCTGTACCTTGTAAGTAGATTGGAACAAATCCTTTTCTGTTTCATAAATGGGGTGGGGTTAAGACAGGTTATTCTTTAAAAGCTAGGTCAAAACTGAATCTCTGTAAATCAAAGAAGTACAGTTTTTTGACCCCTATCATTTTTACTCCAAGGACACTTTCACCCACATGGCGAATATTACTAATAAATATAATTGAAGTATTTATGGAGACTTTCAGTTAAATCAATTCTATGTAAACAGCTTGCAAGAAGCTACTCCATCCTAACAACAAGTAAATATCTGAACAAACTGAAAAATCAACAGTTCCTTCTTAGATGCATAAAAAAAGAGAAGTCATGGTGCAAACCGTTGCCCCTAAAATTGGAGACAGACAGGTGGATAGGAGAACCACAATAGAATGGCACAAATAAAATCTAGCAATATATGAAAGGAATTATACACCACAACCAAGTGGGATTTATCTCAGATATGCAAGCCTGGTACAATATTAAAAATTAATGTAATCAATCACATCAGTAACTGAAAGAAGAAAAATCACATGATCATATCAATAGATGTAGGAAAAACATTTAACAAAATCCAACACGAGTTCATGAGAAAATTTTTCAGCAACCTAGGCATAGAGGAGAACTTCTTCAATCTGATAAAGAATATCAACAAAAAAATCTACAACTAACATCATACTTTATGGTGAGAAATTAGAAGCTTTCCCACTAAGACCAGGAAGAAGGCAAAACTGTTCCCCCTCACCACTCAACATTTACTTAGGAGATTCTAGCTAAGTAATAAGACAAGAAAAGGAAATAAAAAGTATACTGATTGGGAAGGAAGAAGTAAAAATGTCTTTGTTCACAGATGACATGATTGTGTATGTAGAAAATCCAAAAGAATCAACGAAAAAACTCCTGAAGGGGCGCCTGGTTGGCTCAGTCAGTAGAGTGTGTGACTCTTGATCTCAGGGTTGTAAGTTCGAGCCCCATGCTGGGTGCAGAGATTACTTAAAGTCTTAAAAAAAACCCGACTTCTGGAACTAATAAGCAGTTATAGCAGGGTTGCAGGGTACAAGGTTAACATACAAAAGTCAATTGCTCTTTTATATATTAACATTGAACAAGGGGAATTTGAAATTAAAAATACAATATCATTTACATTAGCATCCCCCCAAAAGGAATACTTAAGTGTAAATCTAATGAAATATGTATAAGATCTATATGAGGAAAATTACAAACCTGTGTTGAAAGGAATCAAATCAACTAAATACATGGAGAAATATCCTATATTCGTGGATGGAAAGACTCAATATTGTCAAGATATCAGTACTTCCCAACTTGATTTACATATATTGGGATTGATCTATATTGGAATTCAAAGAAATCTCAATCAAAATCCCAGGGAGTTACTTTGTGGATATTGACAAACTGGTTCTAAAGTTTTCAGGGAGAGGCAAAAGACTCATAGTAGACAACACAATTTTGAAGGAGAAGAAGAAAGTTGAAGGACTGACACTACTCAATTTCAAGACTTACTGCAAAGCTGCACTAATCATGACAGTGTGGTGTTGGCAAAAGAATAGACAAATGAATCAATGGACAGAGTAGAGAGCTAAGAAATAGACCAACATAAATATAGTCAGCTTATCTTTGACAAAAGGGCAAAGGTAATACAATGGAGTAAAGATTTTCTTTTTAATAAATGATGCTGGAACAACTGGACATCCACATGCAAAAAAAAAAAATGAATCTAGACACAGACCTTCATAAATATTAACTTAAAATGGATCACAGACCTAAACATCAAATGCAAAACTATAAAACTCCTAGAAGGTAAAATAGGAGAAAATTTAGGTGACCTTGGGGGTTTGGTGATGACTTAATTTTTTAAATTAAATTAAATTTATTATTGTTACTATTTTTGGCATTATCAAGCATTTATTTAAGGGGCTGGTAAGTGTGAATAATTTATGTATTTATGTATGTATGTATTTATTTTTATTAATTCCAGTATAGTTAACATATTATTTCAGGTGTACAATATAGTGATTCAACTATTCTATACATCACCCAGTGCTCATCACAACAAGTGCACTCCTTACTCCCCTTCGCCTATTTCACCCATCCCTTCACCCACCTCCCCTCCGGTAACCATCAGTTTGTTCTCTACATTGAAGTGGTGATGATTTTTTAGATATGACACCAAAGACAATCCATGAAAGGTTGATAAGCTGGGCTTCATTAAAATAAAAACATTTTCTTCTGCAAAAGACCGTGTCAAGAGAGCAAAAAGACAAGCCACGTTGGGAGAAGATATTTGCAAAAGACAATCTGATAAAGTCTGTTATTCAAAATATACAATGAGCGCTTAAAATTCAATAAGAAGAAAATAAATAACCAGATTGAAAAATGGACCAAAGACCTTAATAGTCACCTCACAGAGAAGATAGATGGCAAATAAGCTTTTGAAAACATGCTCTACCAAAAAATGAAACAAGATGAAACCACAAAGGGAGACAGACCATAAGAAACTCTTAATCTCAGGAAACAAACTGAGGGTTGCTGGAGTGGTGGGGGCTGGGAGAGATGGGGTGGCTGGGTGATAGACATTGGGAAGGGTATGTGCTATGGTGAGCGCTGTGAATTATGTAAGACTGATAAATCACAGACCTGTACCTCTGAAACAAATAATACATTATATGTTAAAAAAAAAGAAGAAGAAGATAGTAGGAAGGGAAAAATGAAATCGGGGGGAAATCGGAGGGGGAGATGAACCATGAGAGACTATGGACTCTGAGAAACAAACTGAGTGTTTTAGAGGGGAGGGGTGGGGGGTTGGGTTAGCCTGGTGATGGGTATTAAAGAGGGCACATATTGCATGGAGCACTGGGTGTTATGCACAAACAATGAATCATGGAACACTACATCAAAAACTAATGATGTAATGTACGGTGACTAACATAACATAATAAAATAAAATAAAATAAAAAACAAAAAACCCCAAAAACATGCGCTACAGCATATGTCATCAGGAAAATGCAAGTTAAAACAAAAATGAGATACTACTACACACCTATTAGAATGGCCAAAATTCAGGACACTGACAACATCAAATGCAGATAAGGATGTGGAGCAACAGGAACTCTCATTCATTGCTGGTGGAAATGAAAATGGTACGGCCACTTTGTAAGATACTTGGGTGGGTTCTGACAAAACTAAATGTACTCTTACCATGTGATCCAGCAGTCACCTTCCTTGGTATTTACCCACATGCACTAAAAACTTATGTCCACACAAAAACCTGCACATGGATGTTTATAGCAGCTTTATACATAATTGCTAAAATATGGAAGTGACCAAGAGCCCTTCAGTAGGTGAATGGATAAATAATTTTTGGTACATCCAGACAATGGGATACAATTCAGCACTAAAATGAAATGAACTATCAGGCAATGAAAAGACATGGAAGAAACTTAGATGCATATTAGTAAGTGAAAGATGCCAATTTGAAAAGGTTACACAATGTATGATTCCAACTGTGTGATATTTTGAAAGGCAAAATTATGGAGACAGTAAAAGATCAGTGGTTTCCAGGGGTTGGGAAGAGGGAGGGATGAATAGGCAGAACACAGAAGATTTTTGGGGCAGTGAAAATACTTTGTATGATACTATTATGGTAGATACATGTCATTAGATGTTTGTCCAAATCCACAGAATGTGCAACACCTAGAGTGTACCCTAGTGTGAACTATGGAGTTTGGGTGATAATCATGTTTCAGCATGGGTGCATTATTTAAGTTTGTTTTCTCAACAAAAAAAATTTTTTAATGTTGGCATAATTCTGACTTTAATATTTTATTAAGCATGGGATCAAAACATTTCATGTGGTCAGAATTTCTTGGGGTAAAATGTCTGAGTCAAAGGTGGGGTCAACATGGAGAGATAGAAATGGCAAGACCAAATTGTCTTCTGGATGATACCTATGTAAATTAATCCTGTGATTGAGTTTTAAACGAATGTATTAGTTAGGTAATGCTGAAGTACCACATAAACCCCTAAATTTCAGTGACTTAACACTTAACATATATATTTTTGCCATGTAACAACGTCAAGTGGGTGTTCAGGTTTTGGGGGCAGCAGTCCTCCATGTGTTACTCCATAACCCAGATCTTTCATCATGTGCCTCATTATCCCTAAGAACCCTCACCCTCTGCATCCAGTCAGCAGAAGGGGGAGGTGCATGGAGAAATGCATGTAGAAGGTTTTCAAAGGCTTGTGTGGAATAGCACACATTCCTTCCACTCCTCTTCCATGGGCAAGAACCATGTCATGTGGCCACATCTAACTCAAGGGAGGCTGGGAAAGGTAGTCCAGCTTTGCGCCCAAAGAAGGGGAGAATGGATTTTAACAGACAACTGGAGTTCTCTGCAACGTGAATAACTGACTTGGAGTTATTGTGTTCCTTAAGCCTTGGGTGGTTATCTGAATGCCAAGCACCATGCTAAGACGTGGAAGAGAGAAGACAGCTGATTCAGCAGAGTCTTGGCTTGGGAGGGACCCATGGCCTAAGAGAAGGGGATACAATGTGGTATGAAGCACCTGCCATGTAAAGAGAGGAAAAAGGGGAAAGTGCTCTGAAAGTTTAGTGAATTATCCCAGATTGAGACACTGCCTGAAGATGGTAACATTTGGAGCTGCACATTCAAAGACAAACAAAGTTTGGTTGATGAAGTAAAATGGTGGTAGGAACTCTAGAAGCTTTGGTGTGATGGTAGGCGGCACGGAGCCAAGATGACAGGATGATGGGAGTGAGCACATGTGACACGCATATAGGAAACAGCACCTCCTCTAACGTGGTTACCACCAAGACGCCAGATGGACAGCGGTGGGAGGTACGGCTGGAATTGTCCCCAAGGTCACTCCTTAGTCATAGTTAGGCAGTCATTTCACTTGGATGTAATTAATGTTTGAAGAGTTCCTCGAGCCCTCATAGGACCTAGTCTCGTATGCTATTGGGTGAAGAAAAGAGTTTGAGGTGACTCCAAAAAAGTCTTCAGAGAAGTCACAATCCCACTCATCTTGGGATAGCCACTGTCCAGAGTCTATTTCAGATTTGTTTTGAACTTCAAAGAGTTTTGATCTCAAAACCAAAGAGTGATCTATATGTTATTCACCTACTAGGCTGGACTCACGTGTGATGTTGATATGTTTGCTCTTTGTATCAGTTCATTGTCATTGAGTTCTGCATGTTCGTGTATGTGAGAGATGAGCTGGATGTGTTTGAAGGGGAGCTGGAGAGCTATATCACCTCCGTGAACCAGACGGGAACCCTGACCCCAGTCATCCTGCAGGTGAAAGAGCTGATGAGCGTCACCAAAGGTACAACCATTCTGCCACCTTTGTTGGGAAAGTGTGGGAAACTGGGAGAAGGACTTATAATTAACTGGTGACAGGTACACACCTGGGATAATTATTGCTGTAGCATTGCTATTGTCTGCATGAGGTACCTGGTTTGGGAGAAAAGTGGGTTACAACTGATATATGCCTCCCTGGGTGACTAGAAGGCCAGTGGGGTCGGGATCTGGGCCATTTTGTTAAAACCAGTTTGGGGCTGAATTGAACATGCCCTGAGAATTCTCTCATTTTAAATAGCCTATTTTGTTTTGATGCCAGTGGAAACAACTAAAATCATCATCTCTTTTTCACTTGGGAAAAAATAAAACAGCAAGTCATGGCTTTTCTTTAGGGTTATATGGAAAAATTTTTTATGCTGTTCAAATTTAATTTCTGCTTAGTTCGGGCTGCTATAACAAATTGCCGTAGACTGGGTAGTAGAAACAACGAACACTTACTTATTTCCTAGTTCTGGAGACTGGGGAGTTCAAGGTGCCGGCAGATCTGGTGTCTGGTGAGAGCCTGCTTCCTGATTTCCAGACGGCCATCTCTTTGTATCCTCAGTGCTAGAGAGTAGGGAGAGGAAGCAGGATGTCTGTCTCCTGTCTCTTATAATGGCACTAATCCCAAAAGCCACATCTCTAAATACCATCATACTGGGGGTTAGGGTTTCGACATATGAATCTGTCCATAGCAGTCACTTTACCTTAAGATACCACCTTTCTTTGAAAACGACATTCTCATTCTGTGTCTGTTGCCCATGGAGTGGGGAGAGTTCTTCCCTCTTTCCTGCTGCGAAAAGCTGTGGACTAGATGTCAGGTAAACTCCGTGTCGTCAGACAAGTCAGGCCCTTCCTCTCTCTTGTTCTCAGCTTCCTCATCTTTAAATGAGGTCTTGGAACGGGGTGTGAAGTGGTTTCCAACAGCCTTTGTAGCACCAACATTTAATGGCCATAAATTACCAAATGGTCCATAAGTCATGAAACAGGTGTTGCAAATGATATTTTTACATAAGACTCATAATCTGGTAGAGTACTGCAACCAGAAGGAAATAGATCTCCTGTGAATTATTTGAGGGAAATTCTCTTTCATACATGTGACATGGAAAGTTACTTTTATGTGAGCACTGGGGCACCGGCTCCATACCAACATACTTTATTGTTGCCCTTGAACATTCGTATTCATCTCTGATGTAGATTTATGCTCAGCCCGACAAGTCCCTGAGTACAACTCTCAGCAAGCATAGTCTAATCTTTAAGTTCAATCATACTAATTTTAAGCCATAGTTTTGAAAGTTTACATTTCCCCCCTCTTCTAGGCAAGTTTTTAATGCCAACCTCAGTTACTTGCTCTGGGTGAACCGGAGTAAATATATCACTGTATTCACTTATGTTTTACCCCCTCTTCCATGTATTTCTCGCATATTTAGATATTTTGGGAATCAAAACATAAAATTTTCACTCCATCTTGATCTTTTTCAGCTTTAACACGGCTGCCCTCTGGCCAAGAGAGACTTTTAAGCTGTACATGCTTCATCTTTGGGAAGATAAAGGCATTAAATTAAAAGTGTGCAGTCAGTCATGCTCTTGCTACTGGCTGGTCTAAATCTGTGCTCACTCTGCTTGTGGCCAGACTCCTCCCATCCTTTCCTTCAGGCTCCCTGTGCCCCCAGGGGTGAGATTTATGTGGTTTACCTGCAGCCTTTGTGATGGTTGAGGTTTGGGATATAGTAATTGCCTAATCCTGGTGATGCTGGGACAGAGACACATAGAAAACTTGGAAGGATTGGAGATTGCTTTTCTTTTTCCTTCTTGTTAAGACAACTTTTGTGTTTTTTTTAAGATTTTATTTATTTGACAGAGACATAGCGAGAGAGGGAGCACAAGCAGGGGGAGTGGGAGAGGGAGAAGCAGGCTTCCCGCCAAGCAGGGAGCCCAATATGGGGCTCAATCCCAGGACCTTGGGACCATGACCTGAGCCGAAGGCAGACGTTTAATGACTGAGCCACACAGGCGCCCCTAAGACAACTTTTCAAAGATACAATTCACATACCTTAAAATTCATCCACTTAAAGAACAATTCAGTGGTTTTAGTATATTCTCAACAATCACCATCACCACAATCAAATTTGGAACATTTTCATCACTTTAAAAGAAATCATAATCATTTGCAGTCACTCCCCATTTCCCCGCAACATTCCCAGCCCTAGATTACCACTGTTTTCTGGCAGTATGGATTTGGCTTTTCTGGACTTCTTATATAAATGGAATCACACAATACGTGGTCTTTTTTGATTGGCTTCTCTCACATAGCAAATGTTTACAAAGTTCATCTGTGTCATAGCATGTGACTGAACTTCATTATTTTTTATTGCTGGAATTTATTCTGTTGTATGAATATACCACATTGTATTTATCCACTCATCAGTTGATGGAAATCTGGGTTGTTTCAACTTTCTGGTTATTATGAGTAATACCGCTATGAACATTCATCTCCAAGTTTTTCATATATTTTCATAGATCTTGGGTGTATACCTAGGAGTGGAATTCTGGATCATATGGTAACTATATTTAACCTTTCAAGGAATTGCCAGACTGTTTTCAAAAGCAACTGCATCACTGTGTATTCCCACCAGCAGTGTATCAGGGGTCCAGTTTCTCCATATCTTCACCAACACATGTTGGTATGTTTTTTGTTTTTTAATAATAGCTATTTAGTAAGTGTGAAATGGCAGATTATTGTGGTTTTGATTTTCATTTCCCTGATGTCTAATGATATTGAGAATCTTTTCATGTCCTTATTGGCCATTTGTACATCTTCTGTGAATAATGTCCATGGAGATTCTTTGCCTATTTTTAAATTATTATTGAGCTGTAAGAATTCTTTATATTACACATAAATCCCTCAAGAGAGATAATTTGTAAATATTTTCTCCCATTCTGTTGGTTGCTTTTTCACTTTTTTGATGGTGTCCTTTGAAACACAGATGTTTTTAACTTTGTTGGAATCCAGCATATTAATTTTTCTTTTATCACATGTGTGTATCTAAGAAAACATTGCCTAACTTGAGGTCACAAAGGTTTATTCTCATATTTCCTTCTGACACTTCTATAATTTTAGCTTTTACATTTAAATCTATGATCCCTTTCTGAGTTAATTTTTGTATATGCTGTGAGGTAAGGTTCTAACTTCATTGTTTTGCATGTGAATATCAGTTACCCCAGTGTTTTTTGTTGAAAAGCATATTCTTTCCCCATTGAATTGTCTTTTTCATCCTTGCTGAAAATACACTGATGATGAGGATTTACTTCTGGATTCTCAATTTATTACATTGATCTATTTATCTATCCTTATGGCAGTACCACACTATCTTCATTACCGTAGCTTTGTAGTAAATTGGAAATCAAGAAATGTGAGGCCTGCAATTTTCTTCTTCCTTTTCAAGATTATATTGTCTGTCCTAGGTCCCTTCATTTTCATATGAATTTTAGGATTAGCTTGTCAATTTATGCAAAAATGGCATTGGAATTTTGATAGGGATTGGGTTGAATTTTTAGATCAATTTAGGGAGTTTTGCCATGTTAACAAAGAACATCCTATACATGAACACAGCATGTCTTTCCATTAATCTAAATCTTTAATTTCTTTCAACAATCTTCTGTAGTTTTCAGTGTACGAGTTGCGTACTTCTTCCGTTTATTCTTAAGTATTTTATTCTTTTTTATACTAATGCAAACACAGTTGTTTTCTTCATTTTCAGATTGTTCATTGCCAGTGTCCAGAAATACAGTTAATTTTTATATATTTGTCTTGTATCCTGCAAGCTTGCTGAACTCATTTATTAATGAGTTTGAATCTTTTTTGTTTGTTTCTTTTTTGTTGTTGCTGTTCCTTAGAAATTTTTAAATATAAGAACATGTCACTGATGAACAGAGGTAGTTTTATTTCTTCCTTTGCAGCCTGGCTGCATTTTCTTGCCTAATTTCCCTGGCTAGACCCTCCAGTACAATGTTGGATAGAATTGGCAAGAGTGGACATTGATTTCCTTATTCCTGAGCTTAGGGGGAAAGCAATCAGTCTTTTGCTGTTAAGCATGATGTTAGCTATGGGTTTTTTGCAGATGCTTTTTATCAGGTTGAGGAAGTTGTCTTCTGTTTCTACACTATGGAGTGTTTTTAATTATGAAGAGGTGTTGGATTTTTTTAAAATGGTTTTTGTGGACCAACTGATAAACAGCTTGTCCAGAAGCTTTTATACGTACACATCATCCCCCTTCCCTGTTTCTCCCTCCCTTTCTCAGAAGCACACAGGATCACGTGAAAGCAGATTAGATACAACATATTAAAAACTTGCCAAAAGAGGGATGAAAGAATAGTCAAGACCTCTTGATTCCAGTTATTCTTACGCATGGTTGTTCTTTACTGGGGGTTGCAAATTAATCGTTTTACGAGGACGGAAGGTAACTACATGTGTATACGCCCTCATTTTCTCTACCTGTTACTCACTGTAAATGGAAAATCTTAATGTCCAAGGAGAGGCTTGTGCAAGAAGTAAAGTATAGCAAGGATGTGTGTGTCTGAAATGAGACAGAAATAGAAGCAAAACTTTTAATTACACAAGAAATATGTTAAAGGAAGTAAAATGTATTTGCCCAGCCCTTTCTGATGTGAGCATCCGCAGTTTGAAAACACTGTTCCTGGCTCATCTTCTCAGGCCTCTCCTGTGACTTCTTCTATTTCAGGAGTCTGGCTGGTGACCATCTTGTCCGCCTCCCTCACGTGTGTGAGCTATCTGTTCCACATACTGGCCTGTTACAGGTGAGAGGGCTCTGGGCATCATTGCTTTGTCTTCAGCCAGAATTTTCTAAAAATTCCTGAGTGGGGACAGCAGTGCCCAAATTGGAACCGTGAATGTATGTGCCATCCGGGAAGAGCCACATCTATTGGCTGTAAAACAGAAAACCCCGAACCCAAAAACTAATTGATTTGAGCTTCTACTATAAGCTTGACATTGTGCTTAGAATCTTTTGATTTCTAGGGGAGCCTGGGGATCTCAGTTGATTAAGGAGCCACCTCTTGGTTTTGGCCCAGGTCATGATCCCAGGGTCCTGGGACTGAGCCCCGCTCGGCGGGGAGTCTGCTTCTTTCCTTCTCCCTCTCCCTCTGCCCCTCCCCTGGCACGCATGCTCTCTCTTTCTCAAATAAATCAATATTTTTTAAAAAAGAATCTTTTGATTTTCACCACAACCCTGAGAGGCACTTTCATCTCTGTTTTTACAGCTGAGAAGGCTGAGACTTAACAAAATAACTCACCCACGCCATTAGCAGTTGGCCATGTCTTCTGCCCTGAGAGGCCTTTTGCTTCTTGTACACTCGGCATCTCTGTTAGGGGTCAGACCTGCCCTGCTCTCCAGGACTAACCACACTGGGTTCCCAGCAGGTGCATCCGGCTCTAGGAGTTATCAAAGGAGATTAGGTCAAGGGCACTGGGTGCATCAGTCTCTAGAAGAGCAGAGCGGGAGGAGGGGATGGACTTCAGTATGTAGTGAGCATTTCACTGCAGATAGCAGTTGAATTTTAGGTATCTGCCCTCCCTCCTCTGTCTGTCTGTCTCTCAATCTCTCTCTGTGTCTCTAACTCACATGCAGTCACAGGAGGCCCAGGGCCATCTCCTACCCCTCCGAAGCATCCTGCCTTTATACCCTCCCCATCTGGCTGCCCGAAGGGTGGGTCTCTTGCAGATGGCATCCAAATAAGGACTCTCCTGGTGCAAAGAGGCCCCAGCTCTCCATCACAGCCCTAGCTTGCTCCTTCTCTCTGCTTTCCTGTCCCTGGACCCTCTGGGTGGACTGGACACCACTGCTCTCCCCTGCCCCCCTTGATGTGGGGATATACCTGCTCCTTCCTTCAGTGGACTGCAAGTGCCTGGGAGATGATCAGTGAGACACTGGACCACAACCAGTAACAATCACCTTTTAGAGCTGGCTGCATTGACATGGGGGGAGGGCACAGGGAAGAGAAGGTGCCTGTGGCAGGGAGGCCTTATCCTTGTCCAGGCTGGCCCCTCCCTCCCATACCTGTCACTGAGGACCGATGATCCCTGCCCTGTCTGCTTTACAGGACCATGGAGCAAAGGAAAAAGTGGATAAGAAACCCCTACAACTGGACGGCACTAGCACTGTGCTAGTATTTTTATTTTTCTTAGAATTATTCCTATCTAGGGCACCTGGGTGGCTCAGTTGGTTAGGCGACTGCCTTCGGCTCAGGTCATGATCCTGGAGTCCCAGGATCGAGTCCCGCATCGGGCTCCCTGCTCTGCGGGGAGTCTGCTTCTCCCTCTGACCCTCCCCCCTCTCATGTGCTCTCTCTCTCATTCTCTCTGTCTCAAATAAATAAATGAGATCTTTAAAAAAAAAAAAAAGAATTATTCCTATCTATGTGCAGCCTCTTTAAAAAAAAAAGTTATAAAAATATTTAGTGTAAAGTCTTCCTCCCATTCAGGCCCCAATTTGTTGCCCCAGAGCTAAACATTATTCATTTTCCGTATCTTCCCAGAAATTGTCTGTGCCTCGTGCACACATATGTTGTTGGTGTGTTTGCATTCCTGGTAGCATATGCTCTATTCCAGTGCTGCCGAGCTGAAACAGTGAAAATCACAGGCGCAATTTTGAATTTCCTAATAGACACGAGTAAAAAGTTAAAAAAGGAGGTGAGAATAATTTAATAATATATTTAATTTAGCCCAACATAACCTCAAACCATCATTTCATCATATAATAAATATACAAGCTATCAATAGGATATTGACATTCTTTATTTCATACTAAGTCTTCCCCATTTAGTGGTCATAAAATTGCAAAACATCCTGAAAAATGCTGGAGATAGAATGTGGGGGAAAAAGCAAGACACATGTGAATGTGGACCATGAACATAACCATCGCTGACCTAATCTTTTGTGCAAAGGGCCAGGCCGAGACCAGCACGTGGGGAAGGCATGCAGAGGTTTGTGCAGGTGCTGGGAGCATGAGGGGCCGTGGTCCCTTTTTCAGTTTCATTTATGTTGCAATAAGGTGGATCTATCATTAAAAATGGTTTTCCATTATTACCTGTTTTGAAATATTATTACATAAGTAATACATATTCATCACAGAATAAGAAAATAGAGCAAATTGAAGAAAATAAAAGCCACAAGCAGAGTCTCAACTATCACATTCAGCCACCATCAAGACTAGGTAACTACATACTACTTTTTCAAACTATATTAAGATTTTTAAATCATCAGGGAAATGTATGACCATGTTAAGACCACAATGAGGCATCACCTCACATCTGTTTGAATGACTAGTACCCAAACCACAAGAAGTAACCAGTGTGGGCGAGGATGTGGAGAAAAAGAAACCTTCATGCACTGTTGCTGGGGATGTAAATTGTGCAGCCACTATGGAAAACAGTATGGAACTTCCTCAAAAAAGTAAAAATAGAACTATCCTATGATCCAGCAACTTCATTTCTGGGTATTTATGAGAAGAAAACAAAAACACTATTTCGAAAAAATGTTTGCACCCCCATGTTTATTGCCATGTTATTTACAATATTCAAGATATGAAAATAACCTACGAGTCCATTGATGGATGAAGGGGCAAAGAAGATGTGATACACACACACACACACACACACAGTGAAATACTATTCAGCCATAAAAACAAATGAAATCTTGCCATTTGCAGAACATGGATGGACCTTAAAAGATGTTATGCTTAGTGAAGTAAGTCCGACAGAGAAAGACAAATACTGTATGATCTCACTTATATGTGGAATCTAAAACAAAACAAAACAAAAAACAAGCTAACGGATACAAAGAACAGATTTGAGGTTGTCGGAGGCGGGTGTGGGTGAAGGGAGTCAAAAGGCATGAGCTTCCAGTTATAAAATAAATGTCATGGGGATGTAAATACAGCATGGTGACTCTCGCAATAGTACTGAACTGCATATTTAAAAATTGGGGAATATAGATCTTAAAAGCTCTCATTGCAAGAAAAAAAGCTTGTAACTGTGCAAGATGATGGATATTAACCAGACTCATAGTGGTGACCGTTTTGCAATATACATATATATCAAATCATTATGTTGTATGCCTGAAACTAATATAATGTTATGTGTCAATTACATCTCAATTTAAAAGTATTTTGAAAATATTTTTAAGGCTAATGAGAACCGTCCCACGAGCTGTGGTCAATATAGGGAAGCCGAGCCAGCCACCATCTCCCTCCACAGGCTTTTCTGTCTATATCTGTTGAGCTCTAAGTACATAAGGAGCCGTGGTTATGAACATTCCTGATTTCCCACTTTTTCTCTAGAAAGCACATGAAGAGGTTGTGGGCAGGAAATAAACACTTCCTCCCTTTGAAGTTCCATAATCCTTCCTCGGCAGAGAGTGTGGTAAGTCCTCTGAGGCCTCTCTCTGTTCTGAGACTAAGTGATTGGCTAAATCCTGCTCTCCTGCAGCTGGGACGGGGTAGCAGCCTGGGGGAGGAAGAGCCCTGGATGGGGAGTCCATAGGCCTCATTTCTAGTATGCTCTGTTGCTGGGTGACCCACCTGGCCCTTGGTTTCGTCATCTGTGAAATGATGACAATCATGACACCCACTTTGGTGTGTTGGTGGGTGAACCTCAGATGAGGCGGGGATGCTGGACCCATGTGTTAGAGGTGATCGGTGTTTTCTCCCCTCTGAGACCCCTTTTTCTTTTTAAATCCCAGGTGGCCATTGCAAGGTACTCTGGCTGGCAAATAGCCTACATTCTGTGGGGTAAGTGTCCTCACGTGACCTATTCAATTCAACACCCATTCCTTGGGCGCCCGCGGAGTCCTGGCTGTGCGTAGAGAGAAGAGAGGCAAGGCAAAGCAGCCCTTGTTCTCTCTCCTTCGGGAGGGAGGGAGAATCCCACACTCACATAGCTATCGTTACCTCCTGTCCTAAGCCCGTGGGCTAAAAATGCTAAAGGCAGTGGTGACAGAGAGGAGGAAGTGACTCTCCACACCCAGGGCAGGACACGAATGCTTTCTAGTGGGGCTGACGTTTGAATCGCATCTGGCAGGGCGAACAGAAGGCAGCAGGAGGATGGTCATGCCAGGCAGAAGAAACAGCACAAGCAAAAATGCCAGGACCTTTGGTGGGAGGAGGATAGAGGGGGGACCTCAGGGAGGGACATGTATGACCGGGTCATGAAGGGCCTCGAGTGACCCTGGGTTCCCTTGGCCCACAGGCTACCTCATCATCCACGTGGTGCAGAGCCTGTGTGGCATGCTGATCATGTACAGCCTGGTGCTGCCTGTCATCCACAACCAGGGCCTGGAGATGCTCCAAGGACTGGGCATCGGGACGTAAGTGCTGGGTGGGCTCCCTGTCACTGCCCGGGGCCTAGGAGCTGGCAGACCCTCAAAGCTGCTGTTCAAAATGCCCCTTCCCTGTTGAGATCTCACTAATTCCTGGACCCACACTCTCAGTTCTGACCCAGGGATGGGCCAAAAGAGCAACTCATCACAGTGGGAACCTTACAGTTGACAAAATGTTTCCATTCTTGCTGTTCAGTGGGGTGCTCACAGTTGTGTCTGTGGGGGATACACATGTGTCCATTTTATAGCTGGGAAGATTGAAGTGTGGGGAGGTGACGTGGGAGTCAGGGCAGTATAGTAGAAGGAGAAAGGAAATCTGAGCTTAGATTCTAGAGAAGATGTGTGACCTTGGGTAAATTGCTTCTCTGAGTCTCAGTTTACCCATATGGAAGATAAAAGTGAAGGCCGACATTACTGAGAATTCACTATGCATCTTTTCTCTTGAGAACCCTTGGAAGGTTGGGTCTCGTATTGAGGCCCGTTTTTCAGACAAGGAAACAGAGGCACTGAGGGCTCACCAATTTGTCCAAGGAGGGGAAGGGGCAGGGTTGGGAGCTAGCAATCTGAAGCCAAGGCCCCATTTAACTGCTGCCCACACGGCCGCTTGGGGGATGCAGACCCAGCATGTGGCCCTCTCTGAGAACTCCCTGCTCTGAGCTCCTTGGTTCCATCCTCCCCTAGAGCCACGTGGGAGGCTGGGCAGAGCCTGCCCGTCCACTCTCAGGGCCTTCATGAACTCTTGCTCCATGCTTTTCTTTGATTTCCATGCTGTTAAACACACAGCTCAGCTGCCACATATAATTAAATCCTGGAGTCCTGGTCTAGAGTCAAAAAACCTGACTGTGTGGCTTTGAGAAAGTCATCTGCCCTTCGTGAGCCTCCATTTTCTCATCAGACAGTGGGTGTGAGAATACTCTGGAGGCATAAAGCACAGAGCCAAAGCTACTGTTGTCCCAGCAGGCTGTCCCGTCTCTGTCCTCTCTGTCCCTGGGCATTGGAGAAGGGCTTGGACAAGGCCCCCTCAGGACCGTCTCTCCCTGTGTTTCAGCCTCACCCTATCCATCGTCCTGGGTCTCATGATCCTGCAGGTGTGGATCGCCGCCACCTTCTTCCTACAGCCAAAGATGAGCGCGGCTGACAGGCAGAAACCTTTGGCTCTCAACAACAGGTAAGGGTAACGAAGAGAATGGGGATTAGAGGCTTTGGCTTCAGCAGCCCCTCGTTCCTTCCTCTTCCCCCTTGGCAGGTTCCTGGGAGGACCGTACCCTCGCTGAGAGGGCGAGGGGCCGTGGTCTGGGAGTGGGCTCTGGAGCCGAACTGCCTGGGTCCAGATCCTGCCTCCACCCCTTATGGGCTGTGGGACCATATGTGACATTCCTGAACACCCACGAACTGCAGTTTCCTCATTTTACAAATAATTGCTCACCTCAGAGAGGTATTCGGAGCATAAAGTGTGTTAAAATATGAACTTAGAACAATAGTGCCTGGTCCGAGGTTTTCCTTTGTAGTTCACTCATTCAAAGCCCTTCACTCAGGGAGGAAACAACGCGGGCATTAAGGATACAGAGCTACCCCTACCTGACCTGCTTGCGGCAGCTCACGGTCCACAGGGGCCGGCAGACACATGGCGACAGTCAACTCCAGAGGGGGTGACAGCCTCACAAGAGCAAGGCGGGTAATGGAGAAAGAGGCAGGAATGGTTCATTCAGCTGCAGGTGGGACGTTTGAGCTGAGCTCGGTTGGCTGTCCTGCAGGTCTCGCTGAGGAGAGGGTGTGGTCGGCAGCCCTCAGGGCACAGATGGAGGCAGGCAGCCGAGAAAGGGCAAGACGTCTTGAGAGAACAGTGAGAATCCAATATGGTGGCCATGTAGTCGCCTTGGATGGTGAGGGGCAGGGAGGGGGCACAGAGTGACGGCCCCAGAAAGGCCCGTCTCAGGGATGGCCCAGAAGTCCAGGATGCCGAGTTTGGGCCTCATCCCACCCATAGGCAACAGGAAACCACACAATCCAGTGGTCATCTGGGAAGTTTCCTTTGGAGGACTTGGAGCAGTTCCAGCGGCGGGCAGGTCATTGTGACAACAGACAGTGGGAAAGCCACAGCCTCTGCTGTAACCACAAAGCCAGCTGTAGCCACATGAGATTTCTTGTCGTATAGGAAACCTCAAAACCCAGGGATCCCATGAAACATCACAGCCACCGCTGACAATCCCGCTGTGCTGGGTTCAGCACCTTCTGCACTGTATCTGAGCCAGTCCCATACCACTGCTGTGTGGCGGGGACCATCAAGGTCACAGGGCTAGGAGATGGGAGCTGCAGGATGGGGCCCGGAGCCAGCCTGCCTAGCCACCTCCTCCTCCTGAAAGGGTGCTGCCCCTCTGCCTGCTTCTGTTTGCAGGAAAGTGTTCCACAACTTCAACTACTTTCTGTTCTTCTACAACGTGCTGCTGGGCCTGGGCGCCTGTCTCTCCAGGCTGCTCATCAGCTGCATCCTGGGCACGTGGCTGATCGCACGCATCGACAGGACCATCATGCAGAATGGCTATGAGGGGGCGGACATGGGTGAGTGGCTGGTCCTTGGTGGCTGCACATTGAGTCAGGGATGGGGGGTGGCGGGGCTGGTCTGGCAGCTTTCTGGAAGCTGCTTGCCGGTCGGATACCAGAGGCCTGGACTTCACACTCCTCCTTCTGCTCAGAGCTCAGCTTCTCATGGAGGCTATAACGCTGAGCAGAAAAAAAACATTCAGCCTAATGGTCAGAAGACAATTCAGGCTAGTAAATGGCTGCATGTTTGACAGACCTTCGAGGTATTGTGGAGAGCAGTAAGAAGTACTAGAATTCCATCTGAACAGTTAGAAGGTAATTAATTTATGAATGCACAGCTCTGAAAATGTTGAGAAAGAACACATCTCAGAATTATTGGTGTCATTAGCTGGAAACTTAGTTAAGAAAATGGTCTGTTCAGTTAAGAAAGACTCCCAAATCAAGCCGTTCCTGTAAAGCAAAAATCGTTTGGGTTTTCTTTCTGACCTGTGTCCATTCATTCACTCACCCATTCCTTGTACGCCTGGCAGCCTCTCTGTATGAGCACAGCGCTCCTCCCACTTTCTGCTTCAAGGTCTCCGCAAAAGGGATGGATTAGAATGCCATCTTGAGAACCTTCTTGCTCTTCATACCTAATTTTCTAGATTCTCAGTGATAACAGGGGCACCGTTTAGGAACAAAGTGGCACAACAGTTACGTCATCCAAAGCACAGGCTCGAGCGTCCTGGGACAGAGGGCATGCTGCCTGGCCTGACTTGCCTTCTGCGTTTCAGGGTTCAGTGCCTGGATTGGAATGCTCTATGTGGATCATTATCATACCAACCCTGTGCTCGTCAGCTTTTGTAACATCCTGATCACAGGGCAAAGGGAGAGGAGGCTGCAGCGGGCCATCAAATACTGGTACCTAAATCAGGCAGCAGGTAAGCCTCCTGTCTGAACCTATGCTGAGCTTGGACAATAGGCAACAAGGACCCTAAGGCTTCTCTGGGAGCCTTGAGATGTCCCAGCTTCCCCCTTCCCTGCCCCCCTTCCTCCATACTCCGTGCCCTGGGGAACCTTCTACCAAGGAGAGCAGGAGGCTTAGTCCACAGCCAACCTGGCCAGGGGACCCCTGAGGCGTGGTGTCCTTGTCCTTCTAAATGGAACATGTGGCTCCCCCCCATGTTCCCAGAAATGAGCTCTAGTTCTGCTGAGTCCTCCAGTCCCTTTGTTTGAGACCCCACCCATATCCCAGGCTCCAGGCCAGATGCCCTCCAAGATGGGGCTTGGTTTTGCTTACCACAGGCTCTTCTGGCTACCATCTCCTGCCCCTTCAAGGATCTGTACTGTCTACTCCACCCCTCCCACCCTTATTACTCTGTTCTGCCTTCTGCTGGGAAGCCCACCAATTAGCCATATCTTGTGAGCACCAGTCTGGACTATGTTCATCACTGTTCCCAACTGCAGACATCTGGCTCTGGGACAAACTCAGATCCCTCCCGCCGCCCTCATGTCCCCAGAAGTCCCGGTCCAGCTCCTTCTCCTGCACCTCACACCTACCAGTCTGCTTCTCCTAGAGCTTCTGAGGATAGAGACAAGCTGCCCCATCCCCCAAATCTGTCTGCTCTGGTTCACTTCTAGGTTCCCGAATCTCAATGAGGTCCAGGACAAGGTGGTTCCTGTTACACACCCTGGTCAACAATCCCAGACTAGTCATGCTCAGAAAATCAAGATCAGGTCATGGCTCCCAGGACTTTACCCAGATCCTGTTGACATGCTCAGACAGCTGACGGTAACCTCCCAACACAGCTACAAGGCCATTCCAGGACGACTGCCCCTGTGACAAGGCCCAGGCTACCCAGCTGCTGTCCCCTGCAGTGTGAGAGGGGACGCAGTTCCCGTCTACTGCACACAGCACCGGGCGCTCATGGGATGGCACCTGAGCTGAACCATGAAGTCTCAGGTCTAATAATCCACTCCCTTGGTAAAAAGATCAAGAACTAAAAAGAATTTCTGTTGAACAATCTTTTCTCAATAACAATTTCCACTATCCATGGTTAGGAGGTAGCATTGGGGAGTTCGGTGTGGACAAGCACTTAGTTTGACCACAGGATAGAACTTCGCGTCACTGAAGAAGGTGGTAAAATGTACACCAGGAGAGCTTAACTGTTAGACATAGTTTTTGTCTGGAAGAAAGTATGGCTTTAATCCAACGGGATCCTTGTTGCTTCCCCCTTTCCAGGCCTTCTGGTGGTGGGAGAGAAGGACATCCATGTCCCCAGCCGCTAATCTGGTAGGGTGAGCATGCACACGTTGGGCTGTCCCTGCCATTGCCGCTGGGATGAGGAGCAGATCAGAACTGATCTGGGCCTTGGTCACAAAGAAGATCTACAGATCTGACAAGGAGGGTATCCCCTGGGAAGGCTGCCTATCTGTGGAGGCAGAGATGGGAGTGGGCAGGCATTCTAGTTGGGGCCAAGAGCAAAGGTGTGGGAGCAGGAGAGCCTCAGGCATGTTTGAGGAGGAGAGGCCTCTGGTATTTGCAGGGCAGGGTATTGGGGGCTGTTTAGACCACCCATGGAGGCCCAGATGCCAGGCTGGGAAGCCTGGACATTTCTCTTTGTGCAGAGAGCCCAGTACTTACCCTGAGTCTTCACACCCACGCATAAGGTCCCTGATGGCTCGGGACTCATGCAAAGTGACCAGAGTCACTCGTGAAGCCTGTGCGGTGCCAGGAGGACCTACCAACAGGGTGAGGAAATTCCCCATCCACCTCACAAATCCCAGAGCCACTGAAATTCAGTAATCATTATTGAGCATCTACTGTAAACCTAGTCCTGTGGCTAGATGTGTTTGCCAGACTTATCTCTTTTAATTTAACCTTTGCAACCTCCAAACTTTGTCATTCTGCTTTCAGAAACTGAGACAACTGGGACTAGAGTGTTGGGGTCCCCGCACTACCACTTGTAGCTACGGGATACCAGCTAAATGACTCTGTCTTTCTGTGCTGTTTTTTCCTTACAAATAAAAAGGGTAATGCCTACAACACCCCAAATTATTTTGAGGATAAAATGAGCTAATACACAGCGGACTTAGGTCAGTTGTCCAGGGTGTGAGGTTAGGGAACCTTGGGAGAAATGGGGTGAGGGGACAATGGCCTCACTGACCTTGTCCTTGACCCTGGCAGGAGAGGATCTCCAAGTTGGCCACCTTGGAGATGACCCCCCAGGAAGCCCAGAAGCTAGTACCTGCTACGTCCTACACTCAATAAATATCAGTTATTTTTATTTGCAATGTTGATACTTTGTGGTGATCTGATTAATGTCTGTTTACCTCTCAGGATGCTCTCAGCTGGGAGAAAGGAGCCAAGGATGGTCTCCCCTCAGCTAGTTGCCTTGCAAATCATGGCTGATTTTCCTTGGGACCTACACTCACCAGCCCTATTTGCTTCTAGACCTACTAGTAGACTCTGCCCCAGAAGTCATCTTGGCCAGCAAGGGAGAGTGTAGGGGTCTGCCCATGGCTAAGTAGATGGACCCTAAGCCTGGCAAAGCAGAAGCCATCCGTGATCTCTCAGGCTAGGGCCTCTAGGAAATGTCTGTCTTAAAAAGAATTGTATGAGGAGGTGCAGGAAAGCTGGAGATCCTCGTGCATAGTAACGTAAATGTTTGTGGAACAAGGCCCAGCTGTTCCCTTGAAAGGGACCTCACAAATCTTTGCCCTGCACAAGAAGCAAGTAGGAAAAGGAGCATGGGGGTCATGGGCAAGGCTCCCAGGAGGATTCTAACATAGGTCAAGAGGACACACAGAGCCCCTAGAGGGAGACTGAGGCTGGAAAGTCTTGGGACTTCGTCCATTTGCAAATTATCTTCCTCTGGTCTTGCCCTTCCCATGTGCAAGGTTTGATCGCTTGACATTTATTCCTCTACTTAGTGCTGATGCAACTACAAGTCCCAGACGCAGGACTGGTCAGTGGTGGAGCTGGAATTTCACTCCCCAGGACTATGCTTAGTCTGCAGTTTTACCTTCAGGCCGAGGGTTCAGCTACTGCCAAGCCTGGACACACACTCAGCCCTGAGCTTCTTGATGGCCAGTTCTTTTTGGCCTTGAATGTTCTGCTGGCCAAACAGGACTGGCGCTCCCATGGCAGGACCAAGCATAGCTACAGGACGGAGTGGCACCCAGGAGCCCACCAGGAGCCACACCTCCGGTGTCCCTCCCAGTGCCTGCCCAGCAGCCGGAGTCCAGTTGTCCCAGCGGTCACCATGCAGTGAGGCTTTGGTCAGCCGGGAGAGTCCTGGCCAAAGACTCTCTGGACCAGCCACCAGGGAGAGTCTGTATCCGCTCTTACTCAACTACTCCCTGGGCTCACCTCTCATCCTCCCTGAGCCACTCCGTATCCTGGAATCCGGCCTCAGCCTGCTCCTCAGGCTCAAGGTCGTGATGATTTGCAGCCATGTGGAGCAGCTGGATCTCCCTCATTACTTTGTATTCCTGGGGCCAGAGGGAAGGACAGATGCAGACAGTGCCTGAGCAGGGCATTGTGGGGGGAGGAGAGAGCCAGGAGGCCAGTCCTGGGTCTTTGTACACATGGAAACCCTCCAGTTCCCTCCAGGTCCTACCTATTCTCAGAGATGGGTGTAAATAACTCCTCCTCGGGAAGTTGGACTTATCCCACCCACCAAATTGATGGGTTTCCCACTTCTCTGTTATCAAACTCCCAGGTATGTCCTGCCTGGGGGCGGGGTGGGGGGGCTCTGATTCCCCTACCCCCCGCAGTGCTCCTCCTGCAGTGACTGCCACAGATGTTCACCCCATTCCTTTTCTGGAGGTTGATCTGGGATTCCCCTGGGAGGCAGACAGCCAGGGTCCATCAGAAAGAGGCCCCCAGCCCATAACTAGCCTCCCTTCCCCACCCCTTCTCATGTTGTACTACCACCGAGGCCCTCCAGGGGGCAGGGCATGCACAGAAAGTAGGACTGGGACCCAGGCCAGGCTCTGGGCTCCAGACAACGGGGGACTTGAGAGCTGAAGCTCAGGGACAGGCTAGCACAACCCACTCTGATGACAGACAGGGAGACTAAGGTCTCAGGCAGGTAGTGACTGCCCAGCCACTTCTGTGTTGCCTGGCTTGGAGGAACCTGACATCTCTCTCCCCTCCTTGGGCATCTCCTGAAGGAGAGGCTGAGTCCCACTCCTGCAGCTTTGCAGTCTGGCAGCTCGGGGAACCAGGACATGCAGCTTATGTGGTGCCTCCATTCAGTCATCCCTAAGAGGAGCATGACACCCCAACTCCGGAGATGCCTGCCAGCTGCTGTGACCTCAGGACTCAGTAGGGGGCTCTCTTCTCCCAAACCCTACTCCCCTGCCCCAGGTTTCTCTCACCTCCAGATAATCTTGCATTGCAGGGTCCAGCATCCCCAGGGCAGTGAGGAACATGCCAAGGAAGGCGAAGAACACACCCTGTGCCTTCGGGGTGGGAGTGGGGATGAGCTCTGGCTCTCAGGTGCCCTCAGGGACCGTCCCCTGAAAACTCCTCACCCTCGGCCTCTACCCCAGGGTTCCCATGTGCATCTCCCTCAGTTCTTCTCCTGTCGCCCTTCAAGAACACCAGACTCCTGCTAATCACCTCCCAGGGCCTGCTTCTGGCAATCCCAGGGTATGTGGCCCCAGGTCCTGGTCACTTCTAATGGGGGATTTCTGGCACTGTGGCAATGGGGGGCAGAGCTGCAGGGGGAAAGCCCCTCCCCTCTTGGTGTGGAGGCCTTTGTTTAGGAGGGAAGAGCTCCCCTCTCCGCTGACCCTGGGGCCCCTTCCCCACAGGCATCCTCACCTGCCATTGCCTCCTCTGGGCTTCCTGGGGGGTCATCTCCAAGGTGGCCAACTTGGAGATCCTCTCCTGCCAGGGTCAAGGACAAGGTCAGTGAGGCCATTGTCCCCTCACCCCATTTCTCCCAAGGTTCCCTAACCTCACACCCTGGACAACTGACCTAAGTCCATTGCTACTAGTGCTACTCTGTCTTCTAGTGTGCTCTGATTCTAGAACAATCCTGGCTCCAATACTCACCCAATATGTGGCCTTGGGCCTGTGGCCTGGCCTCCCTGGGCCTGTTTCCTCATCTGAAGAGTGTGAGGAGAGCTCCACCTACCTCACAGGGTCTCCAAGGACTCAGTATCATATTACTATCATCATTGTTCTCCTCTCACACCCTAGCACATTCCCTCCCTTCAGTCTTATCACAACCCTGTCCTGTGAGGCCTGCACCACAGGATCATTACTTTCCATTTTCCAGATGAGGAGACAGAGCCCCCAAAGAGAGGCAGTGATTTGCTCAGAGGCCTACAGAGGAGAGGCTGCGCCCTAGCTGCCCTTGCCCCAGCCTGGCCCCGCCACTGACCAGAGTCCTGCCCTTTGGGCTCTCAATGTGAGTCCAGGCCCCCAGCCCGGCCGAGCCATGGATAAAGAGGGACAGGGGTCTTGGGAGCCTGGCTGAGTGGTCCCTGCCTGCCCAAGCCCACCGGAGTTTCTGCCACCCAGGCTGGGCCTGTGGCCATGCCAAAGTCTTCACCTCTCCAAGGTACCCCTCAGGACATTGTCCTGCACAGCAGTCTTCCTTCATCCACTCAGAAGGGGGCTGCTGAGGTGCCATCTCTGACTGACAGGGGAGGGAGTGACCAGGGCACAGGGTGGGAACACCTTGCTTCCTCTTTTTGAAGCTTCTTACTTCCATTCAGGAAGGATCCACTAAGAAGCCATCAGTCCCCCCAGACTCTTAGAAGGTATCTGGGACATATATCATGGTCAACTGGACACCCAGATGAGATTCCTGACTGTGACTGATTGGCAGTGATGCTTGAGGGGCAAAGTAGGAAGTCACAGAATGCACACCTCTCTGTCCCTGGTCCGGCCATCTGCACCCAAGCCTAGGCAGCCATTTGAGCACCTGGCCCATGGCATTCCCCAGCAGCTCCCACCCTGGCGCAGGTAGGGTGCCCTCCTCGTGGAGATGGAGTGAATCCTGGAGGAGCAACAGGGGCCTGGCTTCCCGAGGACAGGCTGGGCTTATTTAGGGAAGAAAGAAACCCCACCGACCCCCCAATAGCCTGGAAGAAGCTGAGTGCCAGCAGGATGGACCAGCATGGAAGCCTGACACACCTGGTAATTCTGCCAGCTCAGCAACCCCTCCTGGAACAGCTCAGCTGCCCCCACTCTGTCCCGTGACCAGGCCTTCTGCCCTGCAGAGTGCCCCCCCTGCTCTAGACCAAACAGCTCCTTCTTTCTGTTAATGTAGGCAAGACTGGAATTTTTCAGATACTTCAAGTGAGAAATAATACCACACCCTGCCTGGTCCCCCTCCCCACCTCCTTCTGTCATTCTAGACCTCCAGCCTCCACTCCACCTGCCCAGTGCGTTGTCTTTGCCACAAAGCTTTTGAAATTTTCGGGAGCTCTTCCTAAGGGGAAGAGAAAGAAAAGAAGGAGGGAAAATTGGGGGAAAGATGGGAAGGGTGTGAGTGTCAATGATTTTTATTTGAGAACCCAAAAGATCAAAACTATCTGGATGAGGGTTTCCACTGGTTTCCTCTGAGCTCAAAGGGCTCCATGGGCCTGGGGAGGGGAGACTTCATACTTGTCTTCATGCTGGGGCTCCATTCTCATTTCTTCCAAGCATCATTACTTTTTTTTTTTAAAGATTTTATTTATTTATTTGACAGAGACACAGTGAGAGAGGGAACACAAGCAGGGGGGAGTGGGAGAGGGAGAAGCAGGCTTCCCGCCGAGCAGGGAGCCTGATGCAGGGCTTGATCCCAGGACCTTGGGACCATGATCTGAGCCAAAGGCAATTGCTTAATGACTAAACCACCCAGGCGCCCCTGAGCAGCATTATTTTTGACTGGTTTTGGTTCCAATTGGACATAGAATTTGTTGCTATAAAGTGAACACTTGAAGATGTCAGTTTGGCTCAGCCCAATCTCTGACGTTGAATGGAACGGATTCCTGAAGCAGAACTGGTGGCCTAAGGTTCCAGTGAGGCTTAGAGGCTCCACTCCCAGCTCAATCCCTGTCCCCAAGGTTGGCTGCCTCCCAGAAAGTCCCAGCTGAAAGAAGGGGCAATGCCAGCCCTGTGGGAGATTCCTCATCCACCCTTCTCCTATGGAGAGAGGCCCCCACCTGGAAACTTCTCCCCATGTCTTCTTCAGACAGCGAATGGCATGCAGTGAGAAGTTCCTGAGGATCCAGCTCTCCTGGAAAAGGGGGGAGAATGAGCTGTGAGGGGAAGCTCTGCTTTCTATAGCTGACCCTGCCTCACCGTGCACACCTGCTCACTGGACCAACGGCTCTGCTCAGGTGAATTCTTTGTAATCCCTCCACCTGCCACCTCTGAGCTCTCCAAGTCCTCTGGGGCGCCATGGGCGCCCCCCCCCATGCAATCAGGTGGGTCCGCAGGGTGCTGGACCTGGTGGGCCTGGAGACCCTGGGGAGGAAAGAATTACTTTTCTATTTTCCCCCTTTAGCTTTAGAATGTATTGTCAAACTTTTAAACTTCACAGTGTTACTAAGCCTGAGCCTATTTTCATATATTTAAGGCTGTTTATATTTCTTTTTCTATGAACTGTGGATTCATGTCTTTTGCCAAATTTCCCATAGTGTGTCTGTTCTTTTTCTTATCGATTTCTAGGAACTCTTTAGGTATGAGGGATGTGAGCCCCTTTGTAATATGAATTGCAAATATTTCTTCCCAGTTTATCATTTCTTTCTTTTATTAGGATTTTTTTGGTCAGTTTGGTGGTGTTTTTGTTTTTTGTGTGTGTGTTTGCTTGTTTTGCTATGTATCATTAAGATGTCATTTCTCCCCAAACTGATATATAGATTCATACAGCCACAGTAAAAGTATGTCAGCAGATATCTGGTGGACATTAACTATATGCTTTCCAATTTTCCATAGAAATACAAGTGGCCAAGAATAGTCAAGAGAGTCTTAAAGAAGATCCAACTTGGAGGGCTTACACTACCAGATGGTAAGCCTTAGTATACAGCAACAGTAATCAGGGCAGCTATAATAGTGCAAGGAACAATAGACAGAGTCCGGCGAGACCCATACTTATGAACATTTTGTGTATGACAAAAGAAACACACAGAACAATGGAGAGAACATGGTCTTCTCAGTAAATGGCCCAGGGTCATTGGTTATCCATATGGGAGCGAAATTAATCTTGACTCCTACCCTCCCCCTATCATAAACAAAATCAATGCCAGGTGGGTTTTAAATCTAAATGTGTAAGCTTAAAACAGTAACATTTGTAGTAGATAATTTAGGAGAATATTTTCATGACCTGGGGGCAGGCAAAGATTTCTTAGGACATAAACTACACTAACTATAAAGACAAAAATTAATAAATTGGACCTGATTAAGAATTTCTCTTTACCTTCCAGAGAGTTAGAAGGCTAGAACAGAATGGGAATAAGCACTTGTCATATATTTATCTGGGAAAAAGCATCAGATAGGATATGTAATTGACTCCTATGAATTAATAAGACAAAATCCACCAGAAAAAATGGGCAAAAGATTTGACCAGATATTTCACAGAAATACAACCAAATGGCCAAAAAGTATATAAAAGTTTACACGACATCATTACTCACCAGGAAAATTCAAATTAAAACCACAATGAAACACTGCTACACATACACCAGAATGGCTAAAATAAAAAACACTGACAAGGCCAAATGTCAATGAGGATGTGGAGCAACTGGAACTTTATACACTGCTGAGGTGTAAATGCACACAACCACTTTCAAAAACTGTGGTAGTGTCTGCTAAAGATGGACTTACACATATTCTTTGACCCCAAAATTCCACTGTCTGGTAAATACCCAGCAGAAATGCCTACATATGTTCACCATGCTAAAGAATGGTCAGAGCATCCTGATTTGGTAGTTTTCTAAACTAGAAACAAACCAAATGTGCATCAATAATAGAAAAGATAAATAAAACGGGGCATTTTTAAAATGATGGGATGCTATACAGAAGTAAAAATGAACTTACAGCCACATCCAAAAATGTTTGAAACTTTACAAACATAATGAAAGAAGTCTGACATAAAGGAGTATGTTCTGTATGATTCCATTTAAATGAAGTTCAGAAACAAGCAAAACTAATTCAGAAGTTAGAATATTTGTTATCCTTGGGGAAGAGAGGGCAGTGACTTGGGATGGGTAGATGAAGGGGCTCCTGGAGAGTTGGTAATGTTCTATTTCTTGGGGGTACTGGTTGCCAGGTGTGTTCCTTTTGGGTAGTTTATTAAACTGTATACCCTTATACTTTTTGGTATGTATGCTATGCTTCCACATGCAAATCCAATCAGTTTGATCCAGAATTTTTTTCTGGTTAGTACCAAGGCCAGGTGGCATAGCATTTCATTCAACACTCTGGAATTACATGACCTCTATTCATATCCTGGATCTAGCCACTTCCTATCTTGGAGATCTTGGCCAAGTTATTCACTCTCTGAGCTTCAGTTTCTTCATCTGTAAAATAGGCTTATTATGCTACCCTGAGTATAGTTATTAAGGGAATTAAATCCTCTCAATAAATATTAGCTCTTGTTGGTCCTTGTTGGTCTTCATTCTGTGGACTGTGGAGAAGATGGACAATGACCAGTGGAAGAGGAAGGAAAAGATGAGACTCTACTCAAGAGACATTTTTGGTGTGCATGGCTGAATCAGTCAGTAGAGCGTGTGACTCTTGATCTCAGGGTTGTGAGTTTGAGCCCCATGTTGGGTATAGAGATTGTTTAAAAATAAAATCTTAAAAGAAAAGAAAGATATTTTCAAGGTGAAGACTGAGGAGGAAGATATGATGGTAAGGTATAGAAATAGAGTCCAAAGACTTGGCTCCACTAAGGACCATTCCCTGTCTCTCGCCTCCTGTCCACCTCTAACATGGGACAGGGACTAACCAGGTGACCTCTGGCTGGTTAATCTTCTGGATATCACATTGCAGAGTTGGAAGGGCAATGCAAATGGCATTCAAAAGCCAAACACAAATTCCCATGTTTAATCCAAACTCAAACCCAAAGGCCCAGACTCAGGAGTTAAGGGAGGTAAATTCTCAGTGGTAAGACTATGGGTTATTTTTACATTCTCCCTGGAATATTTTTCTATTTTCTACAATAAGTGTGTCAGAACAAAACACTGTACATGATATATCCATGCCTACATATTTATATCCATATATGTAAAAAAATAACCCCCAGATTATAGATATGCCAGAAACTAGAATCTAGGCAACATCTGGACAGGGAAAACACTGTTTCTGATGTGCAAGGGCCAAGCCAACAGGGGGTCCTGGGACAAGACAGAGTATGGATGACTGCAAATCATTCCTAATTCCTAAATTTCTAAAATTTCCTATTTTAGGGGTGGGTGGGTGGGGGGAGAGGGAGAGAGAGAATCCTAAGCAGGCTCCATGCCCATCTCGGAGCCCAACACAGGGCTCGATTCCACGACCCTGAGATCATGACCCCAGCCAAAATCAAGAGTCGGATGTTTAACGGACTGAGCCATCCAGATGCTCCCACATTTCCTAGTTTTTACTGTGTTTTTCACCCCTTCCCTCATTATCTACACTTTTTTCTCTTTCCTGCTAAAATTAGTCCAACCTTCTGTTACAATATTTCACCTTGTTAATAAAACCCAGTGCCAAAGAAGGGGAATAAAAGGGTTTTCTATTCACTGTTTCTTAACTTCTGAAACTAGTCTGGATGGAATGATCACTTGTTGTAGGAAGTTGTACAAGGGTGCATTTACTAGCAACTGGAACAGAGATCTCTGCCGAGGGGAGGGATTTTCTGGGGAGTTGGGTACCTCACAAAATATAGGAAACCCTCAAGTCAGGTTCAGTGATAACCTCAGTGTCAGGTCTGGCCACGCGGGACTCTGGCTGGCTGTGTGGGAAAGAGACAAACTCTAGGAGGGTCAGACCAGGACATTCCAGGTAGTCGTGCATTTACCCAGGGAGCATTCACTGTGTCTGAATCACGTGCAAGACACTGTGTGAGGGGCAAGTGAAGCTGAATCAAAATTAGTGAGACATACCTGTCCTTCAGGAAACACCTACTCTGGATGTTCTGCACTCCTGTCTTTGCCGGCAACCAACATACAAGCACACCCAGAGAGAGGAGAGTGGACAGGGGGTGAGGAACGTGAGTGGCTGGGACCCTTGTCCCTGGTAGTGGAAGGCTGGCAGGCTCTGGGAGGTGTGAAGAAAGAGGAGCAGGCTGAGGGGGCAGGGGGCATAGGCAGGAAGAGTGGAGAGCTTGCTGAAGCAGGGAGGGGCAAGGTGGGAACCAGACGCGGGGGCCTCTGTGGTCATCTAGGACTGTGAGTTGGGTTTGGCAGGGGCGGCAGAGTTGGCGGGGCAGTGGCGGGGGCGGGGGGGGGCGGGTACTTCTGAGCCGGAGAGAGGGCAGGTCTGAGCGGTGTTTTAGGAGGGTTATGTGGCAGTGGTGGGAGGATGAATGGAACTCAGAGTCCCAGAAAATAGTCTTTTCATCATAATTCCATACAAGCCTGAGGCCTCAATTCGGAGCCCTTCAACCATGTAATCTGAGAAAGAGATGGTCTTCTTTAGAGACGCGTTCAACTTCCTACTTAGAGCCAAGCACTGTGTTGATATTGCCCGCAGAGGTTGGTTTTAACCAAGCAAAGAAGAGGGGATGGATTTTCTTGACTACCATGGCTCGGAGTTACATCTGTCTCCTTCAGTTTTCAGAACAATTAGTGCGCGGCTCTGGACGCCCCTGACAGCCCCGAGGCGCCCCCTTGCACTGGCAGGGAGGGAATGGGTTCCTAACAGTTTCACTGCTGCGGGTGGGGCGCTCCGGGCTATCTCCTCCCACCTCCCACCTCCCACCTCCGACAGGAAGTGGGGGCGGGGCTAGCGGGGCTCCCGCCCCTCGCGTTGCCCTGGAGACCAAGCGCGTCCCGTTGCAGTGGAGCCTGGAAGGGCCCTGGCTGACTTGAGTGGTGGTGCCTTCTTGCAGGTGGGGCGCCGGGCCTACCTCCATCGCCCGGGCTTAGAGGGGAGGGCCGGGGACTGCCCCCACCACCCTCTCCTCTGTAGGCTGGCGGGGCTGGTGGCACGAGAGGAGCCTGCTGCGTCTTCTCCGCATACAGTAGGTGCCTAATTAGCCTTGCCAGAGTCAGCCTGCTCCTCCCTCCACTACCCCCTCTCTGTCCACTCGAGGCCGGGAGTAGCGGAGGGGGTAGTCACGGGTCCTTGAACCATGTTCAGCTCCAGGTTGGGGGTTCAAGGCCAGCTTGAAATCTGAACTGACACCTTGGGCACGTTGACTTTCCCAGGAGAGCTTGGGAGGGTGAAACACAAAACAATAACCATTTATTATTATTCTTTACCCCCTCAAGTCCCTTTCGGATTTGCACCCTGCTTGGCTGGAAGAGCCAGCCTTCTCTGTGAGTTCTATTCTTGCCTGAGGTTTGTTTCCTTTTTGCTTCTTTGCCCCTCTCCTCTTTTTTGTTTAAAATGAAAACCCTGATGCCTGAGACGAGCCCCATGCTTTCTCTCAGAGCAGGAGGGTGGGGGTGGGGGTGGGCGTTGCCTGGGTGGGCCTTGTCCTAGGCGGAGGACTTGTCCTGGGGGTGCAGGCATCAGTTTCTCAACCTCGGTCGGAATGGAGACCAAACCCCAGACAGGATTCCTGGACAATGAATTCCCAACAGGGTCGTTCAGCCGGCGGTCAAGCCAAGATGTCCTCAGTGGGGAAGGTGACCCAGGTTCCCAGCGGGAAACTCTACCAGCAGATCTTCGAGGCTGAGGTAGGTCTGTCCCTCTGTCACCCCCTTCCCTCTCCTCCCCAAACTTCCCTCCCTCTGAAGGCTTTTTTGCCTGGAAATCCAATGAAATAAGGCTTTGAAATTCCTTCGATTTTAAAAATAATTCTTATTGGTTCTTAAAACATAGGAATACAAAATTGGAATGTCTATTCTTAAAAATTAAAAAATTTACATTAAAATTTTAACTTAATTAAATTTAATTCAAACTTAAATTATTCAGAAATAGCCAGAATTAACCAATGGATGTCTTGGGACCTTTTTCTATGCACAAAAGGATTTCTAATTTTTTCAATTTAAAAATGGGCTTGATTCTATACCAGTGTCTTGAAACCTGCTTTTTCCCTGTTAATGGTATCACACGGACCTTCCCCATGTCAAGGGACATTCATGTACTGCCTAGTTGTTAATCTTGGACTTCCCATCATGTATTAAAGTAATACCCTCTTGACAACCATATAGGTTGCTGGAATTGCCTTGATGTCTATAAAAAACACAGACAAGAACAATATCTTACTGTACTGCTTATTTAAAAGGGATTTTCGTTCCTACTTTGAGCTCTGAATAATGCTCTCTGTAGAAGGCTTGGAAATTATACAAGTATAAGGAAACCAAAGAAACAAATGACTCACATGATCCAGCTGCCTGGAAGCAACACACCATTCTTAACAGTTAGCACACTTTCTCCGGGTCATTTTTCTATGAGTTTAAAATTTTGAGATCCTATTGTATAATTTTGGTTATAATTTTTAATTTATGCTTTTTATTGATATGTTTATGGTCTATCATAAGCGTTTCCCTGTGTCATAAAAAATCCTTTGTAAGTCGGGGCGCCTGGGTGGCTCAGTCGTTAAGCATCTGCCTTCAGCTCAGGTCATGGTCCCAGGGTCGTGGGATCGAGCCCCGCATTGGGCTCCCTGCTCCGCAGGAAGCCTGCTTCTCCCTCTCCCACTCCCCCTGCTTGTGTTGCCTCGCTTGCTGTGTCTCTCTGTGTCAAGTAAATGGATAAAATCTTTTTTTTTTTAAGATTTATTTATTTATTTGAGAGAGCGAGAATGAGAGAGAGAGAGAGAGAGTACATGAGAGGGGGGAGGGTTAGAAGGAGAAGCAGGCTCCTCGCCAAGCAGGGAGCCCGATGCGGGACTCGATCCAGGGACTCCAGGATCATGACCGGAGCTGAAGGCAGTCGCTTAACCAACTGAGCCACTCAGGCGCCCCGTAAATGGATAAAATCTTAAAAAAAAAAAAAAAAAAAATCCTTTGTAAGTCTCATTCTCAATAAATGCCTAACATTCCATTGAAGGGACATACCGAGTTTACTCAACCAGTCCTCTATAATTGGACAGGCCCATTTTTCTAATTCCTTGTGATTACAAAAGATGCTGGGCCTCCCTGCAATGTGCCTTCCTGCTGGCAAGTTCCCCCGTGACCTTATAAGACTGCAGGGTCAGGCCAGGGTGCTGGGGAGCCTGCAGCTCTGACCCCCCACTGGGATCTTTTGTGGATTCAGGCACAGCTGGTCCGCTCTCTGGTAGCCTCCAGGAAGCGTGCCTTGGACAGGTCTATGACCCCCAAGAATGGCAGGAAGCCCTTGATGAAGAAGACGGATATTCCTGAAGGAGAGATGATGTCTGCCCGGCAGCAGAAGTGGGCACACAGCCTACCCAATGACTGGGTCACAGAAAACCCTGTTCTCTACAGGTAGGTCCTGCGGTCCCCACCGCACTGCCACACACTGGGCGTGATATGTCAGAGTCTTCAAAAACTCAGACAGATCTCACACAAAATGAGTGCCAGGTAGGAATGAAGTCCCAGGTACCTCCTCTGAAAGAGGTACTTTGCAGGACTCTGTGCTGCTCCCTTCCTTCCTTTCCCCCTCCACCCCCCCCCAATAGTGATTGATTGAGTTCCTAGGGCCAGGTACTGGGTTTGGGATCCCACCCTCCCAGAACTTGAAGCCTTGATAGTAAATAAATAAGCAAGTCCCCCCAAAGGTGGGAAGACTCTGACCCAGAGGATGAGCGGTGGTGCAGAAGTCAGGAAAGCCCCAGATGAAGGGCTGCACCTGCGACCAGAGGATGAGGGGAGGGATGCATGGGGCAAGGCTCTGAGGCAGGAAGGGCTTGGTCCCCTCCAGAAGGCCAAAGAAGTCAGTGGGCCTGGGGGAAAGGGGCGGGAGATGAGGCTAGGAGAGGCCTGCTGACCACAGTCAGGATTTTGGACTACTGAAGTGAGCGACTGATTTGCCTTTTGAAGGCCTTCTGGCTGCTGTGTGCGGAATGTGGGGAGTATGCCATTTCAGCTCCCTGAGCTCAGACTCCTCAAGCAGGGAAAAAGGAAAGAAAGGGACAAGGAGAGGCTGCATCTACCTCACCGGGGCGCCGGGGAGAATGTAGCAGGAGCTGAGCGTCCCTTGGCTCTGCAAGCTCAACACAAGCCACAAACCCTTCTCTGGTCTGGGACTCTGAAGGGGAAGTCAGCCTTTCTCAACCTACCCTTGTTTTCCCTTTCACCTGCTTTCGGGCAGAGATTGACCCAACGCTGGGTAAAGGGCTCTGCCCCAACCTATCTTTGACTTTTCCCAGGGAAATCTCCCCTGAGGCTTCTTTTTCTTTTTTCCTTCTTTCTTTCTTTCTTTTTTTTTAAGATTTTATTTGAGAGAAAGAGAGAGAGTGAGAGAGAGAGAACATGAGCAGGGGGAGCAGTGGAGGGAGAGGGAAAAGCAGGCTTCCCGTGGAGCAGGGAGCCCAATGCCAGGCTCAATCCCAGGACCCTGGGATCATGACCAGAGCCGAAGGCAGACACCAAACCGACCGAGCCACCCAGGCGCCCCTCCCCTGAGGCTTCTGACCCTCAGCACCCTTAACTGCCTCCAGAGGGGTAAACCCACTGGCCACCCAAGCCCAGACTGGAGGTCAGTGTTCTCTAGCCCCTGTGCTGATGCCAAGTGCAGGGGTCCAGAGGCACAGATGGCAGGGGCCGGTCGATGCTACCCCTACTTCCCAGGAGGATGGTCTTGCAGGAGGGTCTAAGCCCCCTCTCAGCTGACCTGAGAGTCACCTGTGCCTCCCAAGGGTCCCCTCTTCCCCAGGGTTTAGCCACCCACTATGCTGATAACCAGATCAGTCAGGAGCTCTTAGCCCCTACAGGACAGTGTTTTAGGAAAGGCACTTCTCATGGAGGGTGCTGGCCTTGTGCTGTGCTTGCTTCCTGGGACAGACAGACAAAGCTAGGTCTGCCCTGGACAGAGATCCAGAGGACAACCTGCTAAGCTCTGCCACCCTCAGATGACTAGGGTCACTAACTCAGCAATGGCGTCTCTCTTGTCCCCTTCTTGAAAATTCAGCCAGCCAAAGCCAGCCAATTTGTGTGTTCCTTCAGCCAGGGCAGGGCCTCTGGGTGAGTGGAAGAGGAGCCCAGTGGAGGGATAGATCAGCACCAATGTAAACCAAGTCCTTGGGTCAAGTGGCCGAGCCATCGGCATTCCTGTAGTCAGAGCACCCGGACTTCCATGGGCATCTGATTGACAAGGTTGAAAGACCCACCTCTGGAGGGTCAGCCCAGGCTGGTAAGGCTGCAGTGAGGACTGCATGAGAAATGACTACAAAGCACCACACGTGTGGGGGCCCTGAGGAATGGCAGGTGTCATTGAGACCTGTTGCATTTCTGTGCTGCTTTGTCCTGTGGACAGTGCATTCAGGGATTTTTATTCCAAAGCTAAGGTCATGCTCACCCACCCTGCTCCTCCCACTGAGATAGTTTGTCCTGGGGTTTCAGCTTTCTCCTCCCACCCCCAAACTCCATGGACCATGGACCTTGGCCTCACACATGTGGGTCTGGGAGTCTCAGCTCTGCTTTGTACAGTGACTTCTTTAAGCCCCTTCCCCTGTCCTGGACAGTGGGGTTACCCCAAATGCCTCACAGGATGGGTTGCTGAAGGAGTAAATGCTGAGTGCTTAGCACCGGCCTGGCTTTCCCAGGCTGGTTACGCCCCTTCCAGTCCTCAGTGTCCCCATGTGGAAGTGGCTCTTGCCTACTACCCACATGTGGTTTGCAGCCAGAGCAGAAGCAGACCCTGATTCGTTGTCTAGGGACCATCGTGCCTGCTGGCAGCAGATGGTTGTTGAGAGACTGGCATGGCCTTGGGGCTGTCAGGATGGGGTGGGCCTGGGTTATCACCAATATCCAGGGTCCCTCTGAGGACTCCCTTGTGTGCCAGAGCTGCCCTGGTGTGGGGGAGTGGGCTGGGGGTTTACTGTTTCTTCTGCTTGTGCCTCAGGGAAAAGGAAATAATCAAGAAGAAAAAAGCTCAAGAAAGTGAGAGCACCATTGCCGCCCGCGAGGTCCGGGGCCTCATGGACACCATCGGTGAGCCTCTGTTCAACCGTGAGGGCAGGCCCGGCTCTCTCCCCTCGGCCTCCTTCCCTCAGCCTCCTCCCCTGAGCCTCCAGCCCTGGGCCTTCTCCTCAACAGGGAGCTGGGGAGGGGGCAAGGGGCTCTGCACACTCAGCATTTACCGATGAAAATCAGTTGGGAACGGATTTTTTTTTTACTGCAGTTTCACAAGAGGATTTCAATCTACATTGTCTTCCTTTATACTGTGGAGGAAGGCTCTTTTTCTTTATGATTAAAAAAATAATACATGCTCACTCTAAGTAATCCCTACACCCAACGTGGGTTCAAACTTACAATAGGCACCCCCTAATATACACTTACTGTGGAAAAACAAAGGAAGGAGATAAGCAGAAAGTAAAAAGTCTCCCTTCACAATAACACTGCCTCCTCCCGAGAATGGCCCCCACCGTGAAACCACATGGGACATACAATATCTAGGTTCCCACATAGATTCAGGGGACAGCAGAGCACAGGGCAGGAATGCAGACCCTAGAGCAGACGGCCTACATCCAAACCCCTGCTCAGGCCATGTCTGAGCGTCCTCACTTGTAAAATGGGGCTGATGAAATAGAACCCGCCTCTCGGCCTCTTCAGGAGTGGTGATTGAGTTAGAACAATGCCTGGTACATGGTAAGTGCTATATAAGTGTTGGTTATTCATATTTGTATATATATGTGCTTCTATAAAACTTTTTAAAAAACATAACTTGTCCCATTCTATATGTCCCATTTGGATACTTTCTGGCATTTAAATGTAGATGAGAGATTTCATTCCTTATAGCACTTAGGGATCACCTCTGTCTTTTCTCTTTTTCCTTAAGTCTGTGACACTGTGGCCTGGTTTTGGGGTCCATCTCCTGAGCCAAGGCACTTTGTGCCTTGCTGACTTCTTCTGGGTGCTCTGCCCTTGCTTTGAAGCTCTGAGGACAGCCCCCTCACCTCTGTTGTTCTCCCTCAGTTCCCCAGAGGCCCTGCACCACCACCCTTGGCACCGCGGGAATGGACTCCAAGAGGCGGGGCTACGAGAGTGCTCTGGGGAGCTTTAAGGAGGAGATTGCTCAGATTGGGATGGTGAGAGTCCTCCCTCTCCCCCCTTCTGTTCCTGGGCCATTCCCAAGCCGGGCTTGTCACCGCACCCACCCCCCCTCCCCTGCCCCGGCTCAGAGGTCCTGAGTGGCTCACCAGTGGTGTAGACGGAATCAGGGTAGCCATGTTTGAGTGTCCATTATGAGTGCTCGAGATGAGCACAACTTCTAAGTCAGGTACCATTATTACTCCTACTCTGCAGGTGAGGCCCAAAAAGTCTTGCCTGACTTGGCACATAGGGGGCCAGGTGGGAACCGGACTCCAGAGCTGATGCCAAAGCCCAGACCTTGAGCTCCCTGCTCAGTCCTGCTAGGGCATGCTGGTCTTCCCACCCCCTGCCAGTCGTCACCTCACTCATCCGTCCCATCTGTACATGAGCTCTACTTTCGCCCATGGCTCTGTGGCTTTGGTCATGCAGCATAACTGAGCCTCAGTTTCCTCATCAGAAGTAAACTCGGAATTCTTTCACTGGGCACTTCTTTAATGAATATTTGCTGAGCCCCAACCAGGGACCAGGCCTGAGGTCAGTACCTACTCCAGACCAAGAGAGTCTGAGGACGAGGGCTCAGCCCGGAGTGCAGTGCCCAGCACGTGGCCCATGACCGATGGAATGGGGCTTGCCCTTGTGCTCTGGCTGTGAATGAATTCGTGAATCCTAGTGCCTTAGTTCTAGGGAATGATGATCAGTTTCAAGGCAGGACGACAGCAGGCACTTCCCCATCACAGGTTCGGGGTGGGAGGAAGGGCCGGGCTCTCTGGTGGCATTGATACCATGGCCGTTGCCCTACTGGCCCGTTTTAGGAAATGGAACCTTTCATCTTGGAGCCAGGAACTCTTCTTTTAAAAAAGCTGGCCGAGTCGGATGAAGACATTGACCGGCTCTTCAAAAAGGTGGAAAGTGACACCAACCTCGAAGACTACACCATCCAAGTAGGGGTTCCCTTGTGGCCACGCCTGCCCCACCCGGGTCCTGCTCCTTCCCTTGCAGCCCATCTGTCCTCCCAGCCTCCCTGACCCAGGCTTCTTGGCATAGACCCTGTTGGAGCTGTGGGATCAGGTGGCTGAGAAGTTCCAGTTCCAGAAGCAGGGGATCAAGGAGCTGGATGAGGCCCTGTACGAGGCCGAGTTCTCCCGGGCAGATAAAGTGAGTTGGCCTGCACGTGGGCTTGTGGTGATTTTCACCTGTGGGATTTGTGAGGCATCGTCTGTGTCCTTTTAGGTTTCCAGGAAAAGAGAGTCGCTAACAATGGCAACTTGTTGTTTCTAGCTCAAAGGTGTGTTGAAGAAATATGTGGAAATCATAGAGAAAACTTCCTACCTCATGCAGCCCGAAGTGTACAGGCTGATAAATAAGGAAGCCATGGTGAGTGGTTTGCATGTGCAGGGGATCAGCCCCCAGATAGAGCAGGACCTGAGGATGCCCCAGAGCCTGGTGTCACAGGAACGAATGTTTTCTCATGGGTCACATTTCCAGGTAACTCAGGTTGGTCACTTGGGTTCTGAACCAGAGTTTTTGTTAAGTATTTTCAATAGAAATCTTTCCAAATTACATGGCACCCATCCCTGCTGTCTTAATCCCAGTGACCTAGCACAGCGTCCCTGGTTTGAGCACAGATGTATTTTACGAGCACGCCTGGGCCCTGTCTCAGCTTACCATGTGCAGTGCAGTAGGTGCTAGATGATGGGGCTGTCCTGCTCTCCGGGTGCTTTGTGCCCTCCTAAGTGACTCCAGCCTGCTCTGTTTTTCTAGTGGTTCTTGTCTGCCTTCCTGCTGGCTGCCAGTGTCTGTTATTAAAGCATGCTCTTTCTCCTGGCTCTTCCCCACTGCTTCCCTGTCCACACCCCACCCTTGCCCAGCTGCTTTCTTTGGGTGTAGAAAACAAAAAATTCAAGGTTCTGCACCTTGGAGTCCTGGACAAAGCACAGACAGGGAACGGGCACAGACCTCCCTCTCCACTGCCCAGACACACAAGCTCCCGACGTCATTCTGCTCCGGCACCTGGAACTCCCTGTCCATAAAATGGGGATCACGATCCTTAAACGCCAATACTTATTGGGGGCAGGGGGGTAAAAGACGGCTCAGCAGTGGCCGCAGTTGTTTGAGACAAGCAGGAGTCCCTAACTTTTATCCATTTGCTCTATTTGGGGGGTGGTCAGAGTTAGCAGCGACCTGGGGATGTTTCATTGTTTGACTTCCACACCCTTATTATACTCATTATAACAATTGGCACTCGCTCCTTACTCCATGTGCATTTATCTCATTTAATTTCACAAAATCCCTAGGCTGCCAATAACATTATCTTCGTATTATGGCTGCAGAATTGGAGGTTGAGGAAAAACCTGCTGGTGCCCCCCCAGCTAGGAAGTATAGCTGGCGACACCCCTCAGGTTCCAGTGAAAATTGTTACTGGAATTTCTGCCAGTTGAGCTTTGTTCTCACCCTTGCGCCAGGGTGGCGCCTCGAGGGCTTTGGGCAGCTATGGAGACATTTGGCTGTTGCACACCTCGGGGGCATGGGAGAGACTGCTCTCATAAAGGGGGCAGGCTACCAAGTAGCAGAACAGTGCCACACAATGAAGAATTGTCCCCACCACTGCCATGCCAAGGATGCCTAGGGGAGGGTCACTGGGAGGACTGAGGAAGAATGTCCTAGCTCTGGCCTCATTTGGTAATTGGGTCTTCTCATCACAACCATATGTAACTGATCCCTGATGGCATGAGCACTCTGCTTTTGGAACAAATTTATTAAAAAAAAAAAAAAGAACAAACAGTTAAAGAGTAAGAGCCCACGAGAGTGCTCATCTCCAGTGAACTAAAATCGGCTACTTTAACGATCTGATATGGTCTTGGGGCTGGGTTGAAGGTACATGGTTAAGTCAGGGGTCATAGGTAAGCCTTCAGGAAAGACCCCTGTCACTGTCCATGGCCGCTCAGCCCCAGGCAACTGCGTTGAGTGCCCAGTGACCCCTCAATGCCCCTCAGATGCTGCCTCTGCCCTACTCGGCCCCGCTGCGCCCCAGGCCCTCTGCCTGCACCTCACCTGGCCCCCCTTCCCACTATCCCTCTCCAGCTGAGCCTTGCTCTGAGCTTGGCGAGCCCCCGCCTCGTGTAGAGCCTGCCTGCCTGTACCACAGGTCATAAACCAAGCCCTACTGGGCAACCGGAGGGCCATCGCCCAGCTGTTCATCAACCTCATGGAGGCTACGCTGCAGCAGGAGCTGGAGAGCCACCGTCACTGGCAGGGCCTGGTGGACGCCTGGAAGGCTCTCAAGAAGCAGGCCCTGGTGCAGAGTTTCAGGTCCGTGACTGCCCACTCTGCCCACAGCTCTTCCCCAGACCCACCTGGGAGGCCGGCTCAGCAGGCCGGTGGCCCCGCCCTCCCTTATTGTCAGGACTCCAGAGTGCTGCTCTTCTTCTGGGGGTAAAAATATATGCTTCTTCTTCCTCTTTTATTTTTTTTCAAGTCACAGTAGATCAAAGTATAAAGAAGAAATTTAAAATCACCAGTAATCTCTCGTCGTAGGGAGAAGCACAGCTGATATTTTGGTATATTTCCTCTCAAGCTTTTTTAGACCCACACTGCATATGTCGCCTTGTATCTTAATTTTCTTCATAAACATTAGCACGTAAGCATTTTCTGAGCCCAGTACAAATTGTTTGAAAACATCAGGCTGATTATCTGCCCAGTTTCCACTCTACTGCTACACATAACCCTGTGTCACTGGGCCAAGGAGAATGGGAGTTCCTCAGGCTTTGATACCTCCTGCCCTCTGGTATCGAGGTTCACCTCGGGGAGGGAGGGAGAAGGCCCATCTCCGTGCTGCCTCCGCCAGGTGGCCCTTTGGTTAATACTGACACAAGGATCCTGCAGCTCCTGGCCAACAAGCAAGGCTTTCTTTTGCTTGCTGGGCAGAGATGTCTGAGGATGCCTAAGAATGTCTGTCCGTCTGTGCTGTGGGTCTGCGGATGGGAGGCCCATCTGAACACCTGAATTTCCAGATGAGAACACCAGAGTCTGATACCAGGGATGGAAGAGAAGTGTACTGAGACCTGGCTCCACCTGTACTTTCCCTGTGACCTTGATCAAGCACTTGAACGTAGTAGAGCTTTTCTTTCCTTACACAGAGCAGGCACGATGATGGGCCAGCATTAGGGTTTCAGTGATGATCAAGATGCTATATGGAAAGTGACTGGTCGGGGCCTGGGCCTGGAGGTTGTTACAAATGTCAATAATCACCAACAGTGATGTCAGGAGCTGACATTTACGGGGCATTTCCCCTGAGCCAGGCTTGGTGCTAGGGGCTTTGCTTGCAGTATCTTACTGGGTCCTTATAGGTACTCTTCATTAGCTCGATTACAGACAAGGAAACAGATTCACAGGAGGGGAGTGACTCGCCCAAGGTCATAGAGCTGGCAGGCAGGAGTCGGGACCCACACTGAGATCTCTGCCTGTTGGTCCCATGCTCTTAGTGCCAGAGCCTCACTGGCAGCCCTGTGGTTCTTCTCTCCCACCTCGCACCCTCCCTCCTCTCATCATTGTCCCAGTGGCCCCCGATAGGGAGGAAGCAGCTGGAGTGGTGTAAGGGTGCTTAGGTTCTGAATGTTCTTACCACGAGTCTCATCCCCTCTCTCCCATCTGCCCTGCCCCTCCTCTCCTCTCTATGGTGCCAACGCATCTGGACACCCAGTGAGTTCATGGCCAGTGAGAGGATCCGGACTCCTCCAGCTGTGAAGAAGGAGATGGAGAGCATGCTGAAGAACCAGAAAGCCCTGCAGCAAAAGCGGCTGGAGCATCTCCGCACCATCTGGTATGCTGGGAGGGGGCTCCAGCGAGGGATGCTATGGGGGAGGCAGGCACAGTCCTCAGCATTGACCATTCTCCTGGGGCATCCTCCAGGCCAGGCCAGCTCCTTGTTCCCTAGTCCTGTGCCATCCACCTGGGCCCACGTTCTGGGGCATTCCAGCCCCAGTGACAACAAAGAACATGACTGGGCCAAAAAACTTGGAAGGAGGCGTTGGCAAAGGGGGGCAGGGTGAGCGGGGGAGGAGGGGCCAGGTTCAGGGGTTGGACTTTTTCCCAAGAGCTGGTGGGGAGCAGAGTGGCTCCATCAGCCTTGCAGTTTGGAGGGCGAGCTGGAGGGTCTGAGGCTGGAGCCTGGAGGTCAGTGAGGGGGCTGCTGCCATCAGAGAGGGAACCTGTTAGAGGCTGTGCACGCTCCCCTCAACCCTGGGCTCACCCAGCTCTGATCCCATAGTAAGCTGTTTGGTGAGGCGCACAGTGAATGTCCTAGACCCTGGAAGCCCACTGCCTGGGGATCCTATAGCATCCACTCTGAGCAGCAGGACGGAGCCTGCGTGGCCCTGAAAGTGGAGAAGCTTCATGTGCTGGGAGATGCTCCTCCTCTTCCAGTGTACCTTGGTTCCTCCCACCCCTAACCCTGGTAACCCAGGCTTACCTGCTTGTCTCCCCACCACAGAGCCAAAGTTCTCCTAGGATACCAATGACAATTAGAACCCCACACAATCTCCCCCAGGGCAGGCACTTTTTCATGCAGGTGCAAAATTAACAAGGTGGATAAAAATCTCAACATAAGGTAAAGTGCTTTTCTTGTTTTCTGTAACTCCACTGTTTCCGACTGAGTCCCTGTTTACTAAACTGGGCCAAACTCAATCTTTCTTGGGGTTGTATCCATCGAGGTGAAGCCGTGAATCCCCATCCATCACAGGCCCGGTGAAGGGGTCTGTTCCTCTGTATTTGATCCACCCACATGCCCTGGGGCAGCTGCTGCAGCAACCTTGAGGAGGCTACTCTGCACCCCTGTGGCCTCACACCCAGGCAGCTGTTTCGCTCTGGGTACCTGGGTCTTACACCTGCCCCCCCAACCCCGGGCCTTCGACCAGGAAGGAGGACCCAGGTTGCTACTGGCCAGGCAACCGCAGTCCTCTCTGTCCGCCCCCAGCTCCCTTCTGCTGGGTGAGGAGAGAGCCCTGGTCCTCCACTCTCAGCTGCCAGCCCAGCTCCCCTCCCCAGGGCTCCCGGCCCACTCCTGCCAAGGCTTCCCCTCCCCAGTGCTCTAGGCTCTCCTGAAAACTTAGATTTTGAGAACAAAATCCAGAAAGATTTCTAGGCTGCTCGCTTTTCTACCCTGCCATATCCCTCACACCAGCTGTGAACACTGGGCTGGCTGGCTACCTGCCTGAGTGAAGGAGAGTGACAGGGCCAAAGACAGGAAAGTGCATTCCCTGGCGCTTGTGGCCCCTGCTGGGAAACTCTATGTAATGGCAGAGTGTCTGCGGGCAGAGCATGGAGCTGGTGGGTGACTTGACCTGAGCTGAGGAAGTTGGGGGCAACTCTCTGAAATCAGAGGCAAGAGTGTGCATGTACAGGACCCAGCAGCTCCTTTGCAGTGAGAGTATAGAAAGAGGGGAAGCCAGGACATGATCTGTGTCTGAAGTGTGTACTGCAAACACAAGTTTGAATGTGCAACTTAAAGTTGCAAAGCCTTGAGCATAGAATTCCAGTGAACATCAAGAGTGAAGGTTTGGGTTTGTGGTTTGTTTGTGCAAGGAGGTCTTGGCAGCACTCAGAGCACACTGTGTAGACACCCACCTGTGTCTTCTTAACCCGCGAAGGAGCCAGGGAGCCTTATCATCAAGCCCAAGTAGCTGTCCCAAGGAACTGCCTCATATGGGGTTCCATACCCCAACCTGACGCAGAGCTCCAGGCCTTACTCCTGAAACCCCAGAGCCCCGGACCTTGCTTCTCTGTCTCTGATATAGAGCTATCAAGGGTCCTCAAACTCCCATCCTTGGGCCCCTGCTTGTTTGCAAGGAAGTTTCATTGGAACACAGCTGTGCTCATTTGTTCACATATTGTCTAAGGCTTCTTCCGCTCTACAGCAGCAGAAACGAGGAAGTTGCAGGGGCGCCTGGGTGGCTCAGTGGGTTATGCAGCTGCCTTCGGCTCAGGTCATGATCCCAGGGTCCTGGGATCCAACCCCGTGTTGGACTCCCTGCTCAGTGGAGAGCCTGCTTCTGCCCCTCCCTTGCGTACTCTTGTTCTCTCTCTCTCAAATAAATAAAATCTTAAAAAAAAAAAAAAGATTCCTAGGGCCCCCAAGAGAGAGTTTTCCAAAGTCCTGGGAGAATTCCCATGGATTTTCTTGGATCCAATAAACATATATGCATATGATTTTAAAATAATTTTTAAATTCAATTTTTATTTTGGCGTAATGTTAGATTTACAGAAAACTTACAAAGATAGCACACAGAATTCCTGTACACTCCTTACCCACTTCCCCCTAATATCGTTATCTTACATGCAAAACTAAGAAATTTACTTTCATGCATTCCCATTAACTAGACGCCAGACATTTTCAGATTTCACCAGTTTTTCTACATTGCCCGTTTTCTGTCCCAGGACCCAATCCAGGACACAATATTGCACTTAGTATAATGTTTAGACTGGAGATTATGCTGTGTGCAGTCCTGTAGTTATTTTTTGCTCTTTACTGTCCCACCATAAGTAGGGTGCCCAAGACCATCCTGGGTTACACATCTTGTCCTGGTACAATCATTAATAGAATCCCTCTCTTCATTGTCAGAAATGTCCTGGTTTGGACAATAAGTTATATGGTCCTCCTTTCCATATGCATCTTTCCATACCATTAAACACCACCCAAAATTTAGTGGCTTAAAACAACAAGCATTTCTTGTTTCTCAGGATTCTGGGGGTTGTTTGCCACAGGGTGTTTCCCTTAGTCTGGGCTGGCCGGGCTGAGGGTAGATGGTCTAGAATGGCCTCACTCCTATGCCCGGAGCCTGGGCTGGGACAGCTGGGGCTTCTCTGGTGGCAGCGGCAGAGGAGAGCACACAAGCCTTTCCAACACGCGGTCTCGTTTTGCTAACATCTCATTGGCTAAAGCAAATCACGTGGCCCGGCCCAGCCCCTGGGTAGAGAAATAGACTGAGGGGAGCCCTTGAGGACGGTGGCCGGTTTTCAATCTGTCGCACTATCTTTAGTGACTTCAGAAGAGAATGCACTGTACTTTATTTAGACAGAACCCTATTGTTGGATATGAAGTTTGTTTATGATTTTTTGAGTGCTTATAAACACTACTGTTAAGCATCTGTCTTAATGCATAAACTTTGTATGCATTTATATTATCATCTCGGATTCGGTTCCTAGAAGTAGGCAAGTAGTCTTTGTCAAGTGATATGAACCATTTGTTTTTTTCCATTACGGAAATTCAGTTTTCTTTTCTTTCTTTCTTTCTTTTTTTTTTTTTAGAGAGAAAGAGAGAGCGCATGCATGTAAGGCAGGGGAATGGAGGGGGTAGAGGGAGAGAGAGAATAGTAAGCCCACTCCAGGCCAGCTCCATCTCACCACCCTGAGATCATGACCTGAGGTGAAATCAAGAGTCAGAGACTTAACCAACTGAGCCACCCAGGTGTTCTCGGTATTATTTTCTAAGTAACAGACTTGTTAATATTAATAGACCTCTTATTTTTTTTAACTATTATGTTATGTTAATCACCATACATTACAGTTTTTGATGTAGTGTTCCATGATTCATTATTTGCGTATAACACCCAGTGCTCTATGCAGAACGTGCCCTCTTTAATACCCATCACCAGGCTAACCCATCCTCCCAGCCCCCTCCCCTCTAGAACCCTCAGTTTGTTTTTCAGAGTCCATCATCTCTCATGGTCCATCTCCCCTCCGATTTTCCCCCCTTCATTCTTCCCCTCCTGCTTTCTTCTTCTCCTTCTTCTCCTTCTTCTTCTTCTTCTTCTTCTTCTTCTTCTTCTTCTTCTTCTTCTTCTTCTTCTTCATCTTTTTGACATGTTATGTATTATTTGTTTCAGAGGTACAGATCTGTGATTCAACAGTCTTGCACAATTCACAGCGCTCACCATAGCACATACCCTCCCCAAGGTCTATCACCCAGCCACCCCATCCCTCCCACCCCACCCTCCACTCCAGCAACCCTCAGTTTGTTTCCTGAGATTAAGAATTCTTCATATCAGTGAGGTCATATGATACATGTCTTTCTCTGATTGACTTATTTCACTCAGCATAACACCCTCCAGTTCCATCCACGTCGTTGCAAATAGCAAGATTTCATTTTTTGATGGCTGCATAATATTCCATTGTGTATATATACCACATCTTCTTTATCCATTCATCTGCTGATGGACATCTTGGCTCTTTCCACAGTTTGGCTATTGTGGACATTGCTGCTATAAACATCGGGGTGCACGTATCCCTTCGGGTCCCTACTTTTGTATCTTTGGGTAATAGACCTCTTATGAGTTGTATTTTTGGCACCAGGAAATCCCCAGCAAGTCAACTGTTTCTTTGATACCTCCATAGATACTATACTATGGGGCTATGTGCCTTAAAGATGCTGCCTGTTCTGGGGGCGCCTGGGTGGCTCAGTCGTTAAGCGCCTGCCTTCGGCTCAGGGCATGATCCCAGGGTCCTGGGATCGAGCCCCGCATCGGGCTCCCTGCTCCGCGGGAAGCCTGCTTCTCCCTCTCCCACTCCCCCTGCTTGTGTTCCCTCTCTCGCTGTGTCTCTCTGTCAAATAAATAAATAAAATCTTTAAAAAAAAAAAAAAAAGATGCTGCCTGTTCTGGTAAGCAAATATTTTATTCAAGCATGGCTTCCTTGTTATATCTTCCTTCCCCAGTGACCTTCTGCCCCCCAATTACAGCAAAGCTCAGCTGACTGAATGGCAGTCTTCTCTCAACTCCCTAAATAAGCACCTTGGTAAGTGAGGTTTGTGGGATGCCACTCAGGTCTCTTCAGAACCCTGTTCATGTAGTAGCCAGTCATTTATGTGAGAGTCTATTATAAACTCAGGAGTGGGGCATGTCCCCCTGGAGGAGAGAGGGAATGCAGATGGAAGAGTGAGCTCCGAGGGTTCATATAGGATCTCCCCGTACCTTGCCTGGTAGAGCCCTTTTCCTCCCTCCCACAGCTTCCTGGTCACTGCCCAGCTGGCAGCCATGCCAGCCACATAGTCTGATCCCTGAACCTTGACCCCAGCAAGGAGCCAGAGGGATGGCTCTGATGAACTCCTGTGGGGACAGGTTGGGGGCCAGGTACTGGGCATAGGAGATGCCAAGCAGGTGGTCTTATAGTCAGAGAGACATGGGTTTGACCCCCAGCTCTGTGCTGTCCCAACTGTGTGACCTTGGGGAAGGCATGACTTCTCTTGGCCTCAAACTGCTCCTCAATATTTTTTTTTAAATGTTTTATTTATTTATTCATGAGAGTCAGAGAGAGGCAGAGGCAGAGGGAGAAGCAGGCTCCCCACCTAGCAGGGAGCCCGATGCGGGACTCGATCCCAGGACCCCGGGAGCATGACCTGAGCCGAAGGCAGACGCTTAACCATCTGAGCCACCCAGGTGCCCAAACTGCTCCTCAATAAAATAGGGATCCCAAGAGGAATAATAAAGGAGGCTCAGTCGGATAAGTGTCTGCCTTTGGCTCGGGTCATGACCCCAGGGTCCTGGGATCAAGCCCCATGTCGACTCTCTGCCCAGCGGGGAGCCTGCTTCTGCCCCTCCCCTGCTTATGCTCTTGTTCTCTCTCTCAAATAAATAATTTTTTTTAAAAGAGTAGTTGCAACAGAGACTTTATGGCTGGCAAAGCTGGCAGTATCTACTATCTAGCCCTTTATAGAAAATGCTTGCCAAGTCTTGCTCTAGAAGATACAGGATATTTCCATCTCCTTTGAGGCTTACAGCAACCTGGTAAGGTCAGTAGTGTCATTGTCCCCCTGTGATAGAGAAGGACTCAGAGGCATAGAGAGGAGAGGTATCCTCTACGCCCATGGTCACACAGCTAATGACGTCACATCTGCACTTGACCTGGGTACTTTGGTTAAGAGTATCCATCATTGCTCCCAGGGCTCTCAGGTTTAAAACTACAGAGGTATTATAATTATAATACCAAGGGTAACAGCTCCAAGACCCTAAATAATAGCAATAACTGCCATTTACCAGGCACCTCCTGGGGACGGGTGCAGGGCTGGGCCCTGATACCCAGCAGGGTGTTTCCCATCCAGGGCAAAAGTCAGGCCATGCAGGATGTTACAGCAAAGAGCAGACAGGTGACCAGCATGTTTCTGGGGACAGAGCTTGGTTAAGGGTCATATGAGACCTTGCCAGGGAAGTGTTCATCCAGTCAAGAACTGCAAGGCAAGAGTTAGCCAAACCCAGGGATAAGGGGAGCTTTTCCGGCAGGAAGAATAGCATGTGAGGAGGCTCAGGGTCAAGACAGAGCTGGGGCCTTTGGGGAAAGGAGAACATGGTGGGGGAGGCTGGAAGATGCCGGGGGTGGTGGGGCCAGACTTTGCTGCCCGTGTGGCCATGTGGGGGAGGCTGGGCTTTCTCCGGTGGGAGTGGGAACCCAGGGCAAAGTTCTGAGCTGGGAGTGAGGAGGTCAGAGTGGGAAGAGATCAGAGGGGTTACAGGAGTGGAAGCACAGATCACAGTGACTTCATGGGATGGGTGGGGATGTGCTGGCCTAGGAAGCCGCCCTGGGGCTGGAGAAACCAGCTTCAGAGCTGCTCCTCTCAGTTCCATTGCATATCTTCCACACACACTCCCCCACCCCCGCCCCCGTATCCTCCATCTACCCAGCTTCCATCCACCCTGTCCTCTTCTTCAGCCCTCACCCAAAAACGACTGCCGCAGAATCTTTGTGCTGTGTTTCAGTTTCTAGAACTGCCAGGGACATTAAACTTCAGCTGCTTGTCTCAGACACCAAGAGTCACACCGAGTTTATTAGAAAGTGGGAAACAGTAGACGGGGAGGAGAGAAAACCAATCAGCCAGCTTCTGAGTGTTCTGCTAGCCTATTCACTTCTTAAGGAACTAAGCACAGATGTAATCAGTAAACTCTCGTTAATTTGCACCCTTGTTATTGTTTTATGATTCGGTGCAACCATCTGGAATTCCATTAGTCTGGAAACGGAGTCAAGAATCAGGGTTAGAATAGATTCAGAACAGATAAAGGCAACTCCTCATTCAAGGCCCTTATCTTGGGGTGTTGGGGACTTTGTGAGGAAGGAGATCCCAGCCCCTGCTCAGAATCGGGACCATGGATCTCACCTCAGTTATCTTCGCTAAAGAGAGAAGCTGCCTCCCTTGCGGAGGGGAAACTCTAATCTCCTCTCTTCCTTCTGGAAGAGCAGCTGACATGTTTTCTTTCTGCCCATGGAGATACCTACCACATGGACTGCATGATGCGGATCCGCCTGCAGTACGAGAAGACATGGCAGGAGTGCCTGGCCCACGTGCAGAAGTGCAAGGTGGGCGTCCCTCCTGGCCCGCCCCTGCCCCCCTCCAGCCTGGATCCCCTGCTTTCCTTCCTCACGCGCCCCAGGCCTTCCCTGGCCTCTGGGCATCCCTCCGCCCAGACCCCTCCTCCCCAGCCCTTCCCACCTGTCACTCAAGGTGGAGCCCAGCCCTTCCTTCTCCAGGAAGACTTCCCTGACCCCATGGATGAAGTAATACACTCTCTGATCACGTCAGGCTTCAGCCTTGACAGTCTGTACCCCTTATAGCACTTGACATTATTGATTCAGGGCAGCTCGGATCAGGCGGGTTATTTCCAGGGCTTTGCTTTTGTAAGATAGTGCGGCCACTGCAGTCACTCCCAGCCTTCCTGTCCACCCCGCCGGCCCCTGTCAGACGGTGAGACTGTGGGTCCCTCGCAAAGCACTTCAATGACAGTGCCTGCTTTTGTGGGGTACAAGGAGATATTTGGTCAAAATGCCCTCTCCCGGCCTCCGGGCTCCAACAAGTTCCTGCTCCTCCTCCCCTCATGAGTCTGTAGAGCTTTTGTTCTGCCGCCGAGACTGTGAGGTGAGCAGAATTCATGGGGAGCAGAGTGCTTAATGGTGCTGGGCAGGGTCCGGTGCTGCGTCCCTGGGGGCTGCGCCACCTGCTTGCACAGGCTCACCTTGAATCCACGAGGTCCTGCAGGGTGGGCGTCACCAGCCCCATCTGCTGATGAGAAGACCAAGTTTGCAAAAGGCCCAGGGGCTGCCCGTTTGCTCTGTGGCCTTCGGGCCAGCCACATGCCTCTCAGTCAGCTTTTTCAGGGTGTCAAGCCTCAGAAGTAAAGCCTGGAGGGAGAGGAGAGAGGGAAGCTTTTGCCCGAGGAGAGCCTTCCCAGCACCATGCCCCTGACAGTTTCCTCCCCTCATCCAGGGGGGCAGCCTAAGACCTCCCAAGAGCCCAGGGGCCCTCAGTGCTGACCCTCATGCCCATTCTCACTTCCCTTTGTCAGGCACAGCAGGGGAATAAGTTAAAGTCAGCACATGCCCCAAGAGCGTCTTAGGCCTGACAGAGGAAGGGTGCTTGGTATTCCTATTCAGCAGCAGTGGAAGTATACAACTATAGACACTTATTTCTTTTTTAAAGATTTTATTTATTTATTTGACAGAGAGAGACACAGCGAGAGAGGGAACACAAGCAGGGGGAGTGGGAGAGGGAGAAGCACGCTTCCTGCCGAGCAGGGAGCCCGATGCAGGGCTCGATCCCAGGACCCTGGGATCATGACCTGAGCTGAAGGCAGACGCTTAACCACTGAGCCACGCAGGCGCCCCTATAGACACTTTTTATTTGTGGGAGATATTAGAGTTTGTGCATAAACCAAGGCTTTATTAATACGAAGAGACTGCTTTCCAGTTGGCATAATAGGAATTCAGTTATAGGGAGCAGGAGCCCCGTCTGACTTGTAGCCACACTGAGGCCGTAGCATGGCTGATTATGTCTCTGGGGTCTGCAGGACAACAGTTCTGAGTTCGGATCCCAGCCCCCCACTTGCCAGATGTGTGGCCTCCAGCAAGTTCCTCCACTTCTCTGAGCCTTGGTTTCCTCATCTGTCAAACAGGGCTAATGAGAATGCCTTCAGGGGATTCAGTGAGACAGCAGGATAGTACACAGCGCCTGGACTCGGTGGGCGGACCGAAAAGGTGGACCATCCCCACCACTGTGAGGGTTTCCCCGGAGGCTGGGTGAGAGGCAGACCTCAGGGAGGCAGGGCAAGGCCCCGAGGTGAAGCCCTCCCCGGTCCCAAGCCAGGCTCTGCCCTGTTCCCCTCCAGAAGCAGCTGCTGGACTGGAAAGCCTTCACCGAGGAGGAGGCAGAGAGCCTGGTGAGCCCGTACTTCTTCCAGACGGTGGGAGTGCTGCAGAGTGAGGTGGAGGAGAAGCTGGAGCTCTGGGATGTGCGTAGCTGGGGACCGCACAGCTGGTCGGGGGCGGGGCACCTGGAGTGCCAGGCTATGAGAAGACTGGAGTCTGGGGGCCCCCAGCTTTCTTGTCACCAGTGAGTCCATCTCCCTGGTCCTGGCCGCCCCCTGGGGCGGTTCTCCACACCGAGTGCTCCCGGCTGCCCCACGACCCCCCAGCTGCCCTCCTACGGCCATGCCGCCCCGGGGCTGGGGTAGCAGTGCTCCTCGGAGCCCTTGCTGAGCCTGCACATCCAAGGGCCACAAGGAGCAATAAGCCCCTGCCCAAGACACTTAGAATCTGGAGCTGGGTGGAGAAACATTTTCTGCTAGGCGCCAGAGAGTAAATATTTCATTTCTCTGTGGGCTGTCAGGTCTCTGTAGTAACTTCTCACTCTGCTCTTGTCACACAAAAGCCACGGTGGGCAACGCCGGAACGGATGGGTGTGGCTGCGCTTCAAGACAATTTTATTTGTGAACACTGAAGTTTGAATTTCATCTAATTCAGTATCTTCGTGGATTTTTTTTTTTTAAGCCGTTAAAACATGTAAAATCTCTGCTTAGCTCTCAGGGCCACAAAAAACGGTAGAGGGCCAAATTTAGTTCCTAGGCTAAGTTTGTTGACCCCTGGCACCAATGAGAACATAAAATACATCCATAAAATGGGGAGAGGTGAGGATTTAACAGCAGAGAGTGGTGTTTGGCTCAGATGCTAAGAATCAGGGAACTCCAAAGAAGGAAAGCTGCCCAGGCTGGTGTCTGGGCGGCTCCTGCTTTCTTTGAGGCCCCGCACTTCTCCTTCTTCCCACGAGTGACTTCAGTGGATATGGGACAGGTCTAGAGATGGGACTTCGGGGTCAGCCAGGCTGAGGGCATGGCTTTGGGCAGACCAGAAGCTGTTCCAGAGGAGGGAGGGCCGTGAGCCAAAGTGTGACCCAGGAAGATGACCCCGAGGGATGGTGCCCAGGCAGCGACGGCCAGTCCTTAGAGAGGTGGGGCCTCTACTGGCTGGCGAGGGAGCCCTGTGAGGGGGGCCTTCTCCTCACCCTGGGCCAGTTGGCCTTCAAGTCCCCTTCTCTGGGTTCTGCCGCTGCAGAAATCCTTTGAGGGCCTGGCAAAGCAGACAGAATGTCAGAGCTCGGGTCTCTTCAGCTACTTCCAGGAGGCCGTGCAGCTGTGGGAGGCACATGAGAGCGTGCTGTCAGCGCAGGATCTGGAGCTGGAGAAGAGGATGGAGCAACAGCAGCACAAGCACAGCCTGGAGGAGCAGGTGTGGCTCCGAGTGCCCCAGGGAGCCCCGGCGGGGACAGAAGAGAGGGCCACACCCAGACGGTCGGCTGCTCTGCTTGGTGGCCTATAGCCTCAGCCGGCATTCAGATTAAGAAAAAAAAAATCCCACCATATTTATGGTATCATAAATAAAAATTAACCCCAAACTTATCTGAGACTGAAATGTAAAACCTCCAGCTATAAAACTTACACAGATGGAGAAATCAAGGCTCACCTTGGTCATGGGCTGGATGGGAGTGGAAGAAATATGCCTGCCAGGTCTGGGCTAGTGATGGGTCCTTGGACTCAAATGTGTCTGTAAGAGAGTGTGCATGAGAGACAGACAGACTAGGTGGGGGGGGGGGCGGTGTACAGAGCATCTACCTATGGCAGTCAAACCGTGCCCACAGGAAATGAGCTGGGCCCCCACCCCACCTGCCTTCACACAGTCTAGGGAGTGGAGGGGCACACCCAGCATGTGATTTTAAATACAACTGGTGTCGAGGAGAGCATGGGACAGGCGCCTTGGGAAGGTGTAGCTGGGGCCTGCCCAGGTGGGGTGGGTATAAGGGACATGTCCCTGAGGAGTCCCATCTGAGCTGGGTCTAAAATAGACAGAGAAGAACATTATCGACAGAGAGAAGAGCCCAGGGCATTGAGGGTAAGTGTGGTGGCACATTTGGTGCCCCCTTTTGTAGGAAAAAGTCCTGCATTTGCTCTGAGATTCCTGCCCCTCCGTTCTGGTGGTGGGGTCTCTGCATGTCACTCACAGGCACTCTGCGAGTTTTGAGTTTGGTAACTCACATCTGCTTCCTCCGATTTTGGGTGTGGCTGCCAGGCCCAGGAGGCCCACCTTGATAAGCTCTTGGACCAACTGAGGCAGCAAAGCCACGAGGAAACACTGAAGATTCACCTGGAAAAGGCCAAAGATTTCCTGAAGAATATGAAATACAGGTAGGCAGACCAGATCCCAAAAGACAGAAGGGAATGGCCTGAAATTCATATTCAAGATCAGAGGTTGCCTGCTTAGGAGCCCAGGGTGTGCTCAGCAAGCTCAAGATTAAAATGTTGCCTTTAGCTTTGGAGAATTCCTAGTGGTCCTTTGCAGCTCTGCTCTCAGCCAACACAGAAGCTTTCAGAAGAACTTTGATCTAAAAAGTTTATGGAGGGAGATTTCAAGGCCTTGTAGTTTAAAGGTCAAGAGCATGGGCCCTCCCACTACCTTTTCAGATTTTAAAACATAGGTGCTCTTTGTTAAAGAAAAAAAAAGTTAACTAATCCAAACATGTAGAAATTTCCCCCTCATTCCTGTCCACCTCTTCCTTTTCATGGGCATATACCTTTATTTATGTGGATATAAACACATATACAGTGTTTTTTAAATAAAGGTTGGATTATGCAATGCAATGCAAATAGATCTCTAACTGCAGATAGATGTCCGTTTTCTAATGACCATGCAGAATTCATCAATATGGGTGCTTCATAATGGTCTAACCATCTCCCAGTTGTTTAGCTTTTTAAGATTAGTTCCAATTTCTCAATGTTAAAAACAGTACTCTGTGAACTGTCTTGTATCTTTGTGCCATTGTACAACTAATTTTATAGGGACCATTCATAGAAATGAAATTGCGCTGCCAAATGATTGCAATACTTAGCTTCAGTACTTAGTTTTCAGAAGTGTATCTTGAGGCAATATCTCCTCCCCCTGCCCCCCCCAGGCGTGTCTCCTTACCTGGGAAACAGATAAAGGCCTGATCCCTTGGGCACTGGAGTGTTTGGTGTGATGATGTAGGTAAAGTTCAAGGACAGGGTTAGGACTGTGGACAGGAAATGGGAACCCATGTCCCAACAGAGAACTCTCCTGGTGTGTGTTTTCCAAATGTTCTAGGAAGAGTGTGTATTCCTTGTAGGATCAGAAAAAGAGCAAAACAAACCAAGGATTGCCAGAGTGAAAGGAAACACAGACAGTGGCTCTGTGTGGAGCGAACTGCAGCCCCCAGCCCATCTCCGAGCGGCCTGGGGCGGGGCTCTTGGTCAGGGTCTCCCACACTTGGTGGAGCGGCCCCCGCTTAGACAGTGGTCTCGCCTACTCCCCCTCCCAGGTATGAGTGTTTCCACAAGCTCCTGACAAAGGAGGTGATGGAGTACCCCGTGATCATACTGAAAGAACTGAACTCCTATAGCTCCACCCTCAGCCGACACTTCTACGTTCGCGAGATCTTTGAACAGGTATGGAAAGTGGTGCAAACACCCAGGCACTCCCCGGGAAGCAAAGTGGAAAGGATATCTTCTAGCTCTGATCTGCCTTCACTTTGTAAGCCTTCACGAACCCCTGCTGAGTTAGACTCTGTGAGAACAGCAAGGGGTAAGAAGCTGAAGGCGTTTCTAAAAGAGACCATCTCCTCCTTAGATTAAAAGAGGTTGAAGGGCTCTGAATTCAGGCCTCAGGCTTGTATGGAATTATGATGAAAAGACTATTTTCTAGGACTCTGAGTTCCATTCATCCTCCCCACCACTGCCACATAACCCTCCTAAAATACCGCTCAGACCTGCCCTCTCTCCGGCTCAGAAGTACCCCCCCCCACTGCCCCGCCCAACTCTGCCGCCCCTGCCAAACCCAACTCACAGTCCTAGATGACCACAGAGGCCCCCATGTCTGGTTCCCATCTTGCCCCTGGCCTTCCTCAGCCTACTCCTCTGCTGGCAGCCTTCTGTCTCCACACCTCCCAGAGCCTGCCAGCCTTCCACTGCCAGGGACAAGTGTCCCAGCCACTCACGTTCCTCACCCCCTGTCCACTCTCCTCTCTCTGGGTGTGCTTGTATGTTGGTTGTCGCCAAAGACAGGAGTGCAGAACATCCAGAGTAGGTGTTTCCTGAAGGACAGGTATGTCTCACTAATTTTGATTCAGCTTCACTTACCCTTCACACAGTGTCTTCCATGTGATTCAGACACAGTGAATGCTCCCTGGGTAAATGCACGACTACCTGGAATGTCCTGGTCTGACCCTCCTAGAGTTTGTCTCTTTCCCACACAGCCAGCCAGAGTCCTGCGTGGCCAGACCTGACACTGCTTGCGGTTATCACTGAACCTAGCTGAGGCTTTCTCATGTATATGGGGGTCCCCAGCTCCTCAGAGAATCCCCCCAGAGAGGAGGGATCTCTGTTTCATTGTTGATAAATGCTTCCTCTGGCACCTAGGTTGAGGTGGCACTCAAGCTATAGGAGGGGGAGCTCACCATCTGCACTTTGAGATCATCTGGTTACCTGGGTTCAAGTTGAGGTGCTATTATGATCTCCATGGCACAAGGGAGGACATTGAGCCCCATAGGGCTTAAGGAGTTTGGCCAAGGTCACGCAGCTTGAAAGGAGCTGGGATTCAAATCCAGACCTGCACTCTACAGCCCACACTATTATCCATGGCACAGTATATTCATGACTACATCTAGAGTCTGTGAAATGGAATTCGTAGGCTTAATGAAGGGGCTCCCAGATCACATAAATCATGTTCATTCTGTATGTTCACATTCAGCACTGGGAGCAGCAGATTTCTGCCCCTTTGTCTGCATCCTTCAATTTATACTTTCTTGCTCTTTGCCTTGGATCACTACAAAAATGTGAGAATGAGAGTTTATTTACTCATGCCTATTATGTGATAGAAAGATTTGCTAGCCTGCCTGGGATTAAGGCAAACTGATTCCCTGGTTTGGGAACACTCTGATTACCCCAGGAAAATAAGTAGTCAAGGCCCACATCAGATGCTGAAGGGGAGGGGTGGGTGCTTCTACTTAAATGAGAAGAGATGCCCTTAGACGTGGCACTCCGGAGAAAAGCAGTGCTGCTCACTCAGTGCCCTGTGGTTTTTCTTTGTAGACCTTGGATGGAGAAGTCATTTTCAAACTCAGGGAACCAGGTAACACTATTATAATTCAAGTCTAATCCTCTCTGACTTCACTCTTGTACATTTGTGGGCTGGGTGGGCCCAATCCAGGCTACCTTGGTAACCTGTTTTTCCTTGTGCTTTTGGGGTTGGTCATCAACAGAAGCACACGAAAAGCACTTCCAGGAGAGTATGAGAAAATGGAGAAGCAAGCAGAGGGCTAAAGTGGAAATGAGCAAAAGTGAGGAAGGTGAAAGTAGCGGGACAAGTCCCTCCAGGCCAGCAGAAGACACAGAAGAAGATGACCGAGGATTTGAGTCTTCCTTAACTGAAGAGATGGCAGTGAGCCAGCAGGAACAGTCTGTACTGAGTGACAAGATGGATGAGTCCAGTGAGGAATCTGTTCAGGAATCAGAAAAAATGCAAGTTGAAAGAGACAGCTCCTTAAAATCATCCCTGAACCAGGAAAATGTGATGGTTCAAGAAGAGGAGATGGAGGAGGAGAAAAGGAAGGAGGAGGAAGAGAAGGCAAAGGTGGAGGAGAGGGAGAAGGAGAAGAGGAAGAAGAAAAAGAAGAAGAAGGAGGAGGAGAAAGAGGAGGAGGAGGAGGAAGAACATGAGAGTTTATTTATGGATGAGGTAGGCCAGCAATGGATCCATTCTTGGGTATGGGGAAAGCGTGCTAGGCTCACTCTGCATATCCCTAATACAAGCTGGGGTCCCCAGTGATGCAGTCTCCATTGGGATTTATAAATGTATGCACGTCTTTTATTTTGTCAACAGGAATCCAATTCTTATCTCACAACAGTGCTTTTTAAAATTCACTTTTTTCTCCTAACATCTTATACTGCAACTTACTCTGAAGTCACCCCTTAACTGTATGGCTTTCCTTGTCCTTCCCTGGTCATCTCTTTCCCAGCTCTTCTTTCCTATATAGACCAACCTAGTCTCTCCATTCCCTCTCTCTTCCTATTCTCTTGTGAAGCAGAAAAGACCCATATCCAAGTTGGCAGACAGAGCTCTCCTTGGAGTGCAGGGAATTTACTCTCATATTAATAAATTTGTCCTCAAAACACATTCCAATTCATAGACCAGTAACTTGAATTCCATAATCATGAAATTGCAAGACTATCTTCCTACATTGCTGTAGAAGAATTGGCTTAGGAGACTTGTTTTTGAGCAAGGATCCCAAATTCAAATGCCCACAGCCATGTAATAGAAAAGAGGTCTGGAGACCAACTGTAAAATAGTGACAAGTGGTGAAGACGATTGTCTTAGTCTGTTGGGACTGCTATAACAGAATACCATAGACTGGGCAGCTTATAAACAACAGAAATTTATTTCTCACTGTTCTGGAGACTGGGAAGCCCAAGATCAGGGTGCCGACAGATTTGGTGTGTGGTGAGGTCCCACTTCCTGGTTCGTAGACAGCCATATTCTCACTGTGTCTTCATATGGTCGAAAGAGCCAACTCTTTTATAAGGGCACTAACCCCATTCATGAGGGCTTTTCCCTCCTGACCTAATCACCTCCTAAAAGCCCACCTCCAAATAGCAACACACTGGGGATATGAATTTCGGAGAGCACCTACCATTTAGTCTAAGGCACCTGTGCACTCATTACTCAGCTCCAGTCAATAATGCCATGTGGGAATGGAGACTCAGAATTGCCAGATTTTCTGATTTTTAAGAGAAATCCGAAATCCAAATTCTTTAGAATTTCCTGATTTTGAAAGCACTATGTTGGGCAAAAAATAATTACAGGCACGATTCAGCCCACAGGTTTACAACCTTGATATCAAGGATCCTGTGGTTGGATCCCCAGGTCTGTCTGATGACATCAAGTCTAAAGTCTCCTCTTCTGCATAGGCTGAAGCCCAGGAAGAGAATCTGGGGAAGATCTCCGATGAGGACATGGAGTCCTTCACAACCTCCAGCGGACACACTTATTTTGTCTTCCTAACCCTGGAACAAAAAGAAGAGAATTGCAAGAAGCCCCATTCCAACCTTTCTACCATTCTCATCAATGACATTTCCAGTGCCAACTTCCTAGAACAAGTGATCATTCCATCCAGACTAGTTTTACAAATTAAGAAACAGTGAGTAGAAACCCATTTTATTCTCATTCTCCTGTCCTAAGTTTATTAACAAGGTGAGGTATTATAATAAAAGATTGGACTAGTTTCAGCTTGAAAAAGAAAATATGTAGGCAACTGAGGGTTGAGGTGAGAAACAATGAAAAAAAAATAGTAAATTTCCAGGAATTATTTGTAGTCACAGATATTTTCTGTGAGAGTAACCCGCTCCGCCTGTCCCAGGATGCCTTGCTGGCCTGGGCCTTGTACATAAGAAATAGTGTTTTCCCTGCAAGATTTTAGAACCCCTGGCACATGTGGAATCTTGCGGTTTCCCTTTCTTCCTTCCTTCCCTTTTTTTTTTTTTTAAATAATTATGTAGCTATAGACCCTAGGTATGAGTTTATATCAGCATAGTGTTTGGCTCTGGTTATATGACACATTAATTGCCGAAAATTAGAAAATTGAAAAAAGTACAATGAAGAATATAAAAATGACCCATGATTCTACCACTGAGAATTTATCTCCCCTAAATCCCAAGTTTCTGGGCCCCTGTGTTTGAATTTGGACCCAATGTGGAAATTTGCAGTTGGCTTTAGGATAGCGTTTCCATTGCACTCCTGACTCTACAATGTCATAGCTAGGACTAACCAGCTAGAGATCACCTGATTAGTCTACCTCCTATGTGTAGACATGGGCAGGGAGTAGAAGGAGTTAAGTCAGGCTTTTGGACTCTTCTCTTTCACCTCAGCATCATCTCACCTTGAAAATGTCTCTTTACTTGAAACGCATCCTTTCTCCTTCTCTGTCACAAGCCATTGTCTGTCTTCTCCTTAAAGAAGAAAAGCAAGGACCACCACAAGAGCTAATATTTATTGAGAGAATTTAATACTCTCAATAACTATGAAAGAGGTACTATCATTAGCCTATGTTACAAAGAAACTGAAGCTCAGGGAGTTAGTAATTTGGATAAGATCTCTGAGCTAAGAAGTAGTTGGATCTAGGATATGAATCTAGACCATGTGATTCCAGAGTCTTGAACCAAACACTATGCCATCTGGCCTTGGAATTAACCAGAAAAAGTTCTGTGTCAAACTAATTGGATTTGCATGTTGAAGGATACAGTACTGAAAAGTATGGAAATCATGCATTAATGAATCATCCAAAGGGAACACACCTGGTAACCAGTAGCCCCTCCCCCAAATAGAACATGACCAACTCTCCAGGAGCCCCTTCATGTATTCATCTCTAGGCACTGCCCTCTCTTCCTTAAGGATAGCAAATATTCTAACTTCTTTTGCTTGTTTTTGAACTTTATTTAAATAGAATCATAGAAAATGTACTCTTTTATGTTGGAATTCTTTCATTATATTTGTGAGATTCATATGTATTTTTGAATGTGGTTTCAGCTCATTTTTATTTCTGTGTGGTATTCCATTATAAAAATACATAACCCATTTTCTTTATCCATTCTACTACTGAGGCACGTTTGGAGTGTTTTTTATTGGGGAATGGAACAATGCCACCCTGAACATTCTTCTTCTTTTTTTTTTAAGTTCAATCAGCCAACGTATAGTACGTCATTAGTTTCTGATGTAGTGTTCAATGATTCATAAGTTGCGTGTTACACCCAGTGCTCATCACATCATGTGCCCTCCTTAATACCCATCACTTGGTTACCCCATTCCCCCAACCCCCTTCCCTTCTGCAACCCTCAGTTGTTTCCCAGAGTCTAGAGTCTCCCATGGTTTGTCTCCCTCACTAATTTCTTCCCATTCAGTTTTCCCTCCCTTCCCCTATAGTCCTCTGTGCTATTCCTTATATTCCACATATGAGTGAAACCATATGATAAATGTCTTTCTCTGCTTGACTTATTTCACTTAGCATAATACCCTCCAGTTCCATCCATGTCGATGCAAATGATAGGTATTCATCCTTTCTGATGGCTGAGTAATATTCCATTGTATATATGAACCACATCTTCTTTATCCATTCATCAGATGAAGCACATGTTGGCTCCTTCCAGTTTGGCTATTGTGAATATTGCTGCTATGAACATTGGATGCATGTGCCCCTTCTTTTCACTACATCTGTATCTTTGGGGTAAATACCCAGTAGTGCAATTACTGGGTCATAGGGTAGCTCTATTTTTAATGTCTTGAGGAACCTCTATACTGTTTTCCAGAGTGGCTGTACCAGTTTGCATTCCCACCAACAGTGTAAGAGAGTTCCCCTTTCTCCACATCCTCGCCAACATTGTTGTTCCCTGTCTTGTTAATTTTAGCCATTCTAACTGGTGTAAGGTGGTATTTCATTGTGGTTTTGATTTGTATTTCCCTGATGGCTAGTAATGTGGAGCATTTTTTCATGCGTCTGTTAGCCATTTTTATGTTGTCTTTGGAGAAGGTGTCTGTTCATGTCTTCTGCCCATTTCTTGTCTGGATTATTTGTTTTTTGGGTGTTGAGTTTGATGAGTTCTTTATAGATCTTGGATACCAGCCCTTTATCTGATATGTCATTTGCAAATATCTTCTCCCATTCCATGGGTTAAATATTCTTGTACAAGTCTTTTGGTGAACATATGTCTCCATTTCTGTTAGATATATAACTGAGAGTGGAATTGTTGGGACATAGGGTTATATGTATGTCCCTCTTGAGAAGATACAACCAAAAGATACTACCAAAGAGTTTTCAAAAGTGATTTTGTTTTAACAGTTTCCAACAGTGTGTGAGAGTTCCATTTGTTCCACATCTTCATCAACACTTGGTATTGCCAACAGTTTTTGTTTTAGCCATTCCAGTGTACATGTAGTGGTGTTTCATTGTGGTTTTAATTTGCATTTTCCTGAAGAGTAATGATGTGTACCTTTTCATATACTTGTTGACCATTTGGTTATCTTTTCTGAAATGCCTAGTCAAATCTTTTGCCCATTTTTTCCTGGTGGATTGTCAATCTTTTTTCTTATTAATTTATGTGAGTAAGTTACCTATCCTAGATATGAGGTTTTTGTTAGGTAAATAAGTGGCAAATGTTTATCCCTCTCTGTGCTTGCCTTTTTTTTTTTTTACTCACCTAAAGGCATCTTTTGATGAAAAGAAATTCTTATTTGTAATAAGGTCCTATTCATCAACATTTTTTCATTAGGGTTAGTGTACTTTCTATCTTATCCAAGAAATCTTTGCTTGCCCTAAGGTCGTGAAAGTATCCTCCTATGGTATTTACTACAAATGTTATTGTTTTAAATTTCCGCATATAGATGTAAAATCCACCTGGAATTAATTTTGTTTATGTGTGAGATAGGAGTCAGATTTCTTTCTAAATGGATAACCACTTGACCCCAGAAGACTCTCCTCTCCCCACTGTTCTGCCGCACTTCCTTTCTATTTCTCTGTGTATCTATGCTTGCATTACTGCCTCACCCTGCCTGATTACTGTAGCTTTATAGTAAGTCTTAATAACTGGTAGTGTAAGTTCTCCAACTTTGGCCTTCTCCTCAACTATCCTTGGCCATTTGCATTTCGGCATAAACTTGAGATCAGCTTATCAGTTTCTGGAAGAAGACATCTGCTGAGCTTTTTATTTTTATTTAATTTTTTTAAAAAGATTTACTCATTTATTTTAGACAGTGTGTGTGCACGCAAGGTGGGGAGGGGCAGAGAGAGAGAATTTTCAAGAAGAATCCCCACTGAGCTTAGAGCCTGACGTGGGGTTTGATCTCATGACCCATGAGATTATGACCTGAGCCGAAACCAAGAGTCAGATGCTTAACCAACTGAGCCACCCAGGTGTCCTGATTGCATTGAATCTATAGATAAATTTTATTGAATTGAATCTATTGATAAATTTGGGGGAAAACCAACACTTTAACAATACATAGCCATCTTAACAATTCATAAATTTTGATAAGGAAGAAGTGATGAGTTGGGAAAAATATTTACAGCTCACATCACAATCAAATGACCTCATGTTCCCAATATATAAGGAGTGCCCATATAAAGAAATTGATAAGAAAAACAGCATCTACACAATGGAGAAATGGGCAAAAGATATTAATGGATAGTATGTAGAAAAAGAAATTAAATAGGCTTAAACACATGCCAGTATGCTCAGTTTCGGTCAAACCATGATGAAATTGACAAATTCAAAAGCTTGGCAATCTGCTCTGAGGCTGTGGAGAAATGGGAACTGTTATTGCAGATGGCAGTTCCGGCTGCCTTGCCATGAAAGCAGGTCAGTCATATCTTCAAGAACCACATATGTATTCTAGCCTTTGATTCAACAATTCCAGTTCAGGGAATGTATCCTATAGAAATTTTACACTTGACATTGCAGCCTTTTTTGAAGAACAGATGGTTGGAAACCATCCAGTGTCCTCCAGCAGGAGTCTGGTTAAATTCATGATGGTCCATCCAGACAAAGGAATATAACATAGTTGGGAAATAAAATAAGGAAGAAGTGAAAGGGGGAAGAACTTTCTGTATCGATATGAAAAGCTCTCTCCAGCTGGCAGAGCTGACCCTCACTGGTCTCTCCCTCAGACTTCGAGCTGGCTTTTTCGACCACCTAGAGAAGTGGTTTGACCAATGTGTCCTCAAAACCCGGGTCATGGTGACCACCAAGATCAATGAACTGGAATCAGAATTGGAGCTGCGTCAGCATCTGCATGAGCCAAGAGCCAAGCGCATTGAAAAGGACATCCATAATGTCAGGGCAGGTAGAGACCCACCTGGAGTCTGTGCCACCGCGGTTCTACATTCATTAGGTGCCCCTGTGTGAGGGTTCCACCCCTCAGGCTGGCAGACAAGGCAGTACTCAGAACCCACATTTGAAATTAAAAAAAAATTTTTTTTAAACAGAACTTTAGATACTAGAATGAAGAGTACTGTCCTGTTCTAGCTGTGTGAATACCAGATCTGCTCACACACCTATCGGATACATACCTGCATAGCAGGTGCTCTAGAGGCAAGCTTGTAGCTCAGGAATCAGAGCTATTAGGATCGGCCTCTCTAGCTGTGTGACTCTGGACATGTTACCTGACCTCTCTGATCCCTCCCTTACTTGCAGAAGGGGATATTGTTTGGTGGTAATTAACTCTTTCTGAAAGGGTACAGTGAGGAATCATGAGCAAGTGGTACCCATTAATTTAAGCTCACAATTTATAACTGAAAAAGAGGTGCCATTTCTCTCTTAGGCAGAGGGCTCCATTAGAGGGTGGCATACTTTTAGTTGGATCCTCGATGACCCTGTTGGGTTTTCAGTTGGGTCACACTTCAGACTTTTTCATAGACCCTTTGAGCTCCCAGAGTGACCCCACATGGTCCCAACCAAACTCCTCCTGCCTGGAACAGTGACAGAGTTATGGAATCAGACAGCCTGGCCTGGAGTCCCTGTGCTTGTGGCCTGGGGAGCCCTGCGTGGTTTTGGAACCTCATTGTGTTCATCTGGAAAATGTGTGCATTAAATATAAATATAAATTGAGATGCTCTATGAAGGCTGATTTCCTGCCCCTTCCCTGACTCCCTGCCCCAGTGCACAATGGGGAGATTGAGGTCAGAGAAACAAGGTCCCTGCACTCATTTTTGGCAGAGCTGGGATGACCGCACTTTCACCTGCAGGCAGTAGGAAGACAGGGTGGCTGACCTGGGGCTATTTGCCAGCTCTAAAGGCCTCTGATGGAGCGCTTGAAGCCAAATCCTCGTTCCATTTACTCCACCCTAGAAGTCCTTTGGAATTCAAGCTCCCTGGAAAGAGCAGCCACTGATAGACAGGAACAAACTCTGACCACCTTGCCCAGTGTCTGTGCTGGCTGTTTTCTCCAGACTCTCTCACCACAATCCCCACCTTTCCCAACCCCCTCTACCCAACCCACCTGCTCCTGGGTGTCTTCACATGCAGGGACCCCCCCTGCTCACAGCCTGGACAGCCTCCTCTCCAGTTAGAGACCCTGGGGCAGTCTCAGATTGGCCTCTCTCAGATCTGCACCCATTCCCAAGCCAAGCCCTGGCGAGGGCAGCGGTCGCCATCCAGGAGAGGAACGTCCTGAGGTGACCTGAGATCCCAGAGGGCCTCAGCTCCCCCTTGTCCTTTTTCAGCTGAGCTCTTGCTTCATCAAGAGCGGCTGGACAGCCACTGTGCTGGGGTGACTGAGACGCTAAGGAAGGAGAGGCTGATGTTCTGCCAGTTCCAAGAAGAGCAAAACATAAAGAGCAAAAACTTCCGCCGCAAGATTTACGACATGGAGCACATCTTCTTGAATGCCACAAAGAGCCAGAGGTGAGGTTCCTGGAATCCCAGACACGAGATGTCAGCCTTTGGCTGCTCCATCCTGGTGGATACGAGTCAGTTGTCCAGGCCCCACAGCAACCTTCTCTTTTCAGCTCACCTCTTCACACAAGTCAGAGTCTTAACTGTGTGAACCGTCTGGTGGGGAGCTGGGGGCTGGGTGAACAGCCAGGGAGAGAAAAAAGGTCGCACATGGTCAGGATGCAGGGATGCTACTAACCTGCCCTGAAATGTCCATGTGGGGAAAGCCCACTTCCATCAAGGGGGATCAGGAAGAGCTTCCTGCAGGAGGCCGCCCACTCCCCCCAGCCTGGAATGGAGGAAGGTGAAGAGGAGACAGAATTTTCCCCTCAGGAAGGAGCACTGGCCCAGCTTGAGGTGAGGATGTGCTCACGGCAGAGTGAGGGGTTCCAAGGAGGCCATTCAGGGATTTGAGATGGAGCCCTCATTCAGGTAACAGGTGAGGAGCCCTCACAGGTGTCCGGTACACAAGAGGCTGCTGGTTAGGGTGGACTTAAAGGTAAAGAGGAAACTTGCAGGGTGCTCCTTCGGGAGAGCACCATCCCCAGGAGCCACATTGCTGGGGGTTAGAGAAAGACAGATCACTGCAGGGAGGCTGAAGATCCAGTGGGACCTGGGGATTCCTTTAGTAATTTGGTGGCAAGGGCTAGAGAGAGGAGAGGGATGTCCTCTGCTACAGCACATGGAGAGTTCCACACTGTGTCCTGCACACACTGGCATTTTGAATTTCCTTTTAGCCTCTTTTTCTACCCAGAGGAACATGGCCGTGGTTCTGTGGCTCCACAGCTGCGCACAGCAGTGGAGCTCAGGCAGCCCCGAGGCTGCCCTTCCACACCCGGGTCACCCCCCTGCCCTCCTGTGTCCCACAGGCTGGTTAGTCTCAGCAGCACGCTGCACCGGGAGCTGCTTAGCTATGTTGATGTCATCCAGGTGTCCCTGCGCAGCTTCCGCCAGTACTTGGAGGAGAGCATGGGCAAGCTTCGCTTAACCAACATTGAGTTCATCAAGCACTGCAGGTGAGAGCCTGCATCTGGGGCCCCTGTGGGCACTGGGCGTTCTCTCTTGAGAAGTGGTCTTGTTTTCCTTACTTTTTTATTGTGACAAAATATATGACTAAAACTGTGCATTTTAACCATTTTTCAGGTGGACAGTTAGTTCAGTAGCATTAAGTACATTCACATTGTTGTGCACTATCCCTCTCCAAAATTTTTCATCTTCATAAACTGAAACTCTGAATGCATTAAACACTAACTCCCACTCTCCTCCCCCAGCCCCTGGTAGTCATAATTCCATTTTTTGTCTCTGTGAATTTGACTATCGTAGGTGCCTCATATAAGTGAAATCATACAGTGTTTGTCCTTTTGTGTGTCTGGCTTATTTCACTTAACATAATATCTTCAAGAGTCATCATATAGCATATGTCAGAATGTCATTCCTCCTTAAGGCTGCGTACTACTCCATTGTGTGTAAACACCACATGTTGTTTCTCTGTTCCTCCCTTGAAGGACATTTGGGTTATTTCACTGCTTCTCTCTTTGAATCACCTGTATTCATTTTTCTGTGATCCTATAGTTTCTAAAGCTTTGTCAACCACAGGTTTTGGGATGGGTGGGAAGTTTCAGGTCTGATCAGTGGTTTGTATTTCTCTCAAACTATTTTCAGATTGTTTTCTGAGGGAGGCAACTTTTCTTCTGAAGAAATTGACTTACTGTGTCATCGACTGGAGAAGGAAGCTTCCCGAATAGAGTTTGTTGAAAGTTTAATCATGATCAACATGGAGAAGATGGAGAGTGAATACCTGGACCAGGTCAGGGAGTCCTGCCCCTGACCTCCAGCCAGGCTCCCAGGTCACCCTTGCTCATTGCCTGATGGGTCTGCCAAGCCCCCTTTTTCAAAAAATTGAGCCCGTCCCCCTCTGGTTCCAAAGTCTGTAGGTTCCAAATTAAACCCCCCTCCTTTACTTTTTATATATCTTTACAGGCCAATGATGTCATCAACAAATTTGAAAGCAAATTCCATAATCTGGCTGTGGACCTTATTTTCATAGAGAAAATCCAGCGGTTGCTGACAAATCTGCAAGTGAACATCAAGTGTGAGGTAGGACAGATTCATTCTTCACCTGCATGCTAGACACTGTCCCAAGTGCTGGGGATACGACTGTGGGCTCTGCCCCATGGGACTTGAACTCTAGCCAGGGAGACAGATATTAAATCATAATAGCCTCTAGGATTCATTGCGTTATTATGCACCATATATCCTGCTAACTGACTTATTTTGATCAGCTGTGTTAGTCCTCCGAAGAACTTGTTTTTTCCCCCTATTTTAGAGACAAAGAAACTGAGGCAGAGAGTAATTAAGTGACTTAGACAAGAGCACAGAACTCTTGAATGTGAAACCAAAATGTGAACTGAAGTCAATGATCTTAAATAAACAAACTAACTGTACACCTCAAGGAACTAGGAAAAAAAAAAATTAAACCCAAAGTTAGCAGAATGAAGGAAATCACAAAGATCAGATCAGAAATAAATGAAACAGAGACCAGAAAAACAATAGAAAGGATCAGTGAAACTAGAGATGGTTTTCAACAATAAAAAAAATCAACTAACCTTTAGCTAGACTAAGAAAAAAGAGACAAGACTCGAATAAAATCAGAAATGAAAGAGAAGACAGTGCAACTGATACCGCAGAAATACAAGAATCTTAAGACTACTATGACTAACTATATGCCAACAAATTGGATAACCTAGAAGAAATGGAAAAAGTTCTAGAAACAAAGCTACCAAGACTGAATTATGAACAAATAGGAAATCTGAAGAGACCAATAATGAGTAAGGAGATTGAATCAGTAATCAAAAACCTCCCAAAAAAGAAAACTTAGGACCTTATGATTTCATGGGTGAATTCTACCAAACATTTAAAGAAACCTTAGCACCAATTCTTCTCAAACTCTTCCAAAAAAATAGTATAGGAGGGAATACTCCCAAATTCATTTTACAAAGTCAGCATTACCCTGATACCAAAGACAGATAAGAACACGATAAGAAAACTACAGACCAATATCCCTGATGGATATAGATGCAAAAATCCTCAACAAAATATTAGCACACCAAATTCAATAGCACGTTATATATTATGATCAAGTGTCATTTATCTCTGGGTTGCAAGGATGGTTCTATATATACAAATCAATGTGACACCATATTAATAGAATAAAAGATAAAAATCATTTAATCATCACAATAGATGCAAAAAAAAGCATTTGACGATGTACAACATCTTTTCTTGATAAATTTGTTAAATAAATTAGATAAAGGAGGAACATACCTAAGTATAATAAAGGCCATATGTGACAAGCCCACAGCTAGTATCATACTCAACAATGAATGGTTGGAAGTCTTTTATCTAAGATCAGGAACAAGACAAGGGTGCCCCCTTTCACCACACCTATTTAACATAGTACTGGAAATCCTAGCCCGAATGATCAGGCAAGAAAAAGAAAAAGCATTCAAAAGAAAAGGAATAAGTAAGATCATCTCTGTTTACAGAACATATGATCTTATATATAGAAAATCCACCAAGAAACTGTTAGAACTGATCAACAAATTCAGCAAAGTTGTAGGATACAAAATCAATATCAAGAAATCAGTTGTATTTGCATATACTAACAGCAAAACATCTAAAAAAAGAAAGAAAACAATCTCATTCACATTAGCATCAAAAACAATAAAACACTTAGGAATAAATTTAACAAAGGGGATGAAAGTTCTATACACTGAAAACTACATGAGAATCTGATAAAAGAAATTGAAGAAGACAAACAAATGGAAAGATATCCCATGTTAATGGATCAGAAGAATTAATATTGTTAAAATGTCCATACTACCCAAGCCTATCTATAGATTCAGTGCAATCCCTATCAAAATCCCATTGGAATTTTTCACAGGAATAGGAAAATCCATCCTAAAACTTCTCTGGAACTGCAATAGATTATGAATAGCCAAAGCAATCCTGAAAACGAAGAGCAAAGCATCACAATTCCTTATTTCAAACCATACTACAAAGCTATAATAACCAAAATAGTATGGTACAGGTATAAAAATAGACATCTAGACCAATGAAACAAAATCAAAAGCTCAGAAATGAACTCTCACATATACAGTCAACTAATATTTGACAAGGAAGTTAAGAGTACTCAATGGGGGAAAGGATAGTCTCTTGAATAAATGGTGTTGGGAAAACTGCATCACCACATGCAGAAGAATGAAATTGAACCCCTATCTTACACCACACACAAAAATTAACTCAAAATGGATTAAAGTCCTAAACGTAAGACCCCAAACCATAAAACTCTGGAAAGAAAACAGGGGGAAAAACTCTTTGACGTTAATTAGTCTTGGCAATGATTATGTGGATGTGACACCAAAAGCACAAGCAACAAAAGCAAAAATTAACTGGTGGGGCTGCATCACATTGAATAGCTTCTGCACAGCAAAAGAAAGAACAAAATAGGGGTGCCTGGGTGGCTCTTTCGTTCAGCATCTGCCTTCAGCTCAGGTCATGATCCCAGGGTCCTCGGATCGAGCCCCGCATCGGGCTCCCTGCTCGGCAGGAAGCCTGCTTTTCCCTCTCCCACTCCCCCTGTTTGTGTTCCTGCTCTCGCTATCTCTCTCTCTGTCAAATAAATAAGTAAAATCTTAAAAAAAAAAAAAAGAGCAAAATGAAAAGATAACCTATGGAATAGGAGAAAATATTTGCAAATAATATATCTGATAAGAGGTTAATATACAAAATATATAAAGAACTCATATAACTCAATAGCAAAAGAAGCAAACAATATGATTTAAAAATGGGCAGAGGAACTGAATAGACATTTTCCAAAAAAAGACATACAAATGGCCAACAGGTAAGTGAAAAGGTGCTCAAAATCACTCATCATCAGGGAAAGACAAATCACAATGACAATGAGGTATCAACTCACACTTGTTAGAATGGCTGTCATCAAAAAGACAAGAGATAATAACTGATGGCAAGGGTGTGGAGAAAAAAGAACCCTTGTGCAGTGTTTGGGGGAATGCAAACTGGTGAAGCCACTGTGGAAAACAGTATGGAGTTTCCTCAAAAAACTAAAGGTGGAACCACCATCAATCCCATTTTGGGGGGTATATATCCAAAGGAAAGGAAAATATGGTCTTGAAGAGATATCTGCACTCCCATGTTCAATGCAGCCTTATTCACAATAGCTGAGGTGTGGAAACAGATGTGGAAACAGGCAGAGTGTCTGTCAACCAACAAATGGATAAAGAAGGTGTATATATATATACAACAGAACATTATTTGACCATGAAAAGGAAGGAAATCCTACCGTTTGTGATAACATGTATGGACCCTGAGGGCATTATGCATAGTGAAATAAGTCAGAGAGAGAAAGACAAATACCGTACAATCTCACTTTTTTGTGGAATCTAAAAAAGCCAAACTCATAGAAACAGAGAGTAGAATGGTGACTGAGGGGTATGGGAAATGCGGACTGAGGGGTATGGGAAATGCGGAGATGAGGGTCAGTGGGTAAAAACTCAGTTATAAGACAAGTAGGTTCTGGGGATCTAATGTGCAGCATGGTATTATAGTTAATAATACTATGTTGTATACTTGAAATTTGCAAAGAGAGTAGATCTTAAATGTTTTCATCACAAAAAAGAAATGGTAATTATTTGATGTAGTGGAGGTATCAGTAACATTATGGTGATAATTATTTTGCAATATATAAGTGTATCAAATCAACACATTTGTATACCTTAAACTTACATAATGTTATATGTCAATAATATCCCAATAAAGCCAGGAATGACTTTGACTTATTTTTAAGCTTTTTTCTGTATGGAAAGGTTTCATATATATTATATATGTGTACATATATAATGTATAATACATATTTGTATATATGCACAAAGAACAAAACTGCCTCTTGCTACTTATACAATTTTTTAAGCTATAAAATCTTTAAAGATTGTTTCAAAAACACTATTGTGATTGCTTCCCTCTCCTGAATGTGTTGCCATTTTTACTTAGCCATTCCTTTTTGGAGGAAAATTTGGTGGATTTCACTTATTATTATACCAAACACCCTTGCACAGGAAACTCTGATTATGTCCATAGGGTATCTCCCAGAGCTGAAATTACTAGGGCAGAGCATGAATGTTTTAAGGCTCCTCATGTTTTCCAGGTGGCTTATGCAGACAACCCTCACCAGTGGGACAATGTCCTCAACCACTACTGTGGGTTGTTGATTTTATTTTTAAACCTTATCTGTTTGAGAGTAAAAAACAAAACAAAACAAAAAATGCTTTTACATTTGCATTGATCTAGTTTCTGATAACATTGTGCATTCCCCCTCATTTCATTTTTTCAATATTGACTTCATCTCTCAGATAATATATTTTGCTGAACATTTTCCTGATCAAAATAGAAACTAGAGACAAATCATGGAACCTCTGGTTTTTCTAGGTCGCAAAATCCAATTTGCAAACAGATGGATTAAATTCTTCTCTGGAACAGCTCCAAAGGAAAGTAGAAATGTGTCAAAACTCAAAGGGAGATAAAAAAGTAAGTATTCGGTATTTGCTAAGCTATGAATAGTAAAGATGCATTACACAAGAATTATAAACTGGAAGTAAACTTACATCTCTCATCAAGATTTCTCCAGCTCCAGAGGGGCCTCTGAGCCTTCCCACTTAACCCCTGCTTTATTCAGTGGAATTAAGGAAGAAAAGAAAACACAGACACCTCCTCCAGCCCCCAGCCCCTCCCAGGCAGGCTTGTAGAGTCCAGTGAGTGTGGGGCTTCTGTCTGACCTCATTCCCCTTCTGATGTCACCAGGCATCCCTCCCTGTGATTGGAACTCAGCTCTAGATGAAAAATAGAAGTAGGACTCTACCCTCTGAACAACCACTTTTTTGTTTGATTTTTCATTTGCTTGGTTTTTTGATCATTGCACATACACTGGTGTCTTCTGTTTTTTATGTATAAGCTGTGAAGAGTCCAAATGAGAGCAATATAGATCAGCATAGCAGGTCTCTGCATGTTTATGTTGTTTACTTGCTTGGTCTCCCCCATGAGCACACATCTCTGTGTCCTGTTCAACATTCGTCCTGGCCTCCCTGAGCAGTGTTTTCTCAGCAGCTCAATCAGGCACTTGAGAACCAGATGTCTCAGCTGGAGGTTTCTTGAGTGGGATGCTCCTTCCTCAACAAGCTCTGTCTTTTCTCTTCCATTTCAGTGACTGAGTTGAGGTGTTTTTTTTGTCAACACTGAGAGGACATTTAGTTTCTATCTTTATTGCTTTTTCTTGCATAGTAACACATGCTTCTTGAAGAAAGTTCAAACATCCACAAAGCACAGAGTGAATACATGTCCCTCATCTTATTCTCATTTTTTGCAAGGCCCCCAGTGACCTCTGTATTTTCATGCAGTAATTTCAGCACATCCCTGGGGAATACAGGGAAAGTAGGTTAATCTGAAGTGACCCCTTCAACAGACCCTCTAGGGACAGCTCTGCCTCTTCCAGAGCAGAAACATTTGCTCTTCCACATTTCCTCACCTCCCCAACCCCCTCACTGTCCCCTCCTGGTGGTGTAAGGTGTTGGACAGAGTGCCTGGGGCTTGCAGAGCCTCCTGGCCAGGGCAGGGGAATGTGAACTTGGCTGGGCAGACAATTGTGTGTTGATGGAGGAGATTGGTTGGCTATTTCTGCAAAGCAGTGATCAGGAGGCGGGAACAATGGGATTCGTGGTGAAGGCAGTGGGGACCAGGGATGGATGTGGCCGGGGTCACATGCTCCGTGCCACGCGTGAAGAGGGCCTCCTGGCTGCTGTGTGCGGAAAGGCAGGGAAGGAGGGAGGAGGGAGGCAGGGTGTCGTGACTGAGGCAGAGAGAATAGTGGCCTGGACAGGTTGCCAGCAGAGACATCTGATTCCAGAGTTGAGTGGCAGGGGAATGGTTAGGACTCAGAGTGCACTGGAAGTGAAGGAAGCAGAAGAGGCCAAGGCACCTCCTGGCCTGGGTTGTCTACATAGGTCAGTGAACGATTCAGGGGAACAAGTGTGAGGACTGCCAAGTGATGTGTGGGATACACGGTGAAACTGAACATCCTTATAGGTGCTTCCCTGCACACTTCAGGGCATGGGTGGGGGCTTGCTGCTAGAAGGGGATGTGTATCTGACCTTATTAGGTCACCTTCCAGAAAGGCTGTGGTCATTTCACTCCTACACAACCTGGCCATCTCGGGCCAAACATTTCCTTCTAAGAGTGTCAGAGCTAGAAGAGATCCCAGGGAACATTCTGGGTCCCCACCATATAGATGAGGAAACCAAATTGAGCAAATTTAAATCATTTGCCCAGAATGAACCCATAAAACCAGGACTAGAATTCCTGATGCCCCAACATTGAAGGATTTGCTGCCCCAGTGCAACTGCCCAGAAGAGCTGGCCAGCATCTCCCACTCTCTCGGAGCCCTCCCTGAAAGTGAGGGGCCTCCATAGCACCAAGAGGTCTGCAGTTCAGATGGAGGCAACTGGCCGTCCTTCAGCCTACTTCCTGTGGCTTTCTTCCCCTAGATGGTGACCTCGGAAGACCTCCTTGGCTTTGTCCAGACTTGGAAAGAAAAACTGGGCCAGAGGATTCAGTACCTCAATTGCAGGCTGGACACAGTGTCCATGACTCGAGCGGTCTTTACCGTAAGGAACGGACAGTAAAGGAAGGGACTGAGCAATGGGGGAGGGTGGGGGAGCCATCAGGTCTAGGCTCCTAGGAGACCCACAGGGCTCAGCAGAGCCTAAGGGAATAGGAGGCTCCCAGGCTCCTATTGGACACCAAGCCTACTAGGATGCCTTGGAAAGACTATAGGCTATGCAGTGAGATCTGGGTTCAAATCCCAGATAGGCCACTTCCCCGCCTTGGTCTCTTTAGAAGACCCCTCACTTCTCAGGCAACCTTACCTTTCAGCCTCTTCTCCTACCCACACCCATGAGCAACCACTGGCTTCTCCCCACCCCACCCTCACCCCCTTTACTTGCCCACCTATGGTCCCTTTCCCTCTCACTGCCCCTCATGCTCTACTCCCTGAGCTGCAGCCAGACCGAACATTGGAGAAGGTCAGTCTGACTATGTCACTCTTCTGCCTTCAGGGTGAAATCCAGACCCTTGGACTGGGCCTTCACAGCAGCCTCCTCGGTCCGCCCTCCGTGGCCTCTTCCTTTCTCGCCCTCACTCCCACCCCAAAGACATGGCTTACCCCGAGCCTTCTCTCACAGACCCCGGAGTGAGGTCTCCATTGTAAGGCCTGTCTCTCTGGATTGTGTGCCCCAAAAGGGCAGAGCTGTGTCACCCTCACCCCATACTCAGCCTCTCACACCAGGCTTTGAATGCCTGAGGCACTCAACCAACTTCCACGGGGGGAGTGTCATAGACCCAGTGTGGGCATGAGTGGACCCCCCACAAGTTCTGTTCTGGCCACCTTACTGCCACCAGTGCTTCCTTCTACGGGGAGTCTCTTCACCACCAATACGAAGCCTCCATCACACCGCCGGCACTGCACCCTTCCAGATGGAACCCAGGAGTCCAGCTGGGGTCCTGCCCTCTTACAGCCCCCTGCTGAGACGAGACTCGATAAGACAGGAACCAGCCTAACTAAGCACTCACTGGGGGCCACTGCTCCTACCCTTTCTCTAAGATCCAACTTGTGGGGGGTGTTGGCCACTCACTTGTGGACACTTTCATTCACTCCTCCCTTTTGAGAACAGTGCCTGGGCATATCTACAGGCTGGCCTTGTAAGTCCATGACTCTAGAACTTCTTCACAGCACTGGTCCCAGTCTTGACCAAATATTTATTTGTAGAAGCGCATATTAAATGTTTGTCTCTCTGACCAGACTGTACACCCCGTAAAGACAGCGGTCACATGTTACCTCTCTACACTGTGTCCCAGCGCCTTGCTGAATGCAGGTACTCAGGAAACATTTTGAAAGCCAACATGCACACTAAAATGCATGCATGCATGCATGAATGACACTCTGAAGGAGATATGACCATTACCATTTTTTAGAAGGAAAATCGAGGCTCAGAGAATCAGGCAGTTGGCCTCCAGCAGCAGGCCCTGGGAACATGAACCCAGGCCGCCTGCATCCCTGGCACTGAGGCTGGGCCCACCAACTCAGGTCCTTCTCTTGGGCCTGTAGGACAATGTCATGACCAACCTAGAGGTGGAGAGTGACATCATGATGTCTTCAGAAGCCCTTGAAGAGGAGGCCAAGATAGACTTCGTCACCCCCGAGTCCTTCGCCCAGCCGAGCCGCATGGGGAAGCCCATGATTGAAGACCCAGCTGTAGAAGTGGTCAAGAAGATCCTGAAGTGAGTGGCCAGGGGGTGTACAACAGGGCCCTGCCACCATAGTTTATGGCCCTGAGCCTTCAGGGACCATCTGTGGGGTCCCACACATGAGGTTCTCACCCCTGACAGCCTATGACTTTGTATAGGGGCTTTTCTTCTTGAGCCTCAGTTTCCTCCTCTGAAATGGGGCTCATAATAGGACTGATACATATGGTATTGTGGGCTAACTGGGATGAGTGCCTGGCCTGAGCTGTCCTCGTGGTCACGGGGGAAAAGCTCATCTCCTTTCCTTTGGTTTCAGACTTCCCGACGAAAAATGCTCAACCCAGCAGTGTGACAAAGACCGCTCCCAGACAGGTAGGGACACACAGGCCTGTGGGTCTCAGGACACTGGCAGTGGGGGGGCCGGTGTTACCACTTGGCCCATCCTCACCTCGGATTCTCTGTTCTTGTCCTGGGCACTCATCACCCAAAGGCCTGAAGCGACACCAGAACCGGGGGGAACACTTTGTGAGGAAAGCCTTGTCCAGTGCCAGTGCAGCTTCGACAGGAAGGTAGGGAGGCCGGGCTGCCCAGGATCTCCCCTTCCCAGATGCCTTCCCTCACCCCCCAGACATAGGCCAGGGACCACGCTGTTGCTTCACCAGACTGTCCTCAGAATGTACCACCTGTGCTCACAGCTCTGAGACCCCAAGGGACCCACTGAGAGGTTGGTTCTAAAGCTGGCTCTAGTCAGGTCTGTGCACTTTCCTGCTGAGTGATGTGGCTCACACGGGCCTCCCACCTTGAGAACCCATCTGGATGTTCTGTGGCTTTCCATGGTGACAACTGCTGGATCCCAGCCCTTCTCCCATACCCATCATTCTGGTAAAAAAAAGAGGGACATTGGAGATGGCTTCCCTTGCAGGAGGAATCCTAGACCTCTGCATCCTGGCCATGCACTCTGCCCACCATGCTCCCATTGGGGTCATTAGACTCATGGCTCAGTGAGTGTGGGCCCCACTGTCCCCCGACACTGATTTTATAGGAGGCGGGTAACAGAGCCAGTGACTGAACTGACTTCTGGATTCTCTGTGAGCCGTCATTTATATGGTCTAATTCCTGGTTCTGAGGAAGTGGTAATGAGGAAATTCCTGCTTTGCATACCTCTGAGAGGTCCTTTTGAACATGAACGCCATCTGCAACATAGAAATAAACCTAAGACCAACCAAATGAGAAAAGCAAAGCCTATTTATTCGGAGCGTGGTACAGCAAGGGGGTCAGCCATCATCACTTAGGTTTTAGCAGAGACTCAAAGTCAGGCAAGGGAGTGAAGAGGCTGTATGGTGGAGAAGGGGAGGGCTTTAGGTGTGCCTTTATGGAGGCTGTTGACATGGGGAAGCTGGAGGCAGACCAGCTAGCAGCAGGCATTCCATGTCATCACTTAGGGCTGCGTATTTGGCTTTCTCTGGTTGGTCCTAAGTTGGAAGCAGGGATAAAATTTAGGGAAGCTGTCAGTTAGTAATCAAGTCCTAGCCTTTTGGAGCTGGAGTTATTGTTACAGGAGTTATTGTTTAGCATTTTGAATTGCTGCAAGAGGTAACAATATGGCTTCCTGCAAGTCTGACCTGTATCAGGTTGGCTTCCTGAGTTGTTTACGGTAGTAGACGAGGGGTTGGTTTCCTGGGCAGGTTGCTGCAGGGTCTGGGTCAGAGTTCTGTATTTATGTAGAGTCCAGCTATTGTCCATTTGTATAGTCAGTCTCTCAGTGGTTACAAAATGTAGTCCATGTTGCTTAGGGTTGTCTGATGTTGCATGGGACATACTTACACTAAACATTATTCACTGCTTTGATGAAATTCAAGTTTAACTGGGCATAGTGTCCTTTTACTTGAAAAGCATCTCAACCTGTTTTTCTCTGGGTCCTCACCATAAGGAAGCAAGGATGCACAGTTTCTGGCCCTTCCCTCCCTCTCAGGGTCCTGGGGTGGGTTTTAGCGATAAGGACTTCACCCCCACAATAAGGTTGTCTCCATAGCAGATGGGGAGTAGGGAAGTGTCTTGAAGGATTCCGCCCCAGACACGGGAGTCACGGTGTCCCACAGGCGGGCCTGGAGGCTCCAGCCACAGAAGAGCTGTGCGCCTACCCCAGCCTCCAGAGCGCTGACTTACCTGTGTCTCACAGCATCACACGATACTCCAAGCCCAACCGAATGGACAGAAAGTACCAGGTGCTCGGGGAGAAGCCACCGCCTCCAGCTGAGTAAGTGGTACCTTATCCTTTAACTCTATTTTAACCCATTGTCTCAGTCAGTGGGTGGCTAAACCAGACACAGCTGGGGGGAAAATAAGGAGAGGTGGGTGAAGGGAATAGGTAAGGGTCAAGGTCAATGTGTCTCATCCCAGTTCACCTAAATTCATTGCAAGTCATTTTCACCAAAATTTCTCATTTTCCAAGCTAAGCTTTTTGGGGTAGTCAGGCAGCATACCCCTTTTAGGTTTGGGGTTTTTTTGTGGGTGTTGGTTTTTTTTTTTCAATTTTTAAATGCTTCACCTCCCCCATTCCGCTTTCCCTTTATTTTAATTTCATTGATTAAAACAAACTCTGTTCCACTTAATATGGCTACATTTCAAGCAAACAAGCAAGATTTCAACTTCAGAAAATTGGGGGCCCTCAGAGAAAGTAAAAGTCTACAATGGATGCACACACACACACATCCTTAATCAGGGAACTCACCATCACAGCACCCCTACTTATCAGTCTTTTTTGCCCCACTGGTCTTATCTCTGGGGTTTTGTGAACTTTGCAAAAAAAGTGTGGCTTTGGCTTCAGGTGGCCTAGAAGTTGGGTCTAAGTCAGCAGCTAGATGCTCCCTTGTCCCCCCCACGAAAAGACATTCCTTATCATTAAAACCTTGACTGTCTCTTTCATTTTGTATAGTTCTGTCATTTTATCACATGTGTATATTCACATAACCATCACCCTAATCAAGAAACAGAACTGTGCCATCACACCTACCGTTCAGTCACTCATGCTATCCTTTCATAGCCATACCTACCCGCCTCCCTCACCAGCCCTAACCCTGAGCAGCCACTAATCCATTTTCTATGCCTATCATTTTGTCACTTCAAGAATTTCATATAAATGGTCTTATACAGTGTATGACCTTTTCAGAATGGCTTTTTGCACTCAACATAATGCCCTTGAGATCCACCCCAGTTGTTGCACGTATCAATAGTTCATCCCTTTGTATTGCTAAATAGTTAGCCACCGTACGGATGCCCTATGGTATTTTTGTGGTGAAAAAAAAATCACAGGCTAAACAGAAAAAATAATGAATAGATCAAGCATTTATGAAATCTCTCAAAGGGGAGAGACTTTCCTGGCCTAGCTCAGTGGTGAATTGGTCAGAAAATGGAATCAGACTGATGATGTTTTGCCCCCCACAATGGGACTCTGGCTAAGTGACTTCTCCTCAAGCCTTCATCTTCTCTGTGCACTGTGGGTAGAAGAGGATCCTCTTCTTGGAGCTGTGGGGAGGAGCCAGCAAGTCACCCACAGGCCTCCCTTGAGTATACAGGATCGTCACCCCAAGAAACACTAGATGAAATCACAAGGAAAAAGATGGAAAATTTTGGCAAATAAATTTTTAAAACCCTCTGAGGTAAACTGCAATTAAAAGTTAGTAACAACCAGCAAAGACACAATAGTGGTAAATAAGGCCAACAAAGCAAAAATTGGCTCCTGTCCCTGCCCACCTTCCCCCAGCAAATTGTTAAGGAACTTTCCAGCACTTAGTAGGATAAGGGGAGAATTGGAAGAGACCACACGCAAGGAGGAAATAAAATTAGGAACAAACATTTGGAGAAAACACGAATTCTCACTAGAATGCAAACAAATGAAAGGGGAAGAAATCCATTGCATATTTTGCCTGAGATTAACCAATATGTAAATAGATTTTAGAGGAAGTTCCCAGTTTACCATGGGAGGGTGCAGATGGTCCCTCCCAGCACTGCCAGTGTGAGGTGTTAAGGGGAAAATTATTCTGATCCTTGTTAAAACAGTGAGGAAGACTTCATGCAGGACCATTGCAATAGGTGTAAAGACTGTTCCAGTAGGGGAGAGATGGGGCTCAACTCAGAATACATTCAGGACAAGAGAAGATTTATAGCTAATGTGCAGAGTGAGGGAGTCAGTGGATGGAAAATTCAAGGGTAGTGAGATTCTTGCTAAACCTACTTAGCAGGATTTTTGCTGCAGGCAGGCCATGGTGATCGGATAGTGAAGGTGATCCGACATGACGGTGGAAGGTTGTGTCTAAACTGAATTAACAGTATCTTGCTCACATAGGACCCAGCAGGCCAAAGACCGTGCCCAAGGGTAAGGCCCAGTCAAGAAGTAGGCTCAGAAGAGGCTCTCTAAAGTTTGGTCAAACAGAGAGTCATGGTCAGTCCCTCCTCTTATTCAAGGAAAGAAGAGACATTCTTCTTTCCTTTGACCAGTATAAGTTCATTTCTTGTTCAGTCAGCTTTTGTTCCTTGAAGACCAGCTGAACCATCTGTTGAGACTCAGTAGTAAGGTAGCTGGTCAAGCTCTCTAGATGTTGGGCCTGAAGCATCCTAAGTGGCCCACACAGGAGCAGCTCCAGGCATTACGGTGGCCCCTCGTCTAGCATCAGCTTGCTGGACTTCATTAGATTTTGGAGGGAAAGCCAGCTATAAGCAACAGAAAGTCCCAATAAGGATCCAGGCAGCCAGACTTAGTTCTCAGTAGCTTCAAGTCAGCAGGGTGGGAGAGAATTTGGAAACATTAACTGGAGGAGTTGTAGCCAGATATTGAAGGAAACTAGAAGAACTGAGAGTTTGGTAAGGACTGACAAACTGTGCAAGATGGCAAGATCCCAGTCCAGTTTACAGGTAGGTAATGAAATCTCAAAGACAGTGAATAGGACTAGAATCTTCTAACCCGCAAGAGTGCGCTGTAGTTTTCCATTGAGGCATAAAACTTCTATCACCCCTCTTTCTGATGCTTGCCTACAAAACAAGCCTGATCTCTTTAGATTTGACCTGATTCTTTATGTAGGTGCAGTAAGAATGGTAATTGATCGCATAGATCTCTTTAAGTTTGTGTTGCTGGAACTCCTCATAAAGAATTTCAGATTAGACTTTCAAAAGCCCCTTGAGACTAGGAAGCCAGGCCAGAGTTCACCTGCAGTCCCTCTAGATTTAGGTGAAACCCTCTCTTCTTGAGGCCCCCACAGTATCCTAGGCTCCTGGGCTTGCCAGAAAGGGGTCTTCCTTCCTCACCTGTAAGGCTGGGAACCCTGTAAGCCAGGTACAGGCTGCTTTTCCCAAGAGGGCTTTGTAAAAAGCATTGACTCCATGCAGTTGACCTTAGTTCCTTAAAATTGTCTGGTCGTATCTGATTCTGTATGTCCTTCTCCATATGATATTCCAGTCAGAACCTTGCTTATATAGCAGTACTTCCAGTTATGTCCCATTATAAGGAAGATGGATTCTTACTGAACTGTGAATAGTTGTATTGCCATGAAAACAGGTATACTCGATAAGAGTTTTCGAATTCTGAGGTGTATATGAGTGGCTAAAATGCTCAACCTATTTCCAACTAGCCCTTTTTCCTTTTCAGTCTCAGGCATTTGTTTTTAGGGTTCCCCGTTCCCCTGAGAGCCCCGAGAGGGATGGGAGGCCTAGAGTTCAAGGGATTGTGGGAGCTGAGGGTGGGAATGGGAAGAGAAATGTCTTGCAGGGTGGACGGAGGTGGGGCTTTGCAGGGAGGTGTGTCTAAGGGTACCAGGAAATTGACAAGGAGATGGAGGTGGTGAGAGGAGGAAGTCAAGGAGCAGAGGTGAGGGGAAGGCAGAGGGCTTAGATGGGCCAGTCTGGGGAGACGTGAAGTTTCCCAGAGAAGCCAGCGAGGTTCCACATTATGCTTAGTCAAATCATGCCAGTGGTATGAATCACACAGTAGACTGTTTAGGAAGGGATAGTGAAAACATACAAAGGAGTCTGTCTAATGCTGGCCAAAAAGAGTTTTTGTCATGGCCAACAGCAAAAGATCTTTCCAGAAAGCAGTTTGGGAAGGTAGTAAAGGGCATAAAATTATGCCTGTTGTGCACCGCCTTGGGTGTTTCTCACGAGGAAACCATCCTATCAAGAAGAGAGAACTCACACAAAGCTACACCATGCAATACTTTTTATCCTGGTTCAAAATGGGAAAACCTAACATTCCAAAAATAAGAGATTGCAAACCATGGTGCTTCCATACTCAGTGGTGTTACACAGCCATTTAAAAAGATATCTTAATGTGGGGGAACACTTAATAAGTGAACAGAATGTAAAATATACATGAACCTAATTCCAAACTGATTTTAAAAGCAGCAGAAGGAAATATCATAAAATGTTGGCCTTCATTTTTTTCCTTTGCTTTTCACTCTATTTCTAATTTTCTTTAATTATGATGAGTGAATTTTCAAATGAAACATCAAGTGACCGATATGCATATATTTTAGAAATTGGCCAACAACATGTGTGTACAGCAGTCGCTGAATCACTTAACAGAAATTGTGAAAAATTAGGTGTCCCACAACTATGTACAGTTCTGAGACACCTGTCCCTTATTTCACTCCTACTATAGAGAAGGTTGACCTAGCTGGACAGGAATATCCAGTGCATCTGTGCAGATTTGTTTAATAGAGCCCTGATGTGCACACAGTCAGCCTACTGGCCAGAGGTGCCAGAAGGAGGATGTTTGGTCCTACAGGAAGTCTTCTTGCTCATTTGATTAACATTTATAAGAAATTGTTCTTTCTTCTTTCAACCGATCCCGAGGCACTGACATGGGCAGATACTGCAGGGGACTGGTGGTTCCATGATAAGCAAAAATAGATACAACAGTCTGTGTCCAGGTGAACTTTACCATTTTTTTCTGGGAGAGATAGAGGTTAATCAGCCAGTCACACAAGTCAATCCCAAATCCCCCCTGTGGGGAGTGTTGTAGGGCTGAGAACCACTCTGAGAGCATGGGAATAGGATGGTCGAGAATTGCCACCAAGCTGGGATCTGAGGAAGAGCAGTAGCAAATGTGACCAACAGGAAAGTTAGCAGTGTTTTTGGGGGGAGGAATCAGTGTGTGCAAAGGTCCTGGGGCAGGAGCAAGTAGCTACAAGGAGTGATGAGGCCAAGAGAGAATAGACTCTTGGAAGGGGCCAAACACCCAGATTGTCACATAGGAGAGGCATTAAACTAGACAAATAGAAATATCGGATGAGAATACACCTGGGCATCACATGAACTGTCCAATTCTGGCTGGGTCACTGTGCACTCAGAATGTTCTGTCCATTTGGTCTTGTCCACACCATTTCGTGTGATTAGATAAGGCCCCTCAGAGATCTGTCTTTTGTGTATTGCAGGGATTTTAAAGGGATCATCCTGACCCTCCTCTGGGAGAGCAATGAGCATCTGTTGAATGTTGTAGAGGTAAGGGCCGCTAGCCACAGTCCTCCGCCTGTCCCTTGACCGGCTGCTGGCCCCACATCGGCCCTTGCCTCTGCCTCTTCTGTTCTGCTGATAATGGCCTTATGGGTAAAATTGAGGAAAGGGGATTCCAGCTCCCACGGCCATGGCTACCCAGCTTCTGTCACCTCATGGGGTGTTTTCCTAAAAATTAAACCTCATTCATTCATATATCCATTTATCCACACATTTCTTGGACACTGTGGGTCAGATACTGGGTGGGCCAAGAGCAACAAGCCCAGTCTCTGTCCCTGGGAGGCCAGCGTCCTGCAGACGGGTGACAGACATGGTGGCCTCATAGGGAGCTGGGTGAGGCTGCTGGAGCAGGCACCTGGGGGGCCTCCAATGGGAGCTACCCAGTGCCCAGTTCCAGCACACCCCACACAGGGCTGTCTGTGCATGTTCCTGTCAGCCTCCCACTGGGCTGCAAATCTTTCAGAACAGGGGCTCTAAATCTTCCATATTTGTGGCCCTTGGCCTAGTATCCGACTTGGCACTTCATAGAAAGCATCATAGAAAGTTCTCAACCCAGTCATTGAAATAAGATTCCATTTGGGTCTTGAAGGACCAATAGAGTTTTGCCATTCAGTCATGAATGCCTTGTGATGGGGATAATGAGAGTGGTGAAAAGGGCAGTTGGGTAGGAAGAATGTGGTTGGCAGAGGTGCCATCAGGAGAAAGGGCTAGGCAACGTGCAGAACAGGGTGGAGGTTGTAGGAGCATGGTGATGCTCCAGAGCCCCATGGTGATGGTCAGCCTCTCCTGCAGGAGTTCTACCGCAGAGAGAAGCGCTCCATCATCAGGCCTGACTGCACGTACGAAAACTTTGACCAGTGCGCCGAGAACATCTGCAAGAAGATCCTGGACTACCACATGCAGACAGACGAGTACCATAACTCCTGCCTCATAGGTAGGTGCGGGCGGCAGGCGGGCGGGCAGGTCAGGGGCGTGGCACGTGCCACCGACTGAGCAGAGCCTGGAGCTCAAAGCCCAGAGGACGCCTTCCTGACCTGGAGGTCACCAGGGGAGGCACAGGAGCCTCCCTGTGAAAAGCTGACATCTTAGCATGAGGTAAAAGCGTTGATCGGATTTAATTGGGAGAAACAACAATGCTGAAGAAGATCTCTTTTCTTGAGAAATCTGGTGATGTGCATCGCTAAGAATGTTTTGTTCATTGCCCAGATGATTTTGAGAGCTTTATTGAGACACTCACATGCCATACTATTCGCCCATGTAAAATGTACAATTCAGTGGATTTTAGCATACTCACAGACCTGGGCAATAATCACCACTGTCAGGTGTGGAACCCCTGTCCCTCTGTCACTGCCCCAGCCCTCAGCACCACTCAGCTACTTTCTCCCTCTCTAGATTTTCCTATTCCGGGCTTGCATATGAATGGAACCATGTACCATGTCGTCTTTTGTGACTGGCTTCTTTCATTTTGCATAATGTTTTCACGGCTCATCCACGCTGTATCAGGTGGCACCTATTTTATTCCTCTTTATGGCCGGTTCTCATTCCACTGTGTGCACGTACCACAGTTTGTCTATCCATTCATTTGGTGGTTTCCACCTTTGGCTGCTGTGAATAATGCTGCTACACACATTCACACACGAGTTTTGTTGTGGGTGTACATTTTCATTTCTCTTGGATGTATATAACTAGGAGTGGAATCGCTGGGTCATGTGGTAACTCTGTATTTGACCGTTTGAAGAAAACTTTCCATGGGTATTTGTTAAGTGCCTACTGTATGCCTGGCCTGTGCTGGGCTCTGATGACCCCGACAGAACAGCCTCCTGGAAAGTAGGGACACGAAAACAGGCAGGTAGGATACGTCATGCCATTCACATTTATTGTAATGACCTTAAAGAAGCTGTGAAAACACACCCAGCTCCCACCTTTGCCCATCTCTCCACATTCCTCCGCATCTTTGTTTATAGCCATGCGTGTTGTATGCAGTTGTAAGTCCTAATTATTCCTGCTTCTAAGGCAGGACACCTGAGGGCCCATCACCGTCCTGCCTGTTGGTTGAGGGGCAGCATGGGTAGAAGAGAGAGAGGATCAGGGGACACCCAGACCTAGGGTCAAGACCCAGCACTGCCATCTCCCCGCCTTATGACCTTGACCAAGTCACCTCATTTCTGTGAGCCTCAGTTTCCTTGTGTGTACACTGGAGATTAAGACAACACTCACCATATAAGGCTTTTCTGAGGATTAAGCCAGTCACAGAGACCTGCCACATCCAGGGAAAATCACCCACAGTGGGTCTCACTGCGACTGTGGGTCTTACAGTAGAGCAACTGGACATCAAACTGTTTCTCTAGCTCAGAATTTCCCCACAAGAACTCTGGGATCCCATCCTCTATGACCTTCCTCAAAAGAAATGTTCTGTGGTCAAATGGGTTTGGGAAATGCTGCAGATTATGTTCTTCTCTGTAAGAGTCACAGTTCCCATGACATGGAGACTTCCATTTCCTACAGCGTGGGAGTCCAGTATCCTGACCAACCTTCCCACTGAAAACATTTAAAAGTATCAGATATAATATTTTTGTGATAAAGTCTTTTAAATGTATTGATGAGCTAGCTGTAAAGTAAGAAACACACAAAGCCCCCAAATTGGGTGAAAATGGGAACTCCAAGAGAGAAACTGAACAGTAGTAACACATTGCCCGAAGGCCTTTGCTGACTCCCAGGTAAGCCTTTGTTTTCATGGCCTCCAGGGCCTTGGGAACAGGAGACAAAGCCCCAGACCACCCAAGGTAGAAAGTCTGGAAGGACACAGCCACAGAAAACTGGGACCCCGCAGGGCTCCAGCTGCAGAGTAGGACGAATGAGACAGAAACCAGGTCCCCCTTCCCGCTCCTGCACCACTACCACCACCAGCAACTAGAAGGAAATGGTCTTATTAAAAACCCTGCTAATAGGTAAAGCGGAAGGAAAACTCCAATAAGAATCCATAACTATTGGGACATCTGGGTGGCTCAGTTGGTTAAACAGCTGCCTCTGGCTCAGGTCGTGATCCCAGGGTCCTGGGATTGAGTCCCGGGTCAGACTCCCTGCTTAGCAGGGAGTCTGCTTCTCCCTCTCCCTCTGTTCCTCCCCCTGCTTGTGCACTCTCTCTCTCTGACAAATAAATACATAAAACTTATCTTAAAAAAATAAGAGTCCATAACTATAAAATAGGCTTTGTGCTTGAATTTGACTTTGTTTTTGTGGATCATCCAAAAGACTTCCAGCTGATAATTTAGCCTCAAATGATCTTGAGTTAATGGTGCCCAGATGCTTATCGATAGAGACACTACAAATCCTCTCTACAAAAAACCCGCCTTCAGTTCAGACCTCTAAGGATTCTCACAAATCAAATGCCCAGAATAAAAGCTCACAGTAAAAAACGGACAAACAACACACACACACACACACACAAACACAAGGGAAATGGGCCCCTTAAGCGTGAGGCAGCAGAATGAGATCAGTAAAGACTTTGGATATTGAACATATCAGACACAGAATATAAAATCATGTATTTATTAGAATTAATTAGAAAAGGATACTGGAAACATGAGTAAGGAGTGAGAGGTTATTAAAATGACCAAGTAGATAGGAAAGAGAACCACATAGAACTTCTAAATTGGAAAAATAAATAGTTGAAGATTTAAAATTATGAATGGCTTTACTATCAAGAAAATATCCAAAATACAAAGCAGAAAAACAAAGCGATGACAATCTGGGAGAGAGGTAAAGGGATATGGATGAGAAGGTAAGTCTAACATAGAGCTACTTAGGGGTCCGGAGGGACAGAAGGGGATTAGAGTCAAGGCAGTCTTTGAAGGGATAACGGATGAGACAGACTCAGACTCACTGCACTTTTCATGAGCTGGGAAGTCCTGCAGAGTGTTGAAGAGAAGTCTTTTGAATTTGCTTAATCCAGTATTTTCTATACTGCTGTGACTGCCTGTCCCCTTCTGATGAGATAGCTATTGCCACGTTGTAGACCAGGTCTTTCTCTTTGGGACACTACTTTGGGACTTTTTGGGAGCAATCACTTCAGCACCTTGGCTTTGTTCTGTCCCCTCCCCTGGTTCCCCCACCTCCAATTCCTATAGAATTACGGGCCCAGATGAGGAGATTTGAGGAGCTGCTGCCCCAGGTGTGCTGGCTGGTGATGGAGAACTTCAAAGACAACCACTGGAAAAGATTCTGCGCCTCTGCCGAAGAGATCCGGGGACAGTTCTGGAATTACCAGGAGAAGCTGGGGAAAAGGAAGGTGGGGGCCCCAAGACCAGCCCTTCCTCTCCAGGACCAAGGGCCCTGGGAGCTCAGAAATGGAGGCAGGGCATAGGCAGAACTGGCCAGGCTGGGACTGTTGGATAGGGTCTGAGGGGCATGGGGCACTGGAGAAATACCTTCTTCATAGAAGGTGTTCAATAAACTTCTTTTTGGATTTACTTGGTGGGTTTGCTGTTTCTGTGGGAGTGTGGTCATTGACATCAACAATGATGGTCTACCTGGTCCTTGGAGGCATGGGACATGGATGCCATCGATTTTATTGGACTAAGGCCCTGGTTGTGCTGAGGCAGCTGCTTGGCTCTCCCATTCCCTAGCTCTCAGCGTCAGCTCCAGCCATGCCCCTATCTTGTCTTCTCTGCCTCTCCTCTGCCCATCCATGGCCCTTCACACACCTGGGTCAGAGCACACATCATTCTGGCCATGGCCTTTATTAGCAGAGGACGTGGGCCAATTGCATTTTGGTCCTGACCTAGAGACCAGGTCAAAACCCCCACTGATTTCTGGATTGTTTGATTGAAGGATGAAAATGCCCAGAAGCTCCATCCAAATCTCGGACATCCCTCACATTTCCAAGAAATGGAGTCTCTGTGTCAAGTGGAAGAGAAAAGGCAGGGCGATTTAGACACTATGATTGTGGCAACCAAAGAGAAGCTCGAGGTCAGTGGTGCCATGGACTCCCAGGTCTGGGTGCTGAGGGCTGCAGTGCCCCCAGAGAGACCTCTCCTTTCCCCCCAACCCCCAACTGACAGTCCAGCAACAGTGCTGAGCATGGCCCCTACCTGGCACCCTGGCCAAAGGGGGGCATGAAAGTCGGCAGGTGTTATAGGGTTGGTTCATCATTATTGGCTGGTTTAATGTGCATCTTTTGATTTCTAAATGAATTAACTCTAGAATTACTAATGAGAACTTCTTTTTTCGAGATCCATGTCTGTTTATTTCTCTTTAGTGAATTGTTTGTGGGCATCCCTTTGCCACTTCTGAATCATTTCCTATCTTCAAGCCCAGTCAGCTCTTGGGAGAGGCCTCTTGGCTGAGGACCAGATGCCACTTACTTTGGACATACATAGCCGACACATGACTTTGGTCTCATCTCACCTGCTAGCTCCCCAAGTCCTCCCTCAGCCTGCCTTTGGAGGCAGACTCCTCTCCCTGCAACACCAGGCTGCCCATGTTTCCCCCAGGAATTCACCAGGAAGTACGGCCGGTTTTTCATAGCCAGCTTGGCCACCTTCACTGAGAAGTTCCTGCTGCAGTTGGATGAAGTGGTCACCATCGACGATGTCCAGGTTGCAAGTAAGTCATACCACCAGCCTTCTGCCTGGGCCCCAGGGGGTCGGTGAGGTGGAGGGTGATGGGCCAGGGGCATCTGCTTTTCCCCCAGTTCCACCAGAATGAAAACAGATTCTCCACTGACAGGACTGATGGATTTTTGTTTTCATTAAAAATAAGGTGTTTTTTTTTTTTAATTAAAAAAGCAAATCCCCAAATGGGTCAAAAATTATATGTAAAAAAATAAAACCCTAATAGTAAATATTTTAATAATCTTGGTAAAGGTAGCTTTCCTAAGTATGAGATGAAAGCCAGAAGCCATTAAGGAAATGGCTGACACTCCTCTGTGGCCAAAATAAAAACAAAGAAAAATGTCGAAAAATTGAAAGACAAACCACAAACTGGACAGATATTCCTAACAAGCTACTATATAAAGATGTGAATCATATATTAAATGTTATCAATTTATCACTAACTTAGTGAGTAATTAAAATATTTTTATTTTAAAAAGCTTTTATTACAAGGACACTACATTTTTTATAGTAAGATTAAAAACTCAATATCCGTTACAAAGGAAGTAAAGAACACAGTCTTTCCACCCAGAATAGAGTGCCCTTACTATTTGCTGTTCATCCTTCCAGTCCTTTCCTTTTGGGCACAGGCCTAAGTATGTGTGTGTGTATGTGTGGGGGGATGTTATAGGGTGTGTACTCTTTTGTAACTTAATTCACCCTCAGGTGAATGTTGGCCAAGATGGTCAGTCATCTTCTTCAGCATTTTCTCTTGCTGTATGTCATACTTTATTAATTAGTCTCCTGCTGTTGAACGTTGGGCCATTTCCAGTTTTTCACTCCTGTGCTTGTGCTGAAGGGAGCATCTGCATCCTTATATCTCTATTCTGGGGCGATAAGTTCCTAGAAGTGGACTTTTTGGGTCAACATGTATATGAATGTTGAGGCACTGGTTATTTTCCCATACTGGAGGTCTCTCTCGCCAGTGCAAGCCTTGTTTGGGAAGCGGGGCTAGAGATTAGGGAGAATGGGCAGAGCAGCCAGCAGGGAAGGTACTCTTGGTACCTTGGAAGGAAATGTGGAGCTGGGGAGACCCGCTGTATCAGCCCCAGGGAGGCCTTTCCTGCCGGAGCTAAGTGGCCTGGCCCTGCCCTCCCTGGCAGATCAGGGCTGCCCTTCCCTTCTGGCTTTCACTCCACAGGAAAGCACATCAAAGGACAGGTCAGCGAGCCAGACATCAGAGGGACTTTGAATGTGTTTGCCTTAGGGGTAGTTCTTCATTTAGAACCCATTTGAGCTAGTATAAACCAAAGGTTATCTGGAGGCTCATGGAAGCTGTGTGAAGGTCAGAGCATCATGCCCTGGGCTTTGGAGCTGGGAAGAACACCTAAACCATACCTCCCATCACTCAGCCAGGCCCCCTGCCCACCGCCACTAGCCGCCCCCCCTCCACCCCAGGCCTACAGATCTGGTGCTTTCAGCTTCTCTGTGGGACTGGGTTCCATGTCGCTCTGGAGACTCCCAAGTGGGGAGGAGGGGAGCAAGCCCTCATCCCTCCAAACGTAAGGTCAGGGGGAAATCCCCTCCATCTTAGACTGTGCGTGAGGCCGTGGTCATAACCTGTCTTTTGCCTGTCAGGGATGGAGTCCCCCAAACAGAAAACATCAATCCTCATACGGAGGAAACTCGCTAGGCTTTCCCTGAAGGAAGAAAGTGAGAAGCCCCTGATTGAACGGGGGAGCAGGTAAGAGCCAAGAACATTGAGGAGTGCCATCCATAGCCATGTTTGCTGGAGCACTGGGCAGTGGAATGGTTAGGGGCACCTGGAAGCCTTGGAAAGGCATTATGCTTTTTTTTTTTTTTTAAGATTTTATTTATTTATTTATTTGACAGAAAGACAGTGAGAGAGGGAACAAAAGCAGGGGGAGTGGGAGAGGGAGAAGCAGGCCTCCCACAGGGCAGGGAGCCTGATGCGGGGCTTGATCCCAGGACCCTGGGATCATGACCTGAGCCGAAGGCAGACACTTAATGACTGAGCCACCCAGGTGTCCCGGAAAGGCATTATGTTCTAAGCCTCAGTTTCCTCACCTGTGAAATGGGCATGGCAGCCCACCTTCCATGGTATTATAAAGAGAAAGTTTAACGAGATCTTCCTTAGAGTGCCCCTGGCACATAATAAGAGCTCAGCAGCTATTAGTTCCCTTGCTAAGGACCCACAAGGGGGGGCCTGCATAGAAAGGGAGGCCCATCCCAGTATGGGGCACATTCTCAAGTTGCCAGTGGCGCCGTGAACCACTGCATGTGAGCTGTCAAAGTGCTTGTTCCGTGGACTCCAAGAATGTGGCTCTGGAAGAAGTAAGGCAGTGATTTGCCCAGCCCAGTAGGTAAAATGGGCTGGGAATGGGCGCCTGCCTCCTGGCCAGCCCCCTGCTGAGGAAACAAGCCTGGCAAAGGGAGACAACCAGAGTGTGGCATTCCTCCCCCCCATGCAGAACCCAAGACCGTCTATGCGCATGGATTTAAACAGCGTGAAAGTACAAAAAAGAACTTAAAGAAGCTGAATGTTAAATGCTCAGTAGGGTTTTCCTTTTAATGAAGATATTTCAGACATGATCTTTTTAAAAAAAAAAAAAAAAAAGATCTGTTAAACTCTTCCACCAGGATTGGAAGGTGCGCTGTGAACTATGATGATGACAAGCCTGTCCACCTTTGACATGCATGTTTATTTGTAGGAAGTGGCCAGGAATCAAACCCACCGAAGTCACCATCCAAAATAAGATTCTCCTCCGGAAAACATCATCCATCACCACCAACAAAACGACCCTGGGCCACCTGGCAGCCGTGGAAGCCCGAGATGCCGTCTACCTGGTGAGTGGAGAGACCAGGTGGGGCTGGGCAGACCCCAGTGAGCGCAGGGCAGCTGTTTGGCTGCCTTGGGAAGAAGGGAGCTTCCCCTCACAGGGAACCGCGGGGTTTGGCCCATGAAGCAGATGACCCACGCCAGGGTGCCCCTGAGGATGGTGTCAACACTCAAGACAGTTAATATTCTCAGGCCCAAGGACGAGATCTGCGGGTCATGTCCAGTCCCAGTGAGAGCGTGGGTCTGATGGCATGAACCCCAGTGCTGAGGGACACCCCACCCAGACTGGGGATGAAGGAGGACCTTCCAGAGGAATGGTTGAGTTAGAGTGAGGTGCCAGACTAGTCAGAGGCACAGAGGCCCCGGTAGCAGTAGGTGGCAGTGGGTGGACATGGACAAGACAGGCTGATCCCCATACTGGGAGAGCCCAGGCCCTTCCCTGGCCACCATGCCAAGCTCCAGGGAGAGGGGACCACTCTGCTGAGTTCAGTAAGTGCTCAAGGCCTGGAGGGATCAGCCTTCCAAGGAAGCTGAGAGCCCTTAGCTCCAAGGAGGCCACCACACTGGATGGCAGTTAGGAACGAGTGCAGAGTCCGGAGTCAGGGAGACGGGTCCTAGTCCCTGCTCAGCTTCTTTCTAGCTGGGTGACCCTAGGCAAGGTTTTGAGCCTCAGTTTCCCTATCTATAAAATGAGGGAAACAACTGGACCTGCCTGTTGGGTATTTGGGCAGATTACATGCGGGATGATTTGTGGAGCTCTTGCCAGTGCCTGGAGTAAGTTAAAAGCTACCTGCCAGTGGGTTACAGCATTCTGTTCAGGCCCAGAGTCCAGAAGTCCCTCCTCATCTGGCCTCCCCCTGCTGCTCTGCTCCCAGAAATATCTAGCACTATTTGAAGAGGAGTTGAAGAAGATCCAGGATGACAACGTGGTGCAGGTGAAGGAGGCTCAGAGCTGGAAGGACAGCTGGAAGCGCTCCGTGCATACCATCCAGGGCCTCTACTTTTAACACCCTCACCCCACCCCACATAAAGGCTCATTTTTAATGGACACCCTTCTCTCTCCATCTGTCCATCTGTTCACCCATCCATCCCCGCTCTATACCCAGCACTGTAGCCTCATCAGTGACCAAGACATGATGTGGTCTCTGCCCATGTGGAGATCACTTCCAATGAGGAGCACGGAGGTGAAAAGGGGAGTTCCATGTGGTTAGCAGCGATGGTGGGTCACAGGAGTGGGCCACTTAAAATAAAGACCAGTACTTCAGAGGACATGATTCCAATAGGCACGCTTGGTCCTTCCTCTTGGAAAACGAAATGATTAAAATGTATGGGCATGAATACATTTTACATTTAACAGTGTAAAATAATTGCAACCATGCAACCAACAGAGAATTAGTCCAGTCTTGATTGGACTTTACCTGATTGCAATTTACCTGACCAAATTAGAGCATTTTGAGGAATATCTTCCAGGCCTCCTTAATTTTCCTGTGGGCTTCTTTAATCTTGTGAGACTCAGATCCTTCTCTCTGGGAAGCCTCCATTGTGCCATCTTCCTTGTTGAGTTTATCTTCCTGGATTAGGTGGCCTAACCATGCCAAGTCTCATTGGCCAGTAGCTTTCTGTGGCACTTGGACAGCCTGTGTACCTTCCTTCCTTGACTTCATCAACTCCTGTTTCTTTTACCTGGTTTGCATTTTGATTTTGCATCAGTTTGGGTTTTCCCATGCTTTAACCTCTTTTAATGACTTGATGAGGTAGGATTTTGTCCCTGTTTTACAGGTGTGGAAGCTCAAGTCCAAAAGGCTTAGACAACCTGGACAAGGACTTGGGGACAAGTCATTTGTTTTGGAGGTGATCCCAAGAAGCACGAGTGAGGTCCTGGGGAAGGGGAGCCTGGAGGGATCCTTGGCCTTGCTCCCAGCTCCTTCCACCCCCCACACCAGGCACATCCTGTCCTCCTCGCCTGTCCTCCACCCTGCATCGCCTGTCCCCTGGTCTGCTGCTGACCTGTCTCCCGACCTGTTCTTCTGTAGCCACTGTCCACACTAGGGGCTGTGGGCTCATTATGGTTCCAGGTTCCCACAGAGGTGGACTGCAAAACCCCAGTCCTGTCCCCTCAAAGCTACCCTTGGGACCTTAGGTATTCCCCTATTGAGCAGGTCGTTAGGAAAATGGATGCCCCTGCCCCATGACAGAGCTGCCTCCAACCTCTTTCTAACTCTCCCTCTTGTAAGTTCCCCTGTGTCTGCTCTTTCTTGACCACACCTCCATGGTCCCCACCTGAGAAGTCAATGTGAGTGAGTGTGTCTGTGCACATGTGAGGATGTGGAGAAGAAAATGACCCTATATGGAAAGGGGATAGACAGGGGTCCCCCTAGGATCTTAGAGGCTCTTAACATCAAGGAAACCCCTTCGGGAGGTGTTGAGCCCTGGCCTAAAGCTCTTCCTTTTCCTTTAGACTCTGCCCACCTCCTGAGCCCCAGACCAGTCCCTGACTCACCCTAGGCCTCAGTTTCCTAATTGTGCAATGAGAGGCCGGATACAGAGGCACATACGTGGATGCTCAGTGAGGTCAGGCTCCATCAAAGCAGGTTGGGGTGTGAAGGTGGAGTAGCATGGGTACAGAAAGGAGCCCAGTACACGGCAGCCAGGCTTTGTGTCCATAGCCAGGCGCACACAAGGGCCCTGGGGAAGACCTGAGAAGAGTGCTTACGCGCGAGCCTTCAAATTGATGTGTACCCCTGGGCATTGCAACAGCGGATCCACACGTGAGGTTGGTCTCCTTCAGCCAGCTCTGTGCACCCCACAGCTGCTGGGGCCTGGGTCATGTGTTCTCCACTGGACGCAGGGAGGGGTGTCAGCCTCACTTAACCAGGACGGAGGGTGGGGAAGGGGCAGTTCCCCAAAGAAATACTGATGTACTGTTCCCAACAGAAGAGGACATGGGGGTCAGCCAGGCAAAAGCACCCCAAGTCTCAGAATCACGCAAGCTGCCTCCGACCTGTCTCTGCCACGACAAGGGGCTGTCCCCAGAGAAGGGACCTGGCTTGTCCAAGATCACACAGTGATTCAGTGGCAAAGCTCATATTTTGGTTAGGTTTGGATTTGCCTATATATAGTAGAAACCCCAAAATAATGTGGCATAAACAAGAAAGAGATTTATGTCCTTCTCATATAAAAGAACTCTTTTTCTGTTGTGGGACAACTCCAGTGACCCCCCACCCCTGGCAAATGGACAATGGACAATGGCACTGACTTATTTGTAACTTACTGACAATAACCAGAGAACATGGCTTATGTTCAGGGAGATGGGCTGTCCTCGCCAACCTGCCCTTTTCTGTATTCATAAAACTTGCCCACATTCCCTGTGGTGGAGGACATTTGCTAACAAAACAAAAACCAAAACAAGTCTCCCAAGCCCCCCAAAAACTCTAGAGGCAGGCAGTCCTTACTGATCCTGGACTGCTCATCATGGAGGACCCCAGCTCATCTGTCCTTCTCCAGCATCTTAGCATGTGGTTTTCATCATCAAGTCTGTCCCTGGTCCAGGGTGGCTGCTGGAGCTCCAGCCTGGACCAGCCACCCCATCTGCACTTGAGACAGCAGGCAAGAGGAAGGAGCAGGGCAAAAGAAGCCCTCCCAGCTGTGTCTGTGCTACCTGGCCAGCCTCCTCCAAGTCCCACACCACACTCTGATCATATGTCATTGGCCTGGACTTCGTCTGGTCACTCTTAGCTGCCACAGAGGTTACGCACTTTAGTCTTTTCATTTGTTGAATTGCTGCCTAAATTAAAACTGTCTGTTTTTAAGCAAAGGAAGAATGAAAACTGTGGAAACTACCAGTGCTCTTTGCTACCCAGAACTCCAAGATGAAGAGGAGGAGAGGGGGTTATTTTCAAGTGCGTAGGGCATCCGCAGCCTCTCCTTCCTTGATGTTCACTTGTTCACAGAGAGAACAGAGTCTTGGTTCTAAACCAGTGTGTGAGAGGGACCTCTGCTTTGGGCTTCCAGCAGAATGATGGGAACCACTGTGTTGGCGTTCATCTGCTTGTCCCTTACAAGTAGATCTGAAAAAAACCTTTTCTATTTCATAAATGGGGTGGGTAGAGGTGGGGTGGTAAAGACTTTTAAGCAAGAAACATGTACCTAAAAAGCTGAGTCAAAATATATCTCTGTAAATCAAAGAATAGAATCTGTTGACCCCACCATGTTTGACCCTCATGGTGAATATACTAGTAAAAATAATACACACAGAATAAAACTAATAGTGGTTTAAAACTCCTCATGGTGAAGATTATCACTGACTAAAAATTAATGGAAGAAAAAATATATTTGAAAAACATTTTGATATGCGTAATTTCACCCCAGAAAAATGACTTGGTAAAAATAATAATCCCTAAAATTTATAATAGCAGAATCTATAGTCAGTAAATTATGATCTGGGCCAAAAACCAATATACATAAAAAAAAATAATGGATCCTGATATAAATAGTTGCAGTGAAGTAATGATAAAAGTAGATAAAGCTACAATTGACTTTCTGTACTATATGTTTTTTCTCAAATGTTGTCTCACTTTTTAATATTTAATAGACCTCATATTTTAGAGCAGTTTTAGGTTTATTGAAAAATTGAGCAAGTAGCACCAAATACTGTATATCTCACCCCCTTCTCCCACAGTTTACTCTATTTTTAACATCTTTGTTAAAGACTATGTGATAGTGTGGTTCATTTGTTAAAGTTTATGGACCGATACTGGTACATTATTAACAACTAAAGTCCATAGTTTACAGTAGGTCTCACTTTTTCTGTTATACAATTTATGAGTATTGACAAATGCAGAGTGCCATGTATCCACCATTATAGTATCATGCAGAATAGTTGTACAAGGCTCAGATCCCATGTTCCACCTCTTCTTTTCCTCTCTTCCTCCCCCAAACACTGACAACTACTGATCTTTTTGCCCTCTCTATAGTTTTGCCCTTTCCAAAATGTCAAAGAGTTGGAATCAAAAATATGTAGCCTTTTCAGACTGGCTTCTTTCATTTAGCAATATGTATTTAGAGTTCCTCCATATCTTTTTGCGGCTGGATAGCACATTTCTTTATATTGCTGAATAATACCATCATCTGGATGTACCACAGTTTATCCATTTACCTATTGAAGGACCTCTCAGTTGCTTCCAGTTTGGGGCAGTTATTAGTAATTGTTAAATATTTGTGTGCAGGTTTTTGTGTAGACATGTTTTCAGCTCTTGCTGGGTAAGTATCTAGGAGCGTGATTGCTGGATCATATGGTAGGACTATGTTTAGTTTTTTAAGAAACTGCCAAATTGTCTTCCCAAGTGGTTGCACTATTTTGCATTCCCTCCAGGAATGTTGTTCCACACCATTGTCAGCATTTGATATGATCGGGGTGTTTTGCATTTAGCCCTTCTAATGGGTGGTAGTATCTCATTGTGGCTTTTATTTGCAGCTCCCTAATGATATATGATGTTGAACATCTTTCCATATGCTTATTGCCATCTGCTTAAATTCTTTGATGAGATATCTGTTCAGATCTATTGCCCATACTTTTTTTTATTGCCCATTTTTTTTAATGGTTTGTTTGAGGTATTTTTTCTTGAGTTAATGAGTTTGTTTGTTTCTGAGATTTTGTTTACAAGTTGAGATATTGTTGAGTTTTAGAAGTTCCTTGTGTATTTTGGACATGCTTATTTGCCATCTTTATATCTTCTTTGCTGAGGTGTCTGTTCAGATCTTTTGCCCATTTTTAAATTAGATAATTGTTTGTTTTCTTCCTGTTGAGTTTGAAAAGTTCTTTATGCATTTTGGATATCAGTCCTTTATCAGATAATGTGTCTTATAAATATTTTCTCCTGGTCTGTGGCCTGTCTTTTCATTCTCTTAGCAGTGTCTTTTGCAGAGTAGAAGTTTTAATTTCAATGAAGGTCAGCTTATCAATGTTTTGTTTCATGGATCAAACTTTTGGTATTTTATCTAAAAAGTTATTGACAAATCCAAGGTCACCTGGATTTTCTCCTATGTTATCTTCTAGGAGTTTTATAGTTTTACAATCTACATCAGAACATTCTGAGTTAATTTTTGTGACAGTTCTTTATCAAGGTTCATTTTTTTTTGCATGTGGATGTCCAGTTGTTCCAAAACCATTTGTTGTAAAAACTATCATTTCTCCTTTGAATTGCTTTTCATCCCTTGTTAAAGACCAGTTGACTATATTTGTGTGGGTCTATTTCTGGGTTCTTTTTTGTTTTTAAGGATTTTATTTATTTATTTGACAGAGACACAGCGAGAGAGGGAACACAAGCAGGGGGAGTGGGAGAGGGAGAAGCAGGCTCCCCGTGGAGCAGGGAGCCCGATGCGGGGCTCAATCCCAGGACCCTGGGATCATGACCTGAGCTGAAGGCAGACGCTTAACGACTGAGCCACCCAGGCGCCCCTATTTCTGGGTTCTTTATTCTGTTCCACTAATCTATTTTTTCATCCATACCACACTATTTTTTTTAAAGATTTATTTATTTAATTTAGAGAGAGAGAGTGCATGTGTGAGCAGTGGGGAGGGGAGGAGGGAGAGGGAGAGGGGAAGCAGACTCCCCACTGAGCAGGGAGCCAGATGCAGATGCTTAATCTCAACACCCTGAGATATTGACCTGAGCCGAACTTAGTTGGACACTTAACCAACTGAACCACCCAGACACCCCTTTACCACACTATCTTGATTATTGTACCTTTATTTTATAATAAGTCTTGAAGTCTGGTAATGCCAGTCCTCCAATTTTGTTCTTTTCTTTCAGTACTGTGTTAGCTGTCCTATTTTTTTTTTTAACCTTTCCATGTAAATTGTAGAATCAATTTGTCAATGTCCATAAAATGACTTGCTGGGATTTTGATTGGGATTACATTGTCTCTATAGATCAAGTTGGGAAAAACTGACATCTTGACAATATTGGGTCTTCCTATCCATGAACATGGACTATCTCTCCACTTAGCAATTCTTTGGTCCCTTTCGTTAGAGTTATAGTTTTCCTGTAAAGATCTTATACATATCTCTAAGCATGGCAATGCTTTGTTGTAGTCATCAAGAAGATGCAAAATATGGTTGTATTTATTTAGATAATCATCCAAATGAAAAGGCAAATATTTTACATTCTTATTGAGAACTCTCCAGACCCCCAAGAATAAGTCCAAGGACACAAGTTTACACAACATTGGCCTAGACTCCACTTCTATCTTGTCAGCACCACAGTCCTAAATAGGTTGCTGATGACGTTGCAAACATTGCACATAAGTTATAAAATCAGCTTTCCAGCAACAGGGTTTATGCAACATGTCATAATCCCTAGCCACAAGTCTTGGAATTTCAAACAAAGACCACTTGACCTTCCCAGACAAATTACAAGATCACAATTGAGACTTGGAATCATCCAGAGCAATGTTTTTCTCAACTTTAGCAGTATAGACTCCAAATACCCCAAGGAAAAATTCTGACCAAACAGTTACAAATTCTGCTATTGAGAACATCTGGTCATTATCTGAGTTATAAATACCTTCTAAATGGGTCTTGTTTATTTGCAAGGAAATGACCAACTGGAATTTAGGACTCTGTTCTGGGTACCACTTTCAAGAAATTGGATTAAGTAAAGCTTGCTTAGAGGAGATAAGTGTGACATTTAACCAAGAGAAGACATTAGGAAGGTTGTGACAGCCTTCTCCAAATATCAAACAAGCTCCCCTCTGTAGGGAGGATTCCATTCTTTCTCTTTGGCCAATAGGTAACACTAAAGCTCATGAGTGGACACTCTAGAGAGAGAGTTTTTAGATTAAAATGGCACTTTGACCTCCAGAGCCGCCTGCCCAATAAAGACAGGGCTCATACAAAAGGGGAAGTTCCCCACTGATACAGAAGTGGTCCATGCAGAGGAACAATGTTTTGAAATAGTTCATTAGGGCAGTCTGTCTAGTTGACAGTCATGTTGATGTCAACAAGCATCTGGAGAAGTATCAGGTTACACTCCTCCAGCCTGTTCTCCACTTTGCCATCCAGGATCCACCAGGCTTGGAGGGAACAGAGTGCCTTCCCAGGAAGGAAAAGGGTGTAGAGAAGAAAATCGGAAGAAATGACTGGAACCATTTGGAGACATGAAAAGAAAAATTACATGGATATAGAATGGCAAAGTAAAGATCAAGTCTCTTTCTGAACAATTGTCACCCCATAAATTGATACCTGGATTTGGTACAAGCTATTTGTTAACCTCTATTATACAGGTCTATGGCTTTCCTTAGAGATTTTGTTAATGGAAAAAAAGTTTACTTGTCCTTATACTTTTTATGCATTTTCCTTTGCTTACTTCTTCAGTCCCTTATTTCATTCATCAGGTACACATAGAGGCAGCATAGCATTGTAGAAAGAGGATGGACTTAAATCCTTCCCTATTTATTCATACACTGAATAAATATTCATTGTAAACCTGTATGTGCCAAGCACTAGAACACTGCAATCACCATGATTAGGGAATATATCTATCTATCTATCTATCATCAACCTTCAAACCCCTTTTTGGGAACATGTACTGCACAAAAGGAGGTTGAAATGTTATGTCAGTACTGACAAACTGTGTTGCTCTCAGATTAAGAACCACTTACCTAGAGAAAAATCTCCTTTAGTGGCTTACTCTGGCCAACAGCTTGCTAGCTCCTTTCTTAGCCAATAGCTAGCCTCCAGGTGTTATAATTTTCTAGTTGCAAATATAAAACACCCTGTTTTAAGGAAGTTGCTGCTGAGAGCAGGGGCTCCAGTTTTAAATGGAAAAGATTAAGTGCAAAAGGATGAAGAGAGAATTGGAAGACCATCTCTTCTACTTATGGGCTAAATGAACTCCAGGAAGTACCCTCAAAACAGTGGTTTTAATCTCCTCAGCTGGTTGTGAGTGCTAGGGAGAATCAGGTAATTTGGGAGTGGGCTGAGGCAGAATTCTAATAAAGCTAAATAGATGCATTCATCCCTAAGTCTGTTGGAGTAAACAAGAATATCTTGTTCAGCTTCTCTTTGGGTAGGACTGGCTGTTGGGGGATTTCTAGAAGCAGCACTCAATCCCTATCTGACCCAGCACCCTCTTCTATAATGAATATTTTGTAATCCCTCCTTTTACTCTCCTGAAATGAAATCCACAGATAAAATAACCTCTAAAATTCATTGTATAGTAAAACTATGAAAAAGTTATTTGTGTTTATAAATAAAGCAGAGGTTTTTCATCTACATGAATGACTGGCAAGACATTCAGATGTTGGTTGGGACAAAGGGAACTTCCCGGATATGGGGAAGCTCTTCCCTATGCAGCAGGACAACAAGTATCCAGCCTAGACCGCTAAATCCCAGGAGGTGCCCCCCATCGTCGGGACAACCTAAAATAACCTCGTGAATGTCCAAAGTGCCCCTGGGGAGGCAGGGGGGAGATGTTGCTCCTATGGAGAACCACTGATGAATGGGAATTGACCAAACAGCCCCTCGTGAAGGCTCCTTTGCTACTTACTGGGTTAACATTGCCACTTACGCAAATCTGAGGCTAGAATGAGCCCAGAGGGCTCCTAATCCAACAAAAGACTTTGATTTGTTTAAGGTCAAACATTTAAGTGGGCCAATGATGTTCCCAGAATAGTACACTTTGAATCTGAAACCACATTTTTTTTAAGGATTTTATTTTTTTTATGTAACCTCTCCCCCCAGCATGGGGCTCTAACTCATGACCCTAAGATCAAGAGGCACATGTTCTACTGACTGAGTCAGTTGGTTGCCCCTGAACCCACATTTTTTAATACCATCCGCACCTTTGATTTCAGAGTCAGCTAACCAATACTGAGCGTCTCCTATATACTTACCTGGTTCCTTCTCATTGCCTCCTCCCTTCCTCACCCCTAGCATCTACTGCAGCATAATTTTTGTACCAGTCTGTTTTTTGACTGTTACAGAATCCATAATACTGTAGTTACTGGCCTTGTTTAGAGTATTAGTTTCCCCACCTCCATGCCCTACCCCACATGTGGGCCCTTAACAGGCTGCCAACTTAACATCTGCATCCTTGGAGTCTTCCTTCTCCCTGGGCCATGTCCAAGGCTGGGCTGTGTGAATGAGCCACAGCTCCAGAGGGGCAGAAGCCATCTCTTAGACAGCCAACCATGGGTCCTATGACCTTGCTCCACACAATATGGCTTTAAGCTCTTGTTATCCCCTGTTTTCCAGTGTTCGGTGGCTGTGTGGCCTCTACAGCTTTAGGGATCAGTCCCTTCTGGGGATTAGCCCCTTTCAGCTGACTCACCTTGGAGGCCTTTGTGGGCAGATTAGGGAGTTTCGCTTGATCAGCACATCCTGAGGTTTACCAGGGCCCCAGCAATCTCTCCCTTCAGTGTTTTGTTTTGTTTCTCCTTACTCAGTTAAAACAAATGCAATTGTCTAGAAATTCCTCTGCACTTGTTTGTGAGGCAATAGCTGACCGGAGAGGATGCAATCATGATGTTAATGATTCATCAAAATAACATAGATCTGTCCAAAGATTCCTTTGGTTATGAATCTATTTTTCCTGACCTTATGTAAGCAAAAAATACCAGTGAGGCTGGGCTTAATCTACATATATAACTTTGAACATGTTGTTGTTTAGCTTTAAGAAGGACTTAAAATGATTATTGCTAAAATTATTTGCAATTTAATCACTCAGAGGAAAAAAAGATGAATACAATCTAAAGTCTTTTCGAGTTGTTCATAAGGGAGATGAGACATAGTGAGACATAGAACATCCTCCCCTACTGAAACATTTTTGCGGGACAAATAAGGTGCTCTAGGAGCTCAACCAATGGAGCAGTCACCTTCAGGTGGGGCTACAAGGAAGATTTCCCAGGAGAGGAATTAACCCTACAGCCCATTTGGTTGTATGCAAGGTGATAGACACGAGAGTTTTGGTTTGGGTTTTCTCTTTGGAGACAATATAGAGAAGAAACAGATGAGCTCAGATGGGAAGAAAGATGAGAATAACTAGAGGTCTCTAAAATTGCAACTCTAAATTTTGGAGAGTGGAAGAGCTCAGCTGCCTAAGGCAGAGTAAAGTCAGAGAGACTCAGAAGAGGGTTGCGAGGGTCTCTTCCTCAGACTGTATCGCACACACCACACACTCCATCAGGTGAGACAAAAACGAAGTGAGCCATAGACGTGGTCTTGCAGCACAGCTGCTGTCTCCCCTTCTTTCTACATGGTGGCTTGCAGGACTGAGAGAAGGGAAGGAGGGAAGGACAGAGACGCGCCTCAACCACTGGCTCTGGTCTTGTCTGCCTTGTGCAGGTGCTTCAGTGTTTGTGTCCAACGTGGCTCTCTCCAAACAAGCAGGCTTCCCAGGTGTAGACAAAAGTGCGTGAAGAGCTTTAGGTGGACATTTCACACTTAAAATATTCCCACCTTTCTCAGCCTAGGAAAAGGTGGCCACAAATCCATCTTCCTTCCTTACACCTGGGCCTTGATTTGCACTCTGTTTCCACGACAACCTCTCTCTCTCTCTCTCTCTCTCTCTCTCTGTGAGGCATTTGGACGGGCACAGATTACCTGCCAGGCTGCTGCCCACTGGCCTGCTGCTCCCGATCTCCCTCCTGTCCGCCTTGCCTATATCTAAATGCCACCTGAGCAGATCACAACCCCCCAACAGCCCTTGGGGATGGGAAGTGTGCCTGACTCTCCTGAAGGAGAACCACAGATGCTCCTGGCCCCCACTCCTGTCACCCAAAGATGAGCTTAGGCTTTTGCTGAGAGAGAATACCTTCCACCTCAGTCTCGTTCATTCTGAAAACTCTGCTCTTTGGCCTCAGGATACATGCCTCATATAAGGCAGTTTTTAACACAGGTTCCTAGTGGGACTTCAGGTGCCCCCAAACTGTTTTTGAGATCATATGCCAAATTTTGTATCCATGTGTTGCTTTCACATATTCTGACCTCCTTCTCCCACAAAAGGTAAGAGCCATTGTGTCTGAAGAACAACCAGTTTGTGTCATCTCTGATTCCCCTGAAATCCAATTACATCCAGAGCATGGGAGTTAATTCTTGAACTCCCTGAGCCTTGGACCATTTCCAAAGAAAGTAAACAAACTTCCTAACCTTTCCTTGCTATGTTAGCTATCCACGGACTTCTGAGAACCTCCTGATATGTCTTAGCCAGAAATCTGCCTGCAGAATGGACACTATCCAGGAACATATATGAAGGGTCAATGAACACATGAAAAGATGCTCAATATCATTAGTCATGGGGAAATGCAAATTAAAAA